ATTGTGCGCTCACGGCCGGGCGGCGGCGCCGGGCCGGGCCAGGCGAGGCGGCGAGGCGAGGCGAGGGCCCCTCCGGCGGCGGCGGCGGCGGCGGCCGCCATGTTCTGCCACAGCGAGGGCCTGGCGGCCGCCCTCTCGGCCGCCCTGCTGCTCGCGCTGGCGCTGAGCCGGAGCGCGGCGCTCTCGTGCGCGCTGACGGGCGGCCTGTACCTGGCGCTGCGCCTCTTCAGCCTCGAGCCCGTGCCCGCGCAGCGCGCGCGCGCGATCGTGCAGCCGCGCGGCATCCCGGCGCGCATCGCCCACCGCGGCGGCGGGCACGACGCGCCCGAGAACACGCTGGCCGCCATCCGGCAGGTGGGTGGCCGCGGCCGGGAGCGCCTGCGGGGCGGAGGGAGCGCGGATCGCGGTGGCGCTTCCCTGCGACGGGGCCGTGCTTGGACTGTCTTTCGATGCTACGATTTATAAAAATAAATAGAACGTCAAGGCGATGAAATACGGGGTGGTCCCAGGTAGGGAAAAAAGGGGGCCGGGGCTCAGGCCCGCAGGACAAAAGCAGAACAAAACACGGGTCTCCATATGCTAACTTACAAGTGGGTGTGTTTTAAGCCCATGTCTGGTAAGGACACGTGTCTGGGTAGAAAGGGGCAAAGGAAAGGAGATAGGAGGGGTTTTGATTGCAGGAAAAAATCTCAGACCAGAAGATTGGGGGCCAGCAGGCAAAGCCTGCGATGGTGACATTGCATTTATATCCTGATTTTTTTTCTTGCAAGAGGCTTTATGGCTTTCTTGTGGCTTCATATAGGTCCATTTTATCCTCTCAACAACCCTGTGAGGTAGGTTAGGCCAAGAGTGAATGACTGGCCCAAAGTCCTGCAGTGAGCTTCATGGCCCAATGCGGCCTAGAACCCGGAGCTCCCAGGTTCCCACAGTGCTCTAACCAGCACGTCAGTTGTCCATGAGAAAATGACATTGGCTTCAGTGGGATTTAAGCTGCATAAGAATGAGCAAGAATTTCTGAAATAAAGGAGTTAAAATTAGTCTTCTACTGTGCATTCTTGTACCAAATGGGACCTGCACTAGAAGAAACCCTTGAGGATTAGAATCTGTTTTGAAGCTACAAATTGCAATTGAATATGTAACAAACAAAAGTCCTTGCTAACTTCGCTATTGGGAGTGATTAAAGCATTAGGGAACCAGAGTGTAGATCACTTAAACCTAAGGAGAGACATAAGCTAACAAGGGAGATCCCATGCAAATACGTGTGAATCATTAGTGCTAAATATAGTAAACTTGAATTTCCCAGAACAGTTCATAACAAACTTGCTGAGGAGGGAAATTATGAGATATTCTTTTGTCTGTTTCTGATATGTTATCTAGATCAGATACTGACTACCATAATTTCCTTTCCTTATCTTTGAATGGGCTGTAAATTGCCCTGTTTGGTTTACTTCTGCTGCCTCAGAGCTTTGCTTCCAAATTACAGTGACCTGAATGAACATTCTGTAGCCTCCAGAGGACTGTGCATAACGTATGTCATATATACTCAAGGCAAGCAAAAGCAGGAGAACAAAAATGGGAGGACCAAGATGCCCTGGCAGGTAGTTACTGCATTGCACCTCATTAGCCAAGCTACAATTACCTGAAGACTTCTCTGTATCCAAATTCTCTGTATTGCTTTTGTACTTCTGTACCCACATTCAAACGCAATGTTTTGTTCATTGTCCTCAAAAGGAGAGATTTGAGGAACAGTCATTTATAGCTTGCCTGTTAAATAGTGATTTTAAAAAGAATAAAAATTCTCCAAATTTTAGACTACCCAAAGATTATAGCCACACTGTTCAGATACTTGATATACAATGCAATCCTAGGCAAATATACTAAAATTAGCCCCACTAAACTCTTTGGATTTTCTCCCTTACCTCTGTTGCTCAGTTTTGCCTATACTGACTGCCAGAGGTTTCCAGGGGTCTAAAGCGGGGTTCTTTCTCAGTCCTACCTGGGGGGGTGGGGGAATCAAGGATTGAAAAAGGAACTTCTTCATGGAACTCACATGCATTATAATTGAGCACTACCCAGTGCTTAGAGCTGCAGTCCCCATCTGTTATTCAGACGGTACCGGAACTAAGCTGCAGTGCGAAATCACTCTTGACCATAGAGCTGCAGTCTAGAGTAAAGCTGAGTCCAGATCTGCTACCCTTTTCAGCTCAGCCTTAAAGCTGCTTAAAGGTCCAATAGAATGAACAGGTACCTTGCAGAAAGAGCCAATGTCAGGCCATAGCTGATAGGTTTATTTCAGTTGTGTAGTTTCTCATGTGATGTTAGCCATATGTACACTGGAATACAAAGCACACGCTGTTACCTACTTTCCTGTTCAAATAAGTTTATCTCCGTTCATTAAGGCAGCTGAGAATGGAGCCACCGGTGTGGAAATTGACCTTGAAATTACGGCTGATGGCGTTCCTATCCTGATGCACGATGAGACTGTAGACAGGACCACCGATGGGTCTGGAAGTTTACGTCATCTGACATTTGCTGAGATTAGACAGTTTAATCCAGCTGCTAAACATAGATTATGGTAAGTGAACAATCTGTGGAACATCTCCACTCATACCTGAAAAGATAGTTTTTCTGTACTCAGATCATACACTCTCCTAGCGCTCCTGTTCTTATGTGTATTTATGCAAAAGTGAACCCTACAGAACTCAGTAGGACTTACTTGCAAGTAAGGGTGCGTGGAAATGTAGCTCTGGTGGAACCAGCCTGCTATGGTGATGAATTGGGGAAGTCTTGTTTGGACTGAGAAGAGCTGGCTTCAAGTCCCTGCTCAGCCATGATGCTTCCGGTGTTCCCAGAAGTGCTCTCAGATTAGATTAGCCGTGTTGGTAATGAAGATGGAGGGCAGGAGAGACATTCTTTAGACTACAAATGTACCGAAGATTCCTCCTTACAACCAGGTCTGTTCTTGGTGGGATAACTCCGGAGTAACTATAAAATGTAGGCCTACACACAAGAGAAACTAGCAGCAAATTTATATACTATATAGGTTAGTTAGGCAGTTCAAATATTTTGATAAAATCCACACTTTTTCTATATTTTTAGTTCTTTCTATACCTTATGTCTCATTGATTTCATTGTGAAAGAAGGGTGCTTATCTTTTTCTGCACTGCAGCTTCCAGATGGATAGTCAAGTCTTATGTTACCTTAAAGACTAAGCAATTTGTTATAAACACCATGTTTAGAGGTGTTTAAGATGCCTAAAGACTTTATTTTGTTTTCTGTTGTGTGTATTCGTAGAATTATGCTTCATGCCATGATGTATATGGACACATTCCTCCTTTTTTGAGCTGGACTTTTCCCTTGCAGAAATGCACACTGAAGATTCATTTTTTCCCCCTCTTACAGGAGGGATTATCGTGGGGAAAGAATACCAACATTAAGAGAAGCTGTTTTGGAAAGTATACATTATGACCTCATTATTTACTTTGATGTCAAGGGCCATGCAGACCAGGTACTCTTCTTAAAATGCACTGAAGCCTCAAATTCTGGTAGGACAGCACATATTAGTTAGAGTTCTTTCACTTGACCCAGTGGGAAATGGTGTGCTTTCCTGATAAAATGTTAATACAGTTTTACAAAACCAAGAATGCCTTTGGGATGCTTCTTTTCCAACCTTGAATGGGACAACAGTCATAACTGATTTATTTCATGGTGATTCAGGAATGAATAACTTAAGACTCTTTCCTTAGTGCAAGAATGGTAAAAAAATGAAGATATATTTTCTGTAACATGCAGGGATTTCTAAGGGAAAAGGCAAATATCCTGCAGTTTTCTATACAAATAAATAGCAGCCCATTTCTGCATTGTATGGACACATGAAGTTGCCTTTTATAGAGTCAGGCCATTGCTCTGTTTCTTCCTGTGAGCAACAGCTCTGCAACACACCGGGCAGGAAACCTTTCTAGCCTTGCTACCTGCATTCATTCTAAGTGGCAGTGCCACGGATTGAGCCTAAGACCTGGGTGCAAAAGAGTTGCTCTAACCCTTGATCTTCACCAAACTAAACCAGGAAGAAAACCAAAGCATATTTTCCACTAGGCTATACTAGGCCACCCTATTCCAAAGCAATTTGATCTTCTATCATCCAAATATATCCTAGCCTAAAAGTACCTGTGATCAAAACAGTGTCTTTTGTTTTGCATTGCTTTTCAACACGCACGCTTCTTTTCATTTTTAGTCAGACTCCTTGGGCTATAGTAGCAGTTCTTTGAAATTCACCTTTAACTGCTTCTACAGATCTTATATATAAGTTGTTTTCTGACAGGCTGTTGAAGCCCTAAAACTCCTCTACCAGGAATATCCTCGGCTTTACAACTCCAGCATCGTTTGCTCTTTTATGCCAGATGTTGTCTATAAGGTAAAATTCCCATGTGGAAATTAAAACGACTAAGGTAGCATTGGGATGTTGACAATTTTCCGTTGGATAGCTTCAAGAAATGGGGATGCTTCTTGGGATGTGGGAGTGGCATGTTTAAAATTGAAAAGGGTAGCCTTCAGAGTCTAAGTAAAATCTTGGATAACTGTGGTCTCATACTTTCTCACTCACATTGCAAAGAAATGTAAGACAAGTTCATTGTATTGAGCACCAGTTAAAGTCTGCCAAGATGCATGCCTTGAGGTGGCTATAGGGTACTACTATTTATTTATTTATTTATTTATTTATTTAAAACTTTTGTATGCTGTCACTACATGCCTTGGCATCTCGGGACGGCTCACAATAGATACAATTAAAAACAAAATAATCTATAAATAACAAATTCAATAAAAGATCATACCAAAACAAAAAACCCAAAAAGAGCGGCTGTTAATGATAAAATATTAGTTTTTAAAATAGCGATTAAATAAAAAGGTTTTAACCTGGCGCCGAAAAGAATATAAACTCAGCGCCAGGCACACCTCTCCAGGGAGCACATTCCATAATCTGTGTTCTACTATGCCTATGATCAATTTCAAAATACCAACTAGAATAAAAACTGGGAATTTTTAGACACTCAAGGCCAAACTAGGCATGGCAGGAAATCCATATTAGGATCGTCCACAGCAAAGCAGGGCCGTCTGCAGGTTGCGATCCCTAGCGCACCCCTGCCGCCATTGCCTTTATTCAGTGATTTTTCCCCACCCCAATAAAAAGGGGAAATTGTGGTTTGTTGCCAAAGTGCAGCAGGAAACCACTTTGAGACTTGACAAATTAACCAGTTACAAGCTAAGTTTTTTTTTTTAAATTCTAAGCCTCTGTAGCCACCATGGAGGCTGAGAACATGATCGTTTTCTGTGTGTTCTGGTGGGATTTTTGTTGTAGCCCTGGAACTGTGTCTTTTGCTGGTTCTAAGATTGGCTGTCTACTCAACTAGAGTAGCTCACTTCGTTCCATGGATTGTGTTTTACCAAACAAACTCAATAAAGGCCCGTGTTTTCAAGTTGGAGAAGTGGTGCTGGGAGGAAGAAGATGTATTACCCTTTCTCCCAGCGTTTCCTCTCTTAAGTAACCTTCTTCTCAAACCTGCCATTAGCTCAGGCCTGGTGTCTTCAAATTGCTGTTGTGCCTGTGATCAGTTTAAAAATACCCGTGAGTGGGAACCCTTTGAAGGCAAGGCTCTCTGAAGCCAGAATTCAGCCCTATATTAACTCCATAAGGCAGGAGATGGGGAGGGAACCCACTACACCAAACCCTAATTACTGCTTTAGATTAACTGCAGTGGCTAATCTTTAAACTCCAAATTGGTTAAAAATAAGAGCAGTAGCCTTAAGACTGGTCTAGCGCTTTGCTGTTAGGGTAGTTATGTAAATTGAAATGAAGTGCTCTTGCAGCCAGAGCAATGCACTTTTAAAGTCGCTATTTTTAGGGTTACTTTGCAAAATACATTAAAATGCTTGGGCCCTTCTAGAAAATTTGGTATAAAAGTTGTATCCCAGCCTTGCTTTCTCTAAAGACCTCAAATCACCTGCTGCAAAACAATTATGTAAAGTGAAAACAAAGGCTGGAATAACAACCACCCTGTGCTGTCCTCCCTCATGTTAGACATCAGGATAAATTTGTTCTTGTTTCTCTGCTTGGTCTTTTAGATGAGGCTAGCCGATAAAAACATCGTTACAGCTCTGACTCACAGACCCTGGAGCTTCAGTCACTTTGGAGATGGGAAACCTCGCTTCGAGTCCTTCTGGAAACACTACCTAATGATGGCGCTGGATGTTGTTGTAGACTGGAGTATGCACAATTTTCTGTGTCACTTATGTGGAGCTTCCGTTTTTCTGATCCAGAAAAATTATGTTTCGCAGTAAGTAGAAAAGCTTGGCCACATCAGTTCTAATCTGTTTACAAGCAAGAGTGCAACTCAGAAAAGAGAGAAAAGTTGCGTATTCCAAATAGTGAATTCATAGTAAACTGTTCTTTACTATGTGGGTATTTTTACTCGAGGATCTGTTCAATTCAATCTTCCCCAACCCAATTGTGCTGGGCTACAACTTCCATCATCCCCAGCCAGCATGGCCAGTGATAGTGAGGGTTGCACATCTGGAGTGCCTTAGGTTGGAGAATGTGGCAAATGCTTTTTCATATTTCCAAGTACCATCATGCCTGTAAGATTGTTTAAGGTCTCTAATCAATAACAAATGTGCACAATAGTCGAAGTGGGGAGAGATTGTGTGTATGCACTATAAAAAGAGGTGCAGTTATTTCTGCTTCAACACTTAGATGCTGCTTAATAAATACCTAAATGAGCAGTATACATATGGTTACTATCTAAAAATAAGCTTTTTATTTTTACTTGGCTCCTCACCTCATTTTCCCTTGTCCTTGCAGGGAGTACGTGAATCGGTGGTCTTCCAAAGGAGTCCACGTCGTTGCTTGGACAGTCAACACATTCGCTGAAAAAATGTACTATGAAAATGTTCTCCAGACCAGCTATATGACTGACAGCTTAGTAGAGGATTGTGATCCTCACTATTAGTTTTAGCCTTGACTGGATTGCTTCTGGGTTTGCCTCACCTGGCAGACCAAAGTTCATCACTTGTGGTACTTCAAGGGTTCATACTATCAGGGTACATTTACTCACTTGGGACAGGATTATTACAATTGCAAATGCATTGAAATGTCTCTTTTCATAATGCTGGACTGAGACTTAACATTACAATCAGTTTTAATCTTAGAAGAATTGAAATTCTGAGTAAGATAAGCCTGTGCAGACGAAGGAAGAACGATCATATTGAGTTAATTTGCTTGGCACAATACAAGGAGTGAACTTGCAGAAGATTTGCACTGCAAAAAAACAGCTTGATTTGGAAAGAAAAGTGCTGCTATTGGCCCTTCAGAGATTACTGATGTTACTTGAAACATCTAGATTAGCCTTTATTTAGAGAAGGAACATACAAGAAGGACACACTTTAGATTCTTAGAAACCAACCTGCAACTACAGCCAAAGCACATGCACTTTTTCCTCATGCTTAATTCTGAAATCCAAGGGCCACGTCTGAAAATGACATAGTGCATTGGACACATTATGGGCACTGGCAAGGAGAATCCTCCTTGAGGGGCATGAACAAGAACTAAGAGGCATTTGGTGAAAAGCTGCAACATGGAAACAGTCTAGGGGAGCTTGGCAGCCAGAACTAGGAAGTATTCTTAATGTGAAGAGTGGGCATTTATGGGCACAAACTTGTGTCTAGTAGAGGTTTAAGGGCCTCTATCAAGTTCGTGTCACCAAATCAGCAGAAATCAGTAGTGGTTTTAGGGTCATATATCCTCCAAACTGTCTGTGCTACCAAATCAGCTGGGTATAGATCCACTTGTTACTCAGTAAAACTGGAAAGTAACGGATACCCAGCTTCTATGGAGTCAAATGGCACTCGCCCCCATTCGTTTTTTTTTTCCAAATTAGTTTTTTCAGGCATTTAATTCAGACATCATCTGCAGCTGAATCTCTGTGGCACTGGATGCTGTTGACTTGTCTGCATGTTGGGTTGTCTGTGAGCAGAGACGTCTCTCTGCATGCTTCTCAATGTCAAGCATCCTCTGGATGCTTTTTGGCTCATTCCATCTCAACAGTACCTGTTGATTCATTTCTATTATATGTGCCACGTTATGGAGAACATTTACCATACTGGGTAGCCCAAAGCTTGCCCTAGTTCCTTAACTGAAATTATCAGGTGAGGAAATTCTGCATTGGTGGGTAACACAGAGAAAGTGGTTCTATTGGACAAAATCATGAGGCATCTCAAGGGGCACAGTTCCCCAACATGACATTATATGGTAGCCTAAAGCTTATTTTGGGGTACAGAGACATATTGTATTCCTTATTCTATTTGTGAATTGGTTCCTGTTTGAACTTTTGCACAAAATAATGGATTACTAGTAACCAGATTCAGCTTATTCAGTGTCTGGGGAAAAAGACAGGATCAGCCGGCAGTGGAAACTGCCACCGCTGCTTTACAGGACAGAAAAGGATTGTCGGCCAGGTTAAAGTGTACAGCTGCAAAGACCCAGATAAGATACAGCTTCGTTCTGCAAATGATATAACATTAGACATTGTTCCCATCAAAAGCCCACATCAAATGGTGATGAAGTAGGGTATATACAATCAGATATACATTTCACCTTGGTGTTGCAGTACACGTTGGATTAAAAAGCCCAGAACTTGATCATTCTTTATAAAATCCCTGTTTAATTTCTGCTAAAAAATACTCTGATCAGAATACCAAAAAGAGAGTAATTCAGAAAAGTAGCACTCATGTTTATACAACGGCAATTTTCAGGGATAAATTATTTCCATCTATTAGAGTTCCATGACAAATGCAGTTCATCTCAGTTTTCCTCAAGCATGTAGGAGATCCTGGTCTTGTAGGCAGGAAGGGAATCTAGTGAAGAGCTTCATCCTGTCTTTAATCTGTTGCACCACGATTTTGAAAATCACAATAAATGGAAAAATGTCATGTTGAGGTGGAAAAACCTTTGCTTGTGACTACATCTTCCCCTGTCAGTTCATACGCAAACCTTAGTTATATCCTGCCTTTTTCCCTTTTCAAAGAATTCAAGGCGGCTTATGTATTTCTCCTTGCCATGTTTATCCTCACAGCCATAACCCTGTGAGGTAGGCTGGACTGAGTGTGACTGGCCCAAAGTCAACCAGCTGGCTTCCTGCCTGAACAGGGACTAGAACCCAGATCGCCTGAGTCCCAGTCCAGTGCTGTTAGCCACAAGTAGCAGAGTTTTGGTCAGGAGTGCTTCTTTGTGTGTGTTGCAGCCCATTTTTAACTTTCATGCGCTTTCTTCATCATCCATTTCCCATTCAGCCTCTTGCCTGGCTCTCAGAGCTAAAGCCAGAGCTTCAGAAACCTCAGCATTCCTGGATGATTGGCTGTCCTCTTTAACTGTTACAAACAAAAGAGAAAAAACAGGATTGTCATATCTGACAGTGAACACCCACATTCCCATCAAGCCAAAGTTCCCTTCACGTGTTGCTCAGCCCAACTTCCACTGTTCATGCATTTGAGCATCTCAATTAGGAAAGCCCGCCAATACATCTGTTATAAAGAACCTCTAAGACCTTTTAACTTGTTCGTAAATTATCTGGGATTGGGGTGAATATAAGGTGTCTTAATATTGACAATACATAATGCTTTGGGCTAGTTAAAAGGACAAGGGATTGAGAAGAGCTCCAAAAACATCCTTTGACGCGGGGAATGGGCGTTAAAGTGGGAAATGTGGTTCTGTATAAGCACGTGCAAAAGGGATGTGCAGTGGAGCAAATCCACTGATGGGGGCTGAGCTGGCAGTGCCTGGCCAGAGAAGATACTCTGGGCTCGTGGGAGACAACGTTGACCCCCTGTGCAGCTGTGAAGAAGAAGGCGTATTCCACGTATGAAAGAACTGAAAATAAAACTACAATGATCATCATGCCCTTAGACAAATCTGTGATGCAGCCATGCCTGGAATACCATGCATAAGTCTGACCACTTTTTTTGTCCTTCAAAAAAGGGGGAAATGTATGGAAGAGCACAATAAAATGCGAGTAAAGGGTTAGGCTGAATGTGAGTAAAGAGGAGTCGTGGCAGAGCTATACAAAACTGTACGGCATGGACGGTGCGGCTTCCTCCAAGTCTCCCAAACGTGTTGGGTGAGATTGGCAGGGGATCCAAGGCAAAGGGAGGACGAATGCACGGTCCTATGGGATGCTGTCTCTGGGATGCGGCTTGTCTGGACAGAAAAGCACCCAAATGGTGCTCAGAGCAGTCCAGGCAGTGGGGTTGCCATTTGTCATCATCTGCTCTGCCAAGGTTTGTTGCTTACCCTGAAAGAAGCTGGTCATTTCAGGTATCCTGTCAGACTGAAGGGGAAGAAAAACAGCAATGGTAAGACAGATCGCATTTCTGAACATACTTGCAACATGCATTTTTCAGCTGTTCAGGTTGCAAGCCCTCATTCTCCCTTCTTACTCAGCTGGCCAGTCTTCCCACATTTTGTGTGTACCGAATGTATTTTTACACCAACCGTAATAGGATCCTCATTTGTGCCTTCTGGAAGGAAGCATTGTTGTTTCACAGCCGGAGCAGAAAGAGGCAGTCTAGTCATTTGCCAATCATTGAGTAAAGTGGTCCACTCAGCACAGCAGGGCTGTTTAGAGTAGGAATGCAGTCTGACTAAAATTAAAACAATTGCTGCTGGGGGATGCTTTAGCCGCCAAATGGGCTTAAATGGCCTCATAAACGCAACAGCACACAAAGGATGCAAGAAGCACCCCCAACAAAGCCTCCCTGACAAAACCTTTCTGCATGTTGTTCTGCCAAGGGCTCCTCAGAAGCGACATCTGCCAAAAGCTGCTGCCATGGAGCTTCTTTTAAATCAGGGGTCTCAAACTCAACTGACCTGGGGGCCGCTGGAAGGAGAGTGGGTGAGGCTGGGCCGCAGCAAGTATTCCACCACCGCGGTGGTGGTGGGCCGCTCACCCCGCATCGCTCCCAGAGGCCGGCCCGGGCGCCACTGGCGCTTTGAAGGCCGCAGGGCCCCCCCCTCCGTGCCCTGCCCGTCCCGGCAATTGGGCCACGGGCCGCAAGTTTAAGACCCCTGTTTTAAATACTTCATTTCTCCCTGCAGCCTTAATGCTGCAAAAGGGGAAACAGACATGATTTCAAGATTGTTTTGTGCTACCAAGACAGGCTACCAGTTTATGAAACTGCAAACATGTGCGTAGCTCATCATGCAAGGACTTGGATTTAAATGCAAGTGACCAAACGACCTTTCGGGGTCTCCCCCTCCCCTCCCCCACCATTACCTCAGCATAGGAGTCTCTTTGTTTCAGTCTTGGAGAGCTTTCTGTGGAGTTGGGTAGTGGCAAAGGCATTTGTTGTCGAGGTTGCCTGTGCACAGATGGACCCCTCTGCAAGAAGAAAGCATCCAAGTGGCTATTCTGGAATATTTACCTGGGTGGACTTCACTGGGCACACAGCATCCACTGAACTATAGATCACCTACCCCGGCATTGATTTTCTTCTAGCATTTCTTTAACTGAAAGAGCAGACATGGAGGGCCCTTCCTATTCCCAGGGACAGTAAGGCAGCGCGCTGGGTCAGAGATTGGTCCACCTTGCTCGGTAAAGGCCTCGCTGACGGGCAGTGGCTTATCCAGGGTTTCAGGCAGGAGCATTTCCCAGCCCTACATGGAGATGCCGGGGATCGCACCGGGGACCTTTGGCATGTGTTCCGCCACTGAACTGTGGCATGATAGAAAGCCGACTCAGTCGTCTCAGACCATTGGTCCCTCTAGCGTTCATGCTAATTGGCAGTGGTTCTCTGGGATTCAGGTACCAGGGCTAGCAAACGACTTCAAGGGCCAGCAGCACAATGTCAGCGTCCAGGGTGTGGGTGGCTGACTTGCAGACTGGAGCAGCAGGTGCGGCACACGGTCCAGAGGTCAAGCCAGGGGTTGCAGCACTAGACACAGTTGATTCAAGGAGAACATGTAGTCAGACGAGCCGGGTTTGAGGAAACCAGGAAGACAAGGCAAAGGAAGCAGCCACCTTGACGACAGGGGCAGGGCAGGAGCAAAGTGCAAGAGTCCACAAACCAGGAGCGCTTCAGCAGGTCAGAAGAGCCAGTTCTTGTATAGCGCTTCCCCCAGGGCTCCCAGGTGGAGCTCAGGAGAGCCCTGGCAGCTGCGGTACATTGGCCTAGTAATTCTGCAAGTACCAGGGATGCTGTGCTGCTCCTGGACCAGCAGAGGGAACCCTGAAGCTGCCTCAGATCTCGACCCGCAACTTGGCATCTCTGAACACCGCCAAGGCACCGAACCCCCTCAGTGCCGCTGTTGATTCTTGCCCTGCCGCCCCCCCCCCCGCCCTCCCCGAGCTTCCCTTCAGGATTGGTGGGACACAGCACCAGGTGGCCCTCTCCCACCCCCACTGAAAATGAATAAAGTCGGTTTTTAAAAGCCCACATTCTCAAAACTAACCTCTGGCTGATTCCTCCAATTTGATCCTTTAGGGGCCTGGAGGGCACGTAGTTTCTCCAGCAGAAATTTTTTATCATGGCCTTCCTACAAATCAAGAAACATCTGAAAATTAGAGGATGCACCGGGGGGGGGGTGCGTGCAATGTACTAATCGGCTACTTCTTGAGGCATCCCTTTCGCCCTCCTCCTCAAACTGGCCATCTTCAGAGTTAACCACAAGTTAGCACAAACATGTTTTTTTAAAAAGTATGTGCCGATGGCCACATATATTTGTAAACAAAGCAGTTATTGTACTCTGATATGGAAAAGCACCACAAACAGAACCTTCCAAAGAGGCAGTGGGAGAAAGCAGTGAGGTGGAGGAAGCGGATTTGGCAAAACCACTAAATCTCTCTATCCCTCTCTCTGACTCACCCACCTCTCTCACACGCACCTTTGCCTCACCCTCCGCACCCAACAGGATGATGTGGGAGAGACGGACTGCTCTTGCTGAGGTCTGATCTGATTGGCCTTTGAAATTAGGTCAAGAATTGCAACATTGCGCACCCCTCTTCTAAAAGGAAGTCTGTGATGGGATGGTATAAAAAAGCTTTAAATGGAAATAAATAATAAAATAAGTTCCCGCAATGGCCACCACAGACAGAATGAGAAATTAAGCTTTGCAATGCACCATTTTGAATCTGAAAGGGAGGCGTGGTGGCCAGAATGGCTACTAGTGGGCAATTTTATCCCGATATTTAAAAATCCATACATTTGTGCCAGAGATGAATAGTCGAACTGAACAGTAAATTGATCTGACATTAGGAGGTATTTATTTCCAACCATTAAACCAGCCACGGCTGGTTACTCCAATTACAGGGAGGCAGTGCAGCCAACTCTGGATTTAATCTGACCTTTAAAGGCACTATCCATGGTACTAAAACCATTTTCACAATAGGGTCCAGCAGCGTGGATTGTTCCTTAAAAGTTCAGACTGAAACCCAGGGTGGATATGCTGCCTGGCTAACACTGGAGTCGCTAACTTCCAGTACCTCGTACGGTACTAGAAATATAGTGTTCTTTACATACAAGTTGTTCAACAAGATAAAATTAAGATTATACAGCTGGAGTGGAGATTTATAGGCCATCCTGTCCAATGCCACTGCTCGATGCATAAAATCCATAGGTAAGGAATAGCCAGATGGATGTCTGGCCTCTTTGTAAAGGCTTCCAGCAGGGTAGAGTCTATCCACACCCCGGGAAATTGGTTGCATTGTCCAATTTCTTTTAATCTCAAAATGTGCTTCCTTATGCCCAACCAAAATCCAACCCCATGTAACTTAGGGAAAAACCCTGTACATGTTTAGGCAAAAAAAGACTTGCACCTCCCAGCAGTGTGAACTGGGGCATGCTGGGAACTGTAGGACCTTCTTCTGTCTAAACATATGTAGGATTGCACCCATTAGATCTAGTCAAGGCTGCTGAAGAAGCTGAAATCTTTGCCCCTTTCTGTGACAGACCTGTAGTTTCCCTTAAATAACATACTTACATTGATAATCTGTTGATGCAATAGTTTAACCATGATTTTCCGTCCCTCTATGATTTGCCAGTAGAGGTATGTGATAATCCTAAAGCAGAGTTAAGAAATTGAAACCAGCTTTTTATTTGTAAGTTAAAATGTTCTTAACATCCTGATTTTTTAAAAAAGTGATATCCCACACTTCCACTCTATTAATAATATTTACAAAAATAAACATCACCGAGTATTTTGGGGGGAAATCATTTCACTGGCACTGTCGCCCATCAGTATAAAAAAAAGCAACAGCTAAAACTGCTGGCACGCAACTGCATCATCCATGTGACGGGGTGTTTGGGACGATTTACTGGACCTCCCCTGTCTACAGCTTCCATGAGAGCAGGTTCTCCATCCCCTGCCTGGAGGGAGAGACCCCACCCTCCTGTCCACAGATTCCATTGGCAAATGGCTCTTTCTGCAAGACATTTCTAGGCGTTTTCAACAAGATCTGCACTCCTGGAACTTAAGCGCACACTTCCAAGGTCCTCCAAATATCTGGGAAGCACAGCATCCCATGAACTGTCCCTGAAGGATTCTGCCCGTCGCATACTTTAGATTGGTCATCAGGGCCAGCCAGAATGGGTCTACTCCTGGTTAACTCCTCCCCAGTTTTCATTGAATGGGGGGAGTGGCTTTTGAAGGGGGAAGTTTAGGTTGCAGAAGCAGGCCTTGGTGGGGGGAGGGCAAGAACACACACCTCTGTGCCCCTGCTACTTGGCTCAAAATCAAAAGCCCCGATCTAAGCCACCTTAAAGTCAAAGGTACTCTAACATTACAGGGAAAGGGTTGCAAGATCAACAGCAGTTTTATGCATGCCTAAGAAATAATTAAACCCCCCTGGGAACAACTGCACTGGCTTCCAGCCAAGCATGTAAAGAGCTGCAAACTCACTTCCCCCATCTCCCACATCACACCTTTCGTGCTTTTAGGACGAAAGTTCTAGTTTTAGTTCTTGTTTGGAGCAGAGAACAGGCATTACAAAAAAACAAACAAACCCCAAACTCTTGTTTTTAACCTGCAACAAGCATATTCTGTTCCTGACTATACACATTAGTATTCTGATGAATACTGAAGCATGTATCTCACAAATTCTGCCCCCTTCCCGCCTTCTCTAACCCAGCTTGCTTTTAAAAACACCATTGAAAGAATAGAATCACTGAGGGCAATTTGCAGGCAGGAGATCCGGGATACAGCTCCTAGCAAGAAAGCTTCTGGAAGCAGTTAGCGGGGAAACCACCTGGCTAAGATCCCAGGCGGCCATGGCCAGTCAGAGTGGGAATTCTGGACAAGTTGTCTGATCTAAGATCCAGCAGCTTTCCGAGACAGACTGCCTGCCATGTCAACCAGAAAAGGTGTGTTAATTGTAGAGGACTGTTGCTGACCGGGTTGGGCACACCCACTGTGTGCAGAAGGTCTCATGGTCATGCAAAGGAGGTGGGGGGCAGACCCCTGCAGAACAGACGGGGCTGGATGGACCCATGGCCTGGCCTGGCACAAGGGACCTCCCTGCCTTCCCAAGGAATCCATTCCGAAATGTGCCCCCACTTTGCTCTCATTCCCTTCAAGTTTCCTTCACAGGCACTCACAGAACAATGACGGAGAGGATGAAGAAGAAAAGAACGCTTCCGATTAAATTATGATATATCCATATGACCCATGCGGAGCTGGGGTGACTGGTGAGTATGGTCATCCAACTGGAAATGGCTTCAAAGACAGTCATCAGCCCTCGGAAAGGACCACATGTTTCAGAAGGCTTTCGTCTGGGAACATGAGGAGGGAAAGAGTTAAAAAGAGAGAGAGAAGAAAAGGTGCAGGGTTTTTTCCCCTCTTTCAAGGAGTAGTTTTGCATTGTAACACACAATTTATTTATTTATTTACATGTAATTATAGGCTGCCTATAACTGCCAAGGCCTTCCTAGGTGGCTTAGGACATCCTCCGCACAGGACCCAGCTGTATTATTTCTGCACTCCAGTCCCTCTATGGAGCAGGTGGTTGGCCTGGCTTAGGCATGGAGAACATGTTGCCTTAGAGATGGTAGGAGTACAGTTCCTATTAGCCCTCAACACTGCTTATCTTTTCCAGGGCAGATGGGAACTGTAGTCCATAATCATCTGGAGGGCCACATGTTCCCAATCCCTGGGCTACAAGACCTCAAAGCCCCCACCAAATTCTGAAAAGCCTATAAAGATCTAGCCAAAAACGTTTTCATAAAAGATAATTTAAAGAGTGGTATAACAGGATGCATCCTATCCGTGGGCCCATCTCACACACCACTGGCTCTTCAAGCTCTGTGGCTCAAATTACATGCAACCTGGAGTCCCATGATTGCTTCTTCCCTCTCTTCAGCCTGGGATGGGTTGAAGCCTAAAATCCAAGTGGGAAAAGGGCAAGGAAGGAAGGAGCTGCCTAGTTTTTAGATACTACCAGTAACTAACACTTGGGAAAGGTGTGTCAACATTCCAGAGAGAAGGAAAACAAAAGCTGGAAAACCACCAAATGATAGGTAGTTGGGACCAAAAGAGGTCGTGGCCTTTTGAGAACCTGCAAGTTTGGGAACTAAGAAAGGCTCGATTTCAGCCATGGACCAGAGGTTCAATACTCTGACACAGGCCTTTGGTTTGATTCAGAACAGCAATTCCTTTCTTCTTAAGGACTCCTCAAAACCTGGAGCTAAACACGGAATAGGGCAACGCAAGATCCTGAACAGAGCAACTCATCAGAAAGGAGTCCTTCATACCTCCAGACAGTGACCGCGATGACAGAGAGGACGCCAACAAGGGATGGAAAGAACAGCAAGAAGACAAAGAGGGTGTTCATCTGAGATGCTCTCCAAGCTTTGCGAGGAGGCTGACAGTTCCTCATCAAACTGACCTTTGGGTGCATGGGAGAAAGATGATGAGCATCTTTTGCAAGTGCTAGAAACCAGAACATTCGACTTGCTTACTTAATTGTTTCTTAAGTAATGGGCAAACATGTCGTCGAGCCATAAGAAGAAAAGTTATTGAAACCTTTAAGCTGGCAGCTCTGTGCAGACAATTCCTCACTGAATTTAGTTCCTTATGAGGAAGCAAGCACAGGGTTTAAAGAGGCTTTAAGGTAAAGCAAGGTAATTTCAGCATGGCAGGAGCCTTAATAAAATGCAGCAGGGTACCTTTTTCACACAGAATATTATGAAAAGTGATATCATCTGAATGGCTGGAAGCAGAGGTGAAAAGAAGATTCCAATCCTGCAAGGGGAGAGAGGGGAGAAAAGCAGGAAGAAATCAGCTGAAGTTTTTACTTGCACAGTAACAGGAATAAGCAAAAGACATCCTTCCAGGCTTGGGTGAAAGGAACTGACGTTTCTTTAGATTTATATCCTGGTTTCGGAAAAATTCACAGGCAGTTCATAACAAACTGCAATAATATGGACATAGGCCAATGTACCCCAACAAAGACAAGAAGTCCTTGGTCCTCCAGCCAGAGGTTGGTGCTATAGTGTGTTGGAGCTATAAAATGAGGCATTTTGTTGTGGGTTCTCATTTGTCACACGTTAATGGCAGATAACCTAGCTAAGATGTTCAGGTGCTGATTATCAGATGCTATATAATGTCTGATTTATATCAGGTTATTTATCAGTGTAATTTATCATTATCAGTATCACTATAGCTTCTTAAATTCATAAGCAGGATTCTTCAGAGTCCTTCTGATGAACTTTACAGGAAGTAACACAAAGGTCCTCTGAATGGATGATTTTCACTCACCATGCCAAAGTCTGAGCATAGATCAAATCTAAAACATTTCGAGCAATGTTGAATTCTGGCACACCAAGTTGTTTGTAGCATGTGGTTCCAATGATTCTGAAAAAATGGCAACAAAATAATTTCAGTTCACAAATATTTGCAATGATCCTTCAGTATATACTACATGCCCGCATGGTAAAAGTAGGGAAGGCCATTAAATCTCAGCTCCACTTTGGAAGAAGCTAAGAACTAGCGATCATTCATGCATTCATAACTTTAAAGCTGGGCTACTGCGATGCACTTTTACCTAGGGCTGCCCTTGGAGACAGCTGGAGGCTTCAGCCAGCGCTTCCTAATTATAACTGACACGGAAATGGCCTTTTTCACCATAGTCACACGCTGGGCCAACATGTGCATCAAGCCATCCACCACAACCCTGAAAGCTCTTTCTTGCTCAGCCACTGCTGGGGAATCTTACTGGGCTTGATGGATCTTGGGTTCCTAGTAAGAAACAGAACAGATCCAACAAGGCTGAAGTCTGCTCAGCCCTGAGCTCAACTAGATCAGAATTCCCAGGTCCCCTTCGTGATCCCCCAAGTTTATGAGCACAGCAGTTCTGCTTGCACAGAACATGGAAGCGCACACATACCGGAGCAGAAATTCTCCGAAGAAGGATCCCAGTAAGCAACAGATGAAGTCGGCTACAAGCAACCTATAAATATCTTGTCCAACCAGAGCTTCCCAGCACTGAGAAAATGTGGAGTAAAACAAGGTGTTAGAAAACTATAGGGGGGACCCCTAAGAAACCTCAGGAAAAAAAGACGGTATGTGGCGGTCGCTGCAGGCCTGGGAGGGCTCGTGCGCCAGGCGCCCTCAGGAGAGTCACTTCTACCTGCAGCCCTGTCCCCGTCCTGTTGTCTGGCCGCCGCGCCCCGTCTGCCCCACCATCCAAAGGACGGGGCAGAGCGAGCGACTGCTTGCGTACGGGGACAAGCCAGGTGGATGCAATGGAGCGATGGGCCGGAGGGGCAGCAGGCCCCTTGGAAAGCAGGTCGTGCGTGGCAGCTGCCTGGACTGCCAGCAGGTGGCCTCAGTTGTGCAATCTGCCGGAGGAACTGCGGGGTCAGCACAGGGCAGTTTCCTGGGCAGGGAATGAGTCCTGGCCTTCGCCTCACCACTGGGCACCCCGGAATACGAACGCTTCCTATTTGGACCAGAAATCTGCCTCATCAACATGGGCAAACTCAGCACCGGGGTGGAGCTGACCCTCAGCATAGTGCCGGGGTGCTCCCCCGACCCCTAGCATTGACCTGCCACCCACCCTGTCGCCAGGAGTCCTTGGGCTGCCGTCCAGCCTTCCCACCCCGGCAGCCTGTGTCCCCGGCTTTGACAAAGCTGCCAAACAGCTGTTGCCAAAAGTGGCACCTCTGCGGAGGGTCATGCCGCCATAGCCACTTGTCCTTGGGCATGCGCCCCCAGTGGCATTATCCCCAGGGACAAATGGCTATAATGGGGCTGATCTTCCGCAGAGGTGCCAGGTGGGGGACCGCTGCAGGTAAAGGAAAGGTAAGCCCTGGCCCCAGTGGGTCCTGCCAAGGTGCATGGGCCCCAGCAGGGGCCTGACTGTGTCACCGACTGGCATGGGGACTCAACAACAGCCTTCCTGGGCCTGGTGTATTCCTCAGCTGGGACCACCTCCCACATTTCCTGGTTCCTCTTGCTCTATGCTCAGCCTGAGGTGGCAAACCTGTCCCTTGGATTGCACTGTTTGAAAATGTAGGTAAAACTGCTCCCAGAAGGTTAAATCAACTGGGAGGAAGGAGGCGAGGCGAGAAGCCTTCTTCCTGGAATTCTGGTTTCCTGAACATAGAGAACTTCATGCGTGGGACAGCAACTGAGTCCCCACCTGGAGTTTCATGTGGGATGGCCCAGCACGAGTATTAACCATCCTGGCTGCTGTTTGTGACAAACAGGTATGAGTGCTACGGAGGGCCTCGTGCCTTCCTGCATTAAGTCTGACAGCGGCACAGAAAAATGATTAGACTCTTACCTCTACCTTTGGCTCCATAGCCACTGTGTTAAGCCAGTAATAGCAAAGGATCCCTATGATGGAGATTTTCAAAATAACGTTCCTGTAAAACGGAAGTGGTAACCATCGGAATTCAGCAGGACAACAACGGGGCACAAACAATGATTAAAATTCCTTTCTGGCACCTTGGAAATTATGGGTGGGTCAGCTCTACTCATTCTATTCCCCCACCCCTTCTATGAAAGTAGAACCGGCTCAGTCTGCCAAGTTTGCTCTTGGGTTTCTGCAATAAGCTTTGTTATATACCATTTCTGAATTGCCTGAACGCAGCTTAAAAACAAATCTGAACAAAAAGTCATGCAGGTTTCAGTAAGCATTTTTTCAAAGATGTGCACTGTTCATTTTTTGTATCCTGCTTTCCAAATATGTACATTTTCCCACCATAAGCTAAAGCGGGTTTGTTTAGAAATTCCCCTAATGTGTACATTTTATGCATTTTCTCTTGATACATGCAATCTTCTGCATATTAGTAACCTGTCAAAAATTGAGCCCACCATTCAGAAACATGCAGCATCCAGAATGCAATTGCATCCTATTTTTCTGCATTGGTTCTGGGGATGCAGATGAGGTATGTTCATATCAGTATGGGAACCAAATAAAATTTTCTAATAAAGGATAAATAAATAATAATAAGATCCCTATCCTCAGGCTGCAGCCTCCAAACCATTTTCCCTTTTACACGCCACCGTTCTTCCATCACGGAATTCACAGTGGTGAGAAGGAATTCCCAAGCAGCATCCCACTCAGATGCTGAAGAGATGCAGCCTCAGCTGCTGCACCAGATGCCTTGGGGACCAGTTCCTGCATTCTGCTCCTGGGTCTTGCTATCCAAACCCAAAGCAAAGGGAAACGGAGAGAACAGGGCATACCTGAAAATAGCGGTGTAGATCTGGTGCCGGGGATTGGTGAATTTTTCCACAAAGCCGAAAGAAGAGTACAGGTACGGTATGACATGATTGAGGAGGCTCACCACCACCGGCAGAATCAGGGTGGCAGCTTCGTTTTCCAGCTCCGACTTATCCCCATCCAGAAATAACTTGAGGGTGGGAGGAGGAGGAGATGCAACATCCATATGAACATCTTGAGAACATGGTCACTTTTTTCTGTTTATGCTAAATGTGTGAAATTGCTCCAGGAACACTAGGCTATGCTTGGGCTTTCTTTCAGAGGGCAATGAGAAGAAGCTGGTCTCTTGCATTTGTGGGCACCATATTTGCATCTTAGGGCGCATGCCTGCTTCTGAGCAGTTCATGCAACAGCGACAAACAGAACACCTGCTTTCTGGTGCTGCTGCTTGTTTCCCTTGGGGGTCGATGGCAGCGTCCCTCAGTACCACCCAGGAACTGCAGGGGGCCCATTTCTGTTAGGGCCAGAGCACAAGGGGAAGATTAAACCTCCTCTCTCGGTGGCCCTAATCCAAGCTGGACAATCCAGCAGCCATGGGAGCCATTCTGGCACAGTGTTTACAGTGCTGGAGTCAGGAGATCTGGGGTTTTGCTTATCCATGAATCTTATTGGGTGACTTTGGCCCGTCACTGACTCTCAGCCCTACCTACCAGGGCTGTTGTATGGAGAAAATGGAGAAGAGGGTCATGGAAACCAGCTGATGTTCTATGCAAGATGGGATATCTTGTACGAAACCCAGCCCTAAAGCAACGTTATCTACAAGAGCACACTCCTGTTTTACAATCTAATCCCAGCACCATAGGAGAGATGATACTAATATCTGGAGACATTACAAATGCATAAGAAATAAAATCACTGGACCTTACCTCTAAATTGACAAGGGAAAAGAAGAAAATGCCCACACACGCACCCACTGCTGTTCCCAACGCAACGAGCCAAGCCAGCAGATGAATAAAGAAGCGAGAAATTCTCTGACTGGCAGAAAGGTTGAGAGCTTCCGTCTGTGCTTCGGATAAGGTCTCCTGGAGTCAAAACATGTACTAATTAATCACTCTGGGTTCAGGAGCATCACTTGTTAAACCTAACCAACACTTTTTGCAATAAAAATTTTCTGTGATGTATTTTATTTATTTATTAAAACATTTTTATGCCGCCCCATTCGCCGAAGCCTCGGGGCGGCTTACAACACTAAGTTAAAATAATTACAATATAAAGCAGCCTTCCCCCATTTTCTGTGGTCCAGATGTTTTGGGTGGCGCTCCGGATGAGCTCACAGCAGAAAGGCCGACAGTGAGGGTGAAGTACGAAGAGGCCCTCGGGGAAGGACGAGCAACCGCCTGGGGCTGTGGACAAATGCGGCCCTTTGCAGAACGGCCACAAAATGGCTGCCATGGAAGGCACGGCAAGGCGTGAGCGAGCGGTCCAGAAGGCCGAGTGTGACACAGCAGCGGGCTCGAAATCCCAACACACGAAGCGAGTCCTTTGAACCCACAGTTTTCGGCACCAGCAGAACCCCATCGCACGGCAATCCTAGCTGCTGGTAATGTGTTGCTCTGGCAACCCCCTGACTGGACTATTGCAATGTGCTCTGCGTGGGACCCTTGAAGACGGCCCAGGTACTTCAGCTGAGCAGAGCAGCCAGGCTTTTGACGGGACTGGTCGAGGTGAGCATATAACACCGGTCCTGTACTATCTGCACTGGCCTGAAATCCAGACCCGATTTAAGGCGCTAACGGTGACATATAAAGCCCTAAATGGTCGAGGGCCTGGGTATCTGCAGGAGCACCTCCTTCCATATACACCTCCCTGACCCCTAGATCTTTGTCTGAGGGCCTTCTCTGGGACCCCTCTTCAAGTGAGATCAGAAGAGGGGCTACCCAGAGAAGGGCCTTTTCTGCGGTGGTGCCCCAGCTCTGGAACCTGCTCCCTGGAGAGGTGTGTCTGACGCCAACACTTCATTTCAGTGCCGGGCCAAACCCTTTTTATTTTCCCTATATTTTGAGGTTTAATGCAGTTCTAATGATGGGTTTTATTGTATATTTATATTCTGTGTGTGCTATGTATTATACCACTGTCCTGAGACTCTTGGTATTGGACAGGATATACATGTCTTAAATAATGAAATGAAATGAAACTGACGAGAACGAAGGGAAGGTAACTATACAATAGTTACTAAAAGAGAAATGCTGGTCCTGTGCCCAGCCCCCGTCTTCCAAGAGCAGCCGTGCTACTGGCAGGATATCAACTAGCACAGAGGTCCTCAAGCTGTGGCCGGCGAGCTTCCTTCACAGGGTGTGCAAGGAAGTTGCCGGGCCGTTGAGAACACGCTGCCTTTGGCTCTGCCCCATTTCCCTGCTAAGGGGCCCTGCTGAGTGGACCAAGCCCTGTGACTTACAGTGCTCGTTTTGATGATCAAGCCGCTGCTGAAGAAGAAGTGCCATTAAAACATTAGTTATTTATATGCTTTGCTATATCAAAGAAGGGGAGCAGCCTGTTGAAGCAACTTAGTTCTACAAACAGAACACACACTGAAGTAAAAGACCAAAACATAAAGCAGCTTTTACCCCAGTAGTGGAAAACTTGCTTTACCAGCCAATGATCCCAGGTTCTGTAGGCCTGGAAAACCTTCCACTGCAGAACCCGAAATGGATGCTCCCAGAGGGAGTAGACAAAACTAAAGCCGATTCTTGGCTTGACTCCGTATAAGGCCGCATCCAACGTTCCTGCAGCCTTTTCCTCCACCGATGTCTAATTTCAATGGCTCTCACCCCTTCTTGTGCTAACATGCCCCTTGGTTCAGCTACAGCCCAGGAGGATTGGAAGGCTCCATTTCCATTACACACCCTTCCTGTGACTCCCATGACATACCTTAATTTGAGTACTGACGTTTTCCTGCCTCTGCTTCACTGCTTTCTCGTTGGTTATGTTGAAATCCCAGCTACAGAGAAGTTTGGCCAAATTTCCAGAGTATATCTGAGGGTGTACAAAATTGTTGCGGAAGGACTTCGCCATGCTACGGTGGCCATGCAGCATGCAAGAGCAATTGTGTGGGAGGGAGAAAGGAAAGAGGAAGAAAAAGAAAGGATTAAATAATGGTATCTATAATAAATATGGCAGCTTCTTAAAATGCCATTTGCAAAGGCTACCCTTCCAATGCAATCCTATATTCAAGTTACGCTGTATTCAAAGGTCTTACTTTATTGCCATGTAAACAGGCCTGAGAAAGAGCTGCCCCAAAGTGAGGGAACCCGCAGCCCTCTGGATAGTGCTGGACTCCATGAGCCCCAGTCAGCATGGTGAACAGCTGGGGCTGAAGAGTGTGGAAGCCAGCAACATCTGGGGGGCCACACCTTCTCCGTCCCTGCATTAGGCACAGGAAGGAAGTGGCCTTCTGTGGAGCTAGACCAGTGGTCCATCCAGCCAAATCTTGTTGATAGTCTCAAGCAGTTTCTCCAGCCCTACCTGGAGAGATCGGGAGATGAATCTGGGATGCCAAACACGCTCTGAACTATAGTCCCTCTCCTATGACAACATGTTGGAGGACAAAGCTGTGCGTCTCAATACACCTTGCCCTTGAGCCCTCAAACCACCCTGGTAACTTCACGCTCAGTAGAAGATGCGGTCCCTTTACCAGAATTGAAATCAGACTCCACTCCCAGGTGACCAACTTCTGAGCATGGAATGGTCATGGATGGGGAGCCCTCTTCTCTCCCCCGATGCAACACAATGTGGCCTTCTGTGCCTAAAACCACAGCCCACACCTGTCACCTGTTTCAGACGGTATTTTTCTCCCCATCTTGAATAACGACATGACAGCCCACATGCTCACCTACCCTCCTCCCCACAGTTACAGCTTCTTGCCAGTTGCTTTCAATCACAGTTGCTGCAAGAGGGCTGGACATCAGCCCAAATTTTCTGTGTTTTTCTTTCTTTTTTTAAAGGAAAGAAAAGAGACTTTGGAAGGAGGTATTTCTGAGCAGAGAAGCAGAGATGGGTACCTCTGTCCCTAGCTGGTTTTCTGTCCCAACACACACACACACACACACACACACACACACACACACACACAATGTTTCCTCTACCTCAGGGGGTTCCAAATGAATATTCACCCTGCATACACCTGTCCAGAACCCCACAGAGGAAATCAACTGGGTGAGGAGAAGAGACAATTTAAAGTGAAAGCTGCCCATGCAGGGAGGGTCATGCAGTGCCACGGATGAGAGGGCACAAAGTTGCTTTTCTGTCTAAAAATTGCCCACTGGGAGATGCATTACATGCCATGCCACTGCATGTAACATTAGCACCATTAGCACTCATGGTTGTCATGGGGAGAATGTTTATTGACTGAGGGTGTAAATGATGCTTTTCCCAGCTCACAGTCAAGGTACAAAGTACCCAAGGTCTGGCACCTGAGGTAGAAAATCTGCAAACAACTCTCTTCTTCCTTGGCAATAAAATGCAGTAAGAACAATAAAGAGTTTGCTGCCCTTTTGGGACACCCAAGATCAGCTGCTGGGACAGCTAGTACACCGGGGCTAAAAATAAGCTTGCCCTGAGTTTTGCTACACCAACAGCCAAGAAAGATTGCCCAGTTCTGGGGCTGTGATCCTGTGGCCCTAGACAGCGCCTGAGGAGCCGTGGGACTTTTCAGATTCCCAGATCCAAGGTCAGAGACACACACTGGCCTCAGAGGCCACTGGGCTCTGCCTGACCCCACCAGCACCGCAGTCGGTGTGGAAAGAACAGCGTCTTCTGCTCTGCAAGATCAGAAAAGCGGCAGAGCAGAGGGGAAGAAGGGGCCATTTCAGTGGGCAGGAGGGAAGGACACGAGGGGACCTGAAGTACCTCCAGTCTCCTTCCCTCCACTTCCGAGAGGCTGCAGCTAAATATGCCAATAGGCTCACCTAGTAAGCATGGGGAGCAGAAGGACAGAAAGGGAACCCTTGTTTCCTGTTGCATCAGGTGCCCATTAGCACCCACCTTTGTCTGTCTACAAGCATCTCAACAGGACTGTGCCCCAAATTTATTAAGTGTCTACTTTCCCATTGTTGTTCTTGTTACATTGCATTCATACCCTGCCTTTTTTTCCTCTTGCAAGGAACCCAAATGGCTTACATAGACCTCCTCCATCCATTTTATTCTCACAACAACAGCCCTGCAGTGTGGGTTAGGCTGAGAGTGAGTGACTGGCCTAAAGTGTGGCTAATGACCACACCATATTGGCTATCTCTTTCTTATGTGGTCTCTAAGCTTTGGCATAGCCATGTATTCTTACAGTTTCATTTCCCATACCATTAAAACAGGAATATTTCCCAATATTTAGCATGCCAAATATTCAGTTTCTGACCTCCACTGTTAGCAGATCAAGATGCCATTATGCCAGCTTTCACAATGAGTAAACCAAGATTTTTAGTTTTTAAAACAATATGCTTAAGGTTGATCAGATATCTGAATACACATGTTCATTTTGAAATAAAAAGAGGAGTGTAAAAATCACTGTACCTGTACAGCAAGCTAAAGAAGCAGATAATGAAATAAATCCCGATGGTGAAAATATAGGCCAGCTGCATGTAGTACGGAGAAAGACTGCTGGACTTTGCAACTGTAGTGTTGCTGTAAAAACCATAGTAGAGCACTGTGTCTTGAAAATAACCCTGAAATAGCAAAAGGGAGATATGGCAGCTAGGCAAGGTACAAGCCATCCACAGAAGGCTGCTCTTGTGAGAACCCACAGCCTAAAGCTCCCCACGCCCCCTCAGCCCCCACACACAGAAGAGAGTGGCCTGTTTTTTGACAGAAGCAATCATGCTGAGCATAGTTGGTTGTCTCATGGGAATATTGCTTTTTAATAAGGGCAGAGCATAAGGCAAGGGATGTATCTATGCAATGCAAACCTTCTGGAGAAGGTTTGGCACATTGGGGTCATGTTAGACTCTGGACTCAACAGTCTTACTGTGGGGAGGGGGATTCTGTGACTGCTCCTGCGTATTATCTTGCTTCCGCCAAAATGTGGTGATCCAGCCCCGCTGCGTTTGGAAGGGCCCTCCTGTGATCATTCTGCTAAATGGAGCCCCGGACATCTGACATAGGTCCTGCCCTGATGACACTACTAGGCATCTAGCCAGAGACAAAGAGAAGGGCAAAGACAGCATTGTTCTTGATGTTAAAAGGTACTTACAGCTCCGGTGAAAAATTCCAGGCCTGTGAATGAACGGCTATTTGGTTTGGCTATTATGAGCTGAGGAATGGCCAGGAAACTGAAGTTCACCAGGAATGAGAAAGTGTTAAACATCAGGAGCCATGTCAGAAACACAAAATAGGAAAGGACACCAGACCCAAATTTGCCACCAATGTCTTTTAGAGTCTTCTGCCAAATTTTTAAGAGCTGGAAGCTGTCCAATAAGCTATTTTTAAACTTCCGAAAAGACTAGAGGGGAAAAGAAAGAAACAAACAAACCTATGAGCCTTCAATTGATATGTCACCCAGTTTTCATATTTCAGTGCTTTAATAAGTGAAACAAACAGGCTACATTCATGCATGAATTTCTCTGGGAGCTTTTTTTATGGAATAAATAGTATATTGTTTGGCATGATAGTCAAACTCTTCCCTTATCTCTACTGTGCTTATTTTCACAGAGATTCCAACAAATATGCATCAGCATACCACAAAATAAATAATGCTTCATGTTCAGTTTTTTGATGGGAAGATTGCGATAACTTTATAAAACAATTTCCATTAATGCAGCAATAGGCAGATGTCAATCCCCTGATTGGGTTATCTTTACTTTTTACAAATTATGAGCTATAGGCCCCTGCCATGTTTTAGGTCTGCAAAGCAAGAACACATTCTGGATCATTAAACACTTAGGTCCACTAGAAGTTCTTTACTAGAATGACCCACTTATTATTACAATCCAGCTGCTCAGAAAACTAATGACCATGATGATGATGAGGATGATGAGGATGATATAGACAATTTCTCATCCCCCTGGAGAATTTTGGGGAAACAATGGTCTTCCCCACCATTTGCATGCCACAAATAGAGTGGGCAATTTCAAGAGGCCATTTATACATAGCTCTAACAAGAATATATATCAGAAAAAGAGGACAGAATGCTGTCCAATAAGGAATGAGGAATCTGATCTTTCAAATTCCAATATGTAGGGACATAACCTTCACAACCTAGATTAATATAAAGATGGAAAGTGAAGGGGAAAGATTTGAAATGGAGCATAAGGAAAAACACAAGAACATATTATTATCATTATCATTATCATTATCATTATCATTATCATTATTATTATTATAACATTTCTATGCCGCCCCTTGCCGAAACCTCGGGGCGGCTTACAACATGATAAAATACATTGAAATACAATAGTACATAATAAATTACCATTAAATATAAAAATACAAAAAATACATTGATTTACAAATTAAAATTATCAGTATAAAATAAAAATATAGGAGGAGAAAGAGAAGGAAGAAGAAGTTGCCCAGGCCAGATCATATGTTTTAACAATTGAAATGATGTTTAAATAAAAAGGTCTTTACCTGGCGCCGAAAAACCAGTAACGACGGTGCCAGGCGGACCTCTTTGGGGAGTGAATTCCATAGGTTGGGCGCCACCGCAGAGAAAGTTTATAGTTTAATGTTTATATTCTACCTCTTAGCTAAAAACAGTTTCCCAAGGTAGCTTATACAGAGAATGGACAACCCCTGCCTGCAGACTTACAATCTAAGACATGACATAAAAAGGAAAGGGAACTGTGGGGGAAAGAGGAAGGAAGCTAATTCAGGCACTGGATTCTAAGTTGTGGAGTTCAGCAGGTTATGGACATAGTGAAAACGCTGCTGCTTCCTCTTCCTCTGCTGTCTTCAGCAGGTTCACAGGTGTGTGGCTGCAAGAATGGAGAGCCTCAGGATGATAATAGGCGGGGGGATGCCTGCTGGCAAAGTGCAGCAGGTACTCACCCTGGGTATTGCCCCACAGAGGCTGCCCTTTGGCTACATATGAGATCTGTCAAAAGTTGAGCTGTCAAATGTAACCAAAAGTGCAGGTGAGCTTAGCTGGCAAAAAGGATGGTGGATTGTTCAACTTCATGGCAACATCCTTGGTTGTTGGGGGGCCTTTGGGGGGGTCCTGTGTCCCAAGGGTGTCCTCACTTCTGCTCTTGTTCCCAAGATTTTACCATTACCGGAACATGCAAAAGTGCGAGCTGCCCCATTTAAAAAGTCCAGTTGTTAAAGAGTGAATGATACAGGGTTGATTCCACACACACCCCCTGCCTTGGAACTATTCTGGTATGTAGAATTATATTGTTGTGATGAGCGATGATCCAGTTAATTAATCTGATCCTGGTATGCATGGCCTTCATGCACCCAGTCAACTGGCTCCTGTCGATGGTGGGCACCGTAGCGAAGGAAGGTTGGGCTAATCCACTTGAGTATGCGGCCTTCCTCCTTTGGGAGAGGATGGAGGGAGCCCAAGACAAGAGAACTCCAGCTGGAGGAGCAAGAAACCCTTGCTAATGCGTCCGATTCAGGCGCACCTTGCTCGGCTTTGTCGCGGAAGCAGGCGGGCGGCTCCAGGGACGGGGCGGCTCCAGGGACGGGGCGGCACCTGCGCTCCTGCTCGGAGCGGGACACCGCGCCGCCTCTTCCCCGAGAAGCAGGAGCGGCGGCCGAGAGGACGAGCGGGACGACCTGAGCGCAGCCAGCGCGCCCGCCGTGCCGGATCCGCCGCCTGCGCATCCCGGGGCGAAGAGAAGGTACTGAGGAGCGGCGTGTGCTGAGCGCCCGCGGAGCTGCCTGTGGCCACGGCGCGCGCCCGCCTCTTTCCCGGTTGCTGTTCCGAAACGGGTCGCGCTTGCTTCTTGCCTTCCCTCTTCGTTCTGCCCGCGTATGCCGTGGGGTTTGCCTGCTGCTCAGAACTTACGGGGTTTCTGCAACGTCTCGTATCTGCTGGTTTTAAGTTCTTTTTTCTGGTGCGCTTGGAGAGGGTTGGGCTCAGAGGCAGGAGGAAAACGGAGAGCGCTTGACCATGTACCCTCTTCCAGGGCGCGCGCGCGCACCGGGGGAGCGTCAGCTGCGTTTCCCACGGTATTCCCCCCCCCCGGTGCCCCCCCGTCCCCCCACCACTTCCACTGCCTCCCTGCAATGTGCTAGCTTCTAAAACCAGGGTCGTGCAGGGGATGAGGAAGAAGAGAGGTTGGGAGCTTGCCGCCCGCCCGCCGCTGCCAAGAATGTATTTTATTTGAAGTTCTTCCTTTAAGCTGCACTTGCATCCTGCACTTCCTCCACAGAGCTCAGGGTGGCAGAGAAGTTTCTTCCCCCAACTCCATTTTATTTATGTAACAACAGTCCTGTAAGGTAGGCTAATGAAAGGGGCTGACCTGCGAACAGTGCACTGGGATTTTGAGTAGGGGATTTGTTTGCGGCTCAGATTCTAGTCCAGCGTTCAAACTTGGCCTTCTTCAACCAGCTGGTGCTCCAGGATTTGTTGAATTACAGCTTCCAACATCCGTAGCCGAGAGGCTGCTCTGCATGACCGTTTCAAAACAAGATTAAAGGCCCCTTTTGGGGAAATAGAGCCCCCCCCCCCCCCCAGGGGCCTGGAAAGATCTAGTCCCTGTTGTCTCTTCCTTCACTCAGGGATTTTTATGGAATGCAGAATAATAATTCCACAAGTCACCTTTGGAGTTTCACCAATAAGGAAGTGAAGGCAACATGCTGGGACTGATGGGGAAAAGGATCTAAGGAAGGCTGATTAATGATTGCTAACGTCAACAGAGTTGTAAGCTCACCAAACTTCTCAAAAAAGGGATAGGATCAGAGCATGGCTGTTTCCAGTCTCATTCAGTCCTATGACTTCGGGTGTGAACAGAGTCCTCCACCTACTAAAAGAAACTGACAAACAAAATAGCTATGGCAGCCTTCTCCAATCTGGTGCCCCCCAGATAGGTTGCACAGCAACTCCCATCATTCCCATTTAGCGTGACCATTGGCTTGCATCATGATACTAAAACCAGGCAAGTTCTTTGGAGAAGAAAAAGTCTTTCTCCCTAAATCTGGGTATGGCTATAACTCACTCATGCACACGCATGTTTAAACTGTCAGAATGGACGCTACAGATGAAAAATATTCTTTTTGTTAGACACAATGCCACGGAGATGAGTCTTTGTGATGTTTCTGTTGTGATGCATTTCTTGTTTTTAGAAAGTCGTATTTGTTTTAGCTGTCTTTCTCTCCCACTCCAAATGAACTTGTCAGGTAGGTTCTTGAAAGCGATACATCTCATTAAATTATAATCTGAAACTGGTAGCAAGCCCGTATCAGATTTACCTTCCCAATTCAGGGCAAACTGGGATGCTGTGGCAAAGCAGAAGTCCTAAGTTCGTAATGCTGGAGGCTCAGGCAGTTGTATTATAGACCGTATAGCTTGTTTCTCTTTATCATTCACTGTATTTTTATTTATTTTATAAAATACTTTTTAACAGGCCTTTTAACCCTCAAGGTAGCAGAAAGCAGATCAGAATCTGTTGATACATTTCTGGGTGATTTGCAATATAGTGGCAGGAGTTTGATTGTATTATCTAACACAAGAACGGCTAAGTTGCTCCTCCCTCTCCAAAAACCATGCTTGCAGGAAAGCCAGGATGGGTTTGAGCCTGCAAGTTCTTGTGAGCTTTGGTACTGATCACAAATTTCTCAGGTAATATGTGTCCAGAAGCACCCTGTTTCTTAAATTCTCTGTGCATTATGGCCCACACTACTATTTTGCACCTGGCTCCAGCTGATGGATTTTAAATATCCTAGGAAAATACAAAACAGATCCTCCAAGCCTGAACTCTGCCCACCTCTGGCTTACAACATCAGCGGAAAACATGGTATGATTAAATGAAGAACATGAAACCAAGATCTTTGAACATGAAACCAAGATGGTGGGCGTGTCGTGAGTGGAGCCGCCTGGAGCTGGGGGTCAGACTAGATGGCCCGGGAGACCCCTTCTGACTCTCTCTGTTTCTATGTTTCTAAGATCTAAAATAGAGCCATTTAAAAGTACTATTTTCCAGCAGGGACAAGGAATAGCAACCTTATAGCAACCTTAAGCCTGCTATCCTGTGTATATTTAGGCAGAACAAAGGTTCCGTTCTTAGCATTTCCCAAGCAGCTTGACTGGCTAGAGAATACTGGGAATTTTAAGAGTCTTTCTTTCAGTTTCTTCTTTCTTCCTCAGCACAGAGTTGCACCTAAAATAGTCCAAAAACTTGGCAAACTGAGAGATGCCATTTTACTAAATGCTACAGCCACAGACTTTTAAAATATTTAAATAATATTTAAAGTATTTTAAAAATTACTGCATTATGTTCATTGTTCTGTTTATTGTGTTTATTATTGTAAATGACCCTAAGGCTGCCTGCCACTTGGGCAGTATATAAATATAATGAGTATATAAATAAATATGCCAACAAGGAAACTGTCAATGGAAAAGGCTGTATTGTACAGCCTAGCCAGTCAAAACTTTTCTAGTCAAATAAGTGCAAAAGCAAGCCTTGTTCAGGGCAGGAACAGGCAGGAAAACTGCTGACAGGGACTATCCCACTGTATGAAGTTATTTTCTGGTGGGGAAAACAAGAAGTGGAGTGGACTTTCCTTTGTTCTCTTCCACAGATTGTTTTGGAGAGTAGATCCTTTTTCAGGCTTCTGGGAAGAGAAAAGAGCTTATATCGATGTTCCTGGCACCAGAGCCAAAGTAAAATGTATTAACTTGCTAGCCGCAAGTGGGGTTTTTCCTGCCAGCTATTTCCTGATGACATGATACTGCAGATAAGCCACTGACGTGATCATAAAAGAAATTTCTGTCAATGCAGACATATCTGTCCTTTGCTTCACATTAGTTATAATGATGTGAGTATACCTGTGTGAGATGTGGACTCCTCAAGGCCATTGCCCTTTTCTAACGTTAATTCAGTACATACCAAATATATAGTAATTCTAGCATGTAGGATGTTTGCTTAGTGAAGGCCATCGAACATTTCTTTGGGACTTCTTGTTTTCTTTGCGCAAGTTAAAACATGCCATTTCATTAGAAAAACAAACAAATATGTTTGAAGTGGATTAAATCTCCCAGCCGAAAGACAAGGCCTGGCTGGAAAAGGAAGAGCTATACTGCTTGCTGACTAAGGTTGTAAGGAATAAATCCCAGTAGTGACGATACGGATGCAAAGTACCAAGCAGTAACAGTTTAATTCGTTCTTGCAAGAGCGGGCGTCCACCGCACAGGCAGCGCGCAGTTTACACACAAGACATTGCTTTTTATTCCCTTTTCCCGGCTCGCAGACCCTTCCTCTTTCTCCCATTGGCTGGGTTACTAAGAAGTTACAATCTTCTCTGTCCGCCTACATCATACGACCCCTTGATATGTTCTCCCTCCGGCTCATACATCCCATGTTCATGCTAATGAGCCCATTACCTATGAGAGGTGTGTCAGTTACTATTCATGAACCTATTAAGCCTGTGCAGTACCTTCTTTTGTGGCCTTGTAGGTTCTTACTTAACACCAACTTGCTTCTTAAATCTTGTGGGAGGATGAGATAGGAAGAACAGGCCTTCCTCCAGGCTCATTACAGCCAGTTGTAAAAGGTAATCAGTTTCCTGCTCTCTTCCACTGAAGGTGACAGTTTTACCACTGTCCCCCAATTTTACCCTCTCTGGTATTTTTAGAACTTTGATGTAAGAAACACTATTGCTTTTAGTCAGTGCTTTTTGACACCAATCCCAAGGCTAGCAAGCAGGTCCCAAGCAGCCAACTCTCACGAGCAGATAGCAGACACAATAGCAGCCTGCAGGCACTATGGTAATGATGTTTGCTGCTGATCTGCTAAGCCCTTCAAAATCACTTTGTAAAATCCATTGAAAAAAAGGTGCCGAAACACTGTTCATTGTATGACAAAAAAAGCCCTGCTTTTAGTACAACTATTCACATGGTTCTATTCTCAGGACTTTTAGCCTTAAGGAATTCAATGATCCTACCCTAGCCCTGTATTTCGCCCTTTCTTTGGTTTTCATCTTACCACTTAGTAACAGTAACATTTCATTTCTCACAGGGTCATATTAATTTGCCAGCTCATGTGTTGGCAAAACTAGCCCTCAGTTTGAAAAACTAAGAATTTGCATATATAGTTGTGGGGATTTTTGCTCTCTCTCCCATAATGTTAGAACTTGGGGGTGGGGTATCAGGACATTTTCTTCGAAAAACAAGTAGCAATGAGACATGACATTGTTATCATGGAAGATTTCAACTTCCCTGATATTGGTGGCAGACACATTCAGCCAAACATGGCCCTTCCAAGAGATTTCTCATATGTGTCTCAATAACTTCCTCCAGCAGAAACCCTGCCTTTCTTGAATTCTCTGTTAAGAAGATGGCAAATGCCTGCTGTAGCCAAACAAGTATCCTGAACTTCAAAAGGATAGACTGTAAGAAGTCCAAGTCAGCGAAAAGCAAAATCCCCTGGCAACTCACCCTAAAGAAAAAAGGAGTCTATGAGGGATGGGAGATCTTAAGAAATTCTTAAAGCACAGTAACAACTCATCCCAATGAAGAAAAAGAATAGAAGACTACAAAGGAAATTCTCATGGCTTCACAAAAAGTTAGGAGGGAACTTAAAAGCTAAGAACATGTACAGGAAGTGGAAGGGAGGTCAGGCTTCAAAAGAAGATTGTAAACAGACAGCAAAGACTTTCAGGGATGGTGTCAGGAAGGCTTAAGCGAGTTATGAAAAGTCTAGTAAAAAAACAAACAAACAGATGACGAGGAAAAGGCAGAGGTGCTCAACTCCTAATTTGTATGGAGCACCCCATGACTTCAGTGGGCTGTGGGCAGGGCACATGTGTGTGAGTGAACCTCTTACGAGCTTCTTGCAGGTCTTGTGAATATCGGTGCAGAGCGCTAGACTTAATGGACCTTTGTTTCCTTCCAGCAGGTCTCATTCTATCTAGTTATAAAGGAGGAGCTTGTTTTACTCTTCCTTAATTCTTAGTACACTATTTTGTTTCGTGTTAAGAAGACTGAATCTTTTAAGTCGGGATGCATTTGTGCAAGATAACAAGCCAAAGCAACTACAGCTCGAGAACTACATCTCAGAAAGAGGCCCAACTCTTATCTCTGCTGGGTTGAATTGATATGAAGGGTTTTTAAAAATTATTATCATCACATTGCATGTGTTAATCAGCTCACTAAGGGAAGCGTTTCTGTTATCACCCAGTCTCTATTCTGTGAACTGTAAGTGTTGATACAGTAATTATCATGGCCTGCCTTTCCTGTGTTTCCCTCTGACCTCTTTGTTTATCATTCCTGTTCCTTTCAATCATGTAATATCAGTAGCTTAGTGGAACACTTTCTGCACCTGACAAAGCGGCCTCCAGTCCATAAAAACTTGAACCATAATTCATGTGCTCTCTCTTAAGGTGCCACAAGACTCTGTGATCTGTTTTAGGGTCTGGGACTGCAGCAGATTAGCACAGCTACCCCTTGGGATTTATTTTCCATATTTGTGTGTATGGATGTTGCTCTTATTTGTAGAACAGGTAGGAAAGTTGCTGTTCAGATTTGGAAAGGACAGGGTTAATAGAGCCAGAAGGACTGTTTGAAACTTCCTTAACACTCATTGCCACAGTATGCCAGCTGCAACTTTTTGTTCTGTAAATTACAGGTAAACAGCCCATGTGACTAGGAAATAGCTCTTCTGGAAGGTGAGAACCCTTCTGACTAAAGAAATGCCTTTATCTCTCCTTCCTCCCCACCCACCAAGCTAAGGTAGGGAGATCTGTGTATGAGATGCATTACACATATTTCACTTTTTCCAGTGGAAAGGCTGGCCTCCAAGAATTCCAAGAATATTGCACCAAACCTCTACTGCTTGCATTGGCTACTTTTTGGGTCCAATTTAAACTGCTGGACTTTATTTTTCAAGCCCTCTTCTAAGCACAGGGAGCCTGGGCTCACATTGATAAGAGATGCTAAGTGCGCCCTTGCCAAGAGCAGAGCCTCAGATCTAGGGAATTCTCTCCCCCAGAACAGTTGTGTTGGCTCCATCCTTGAAAGAAAACATTAGACACTTGCATTAAACTGCGTTGCAGTTGCAACCTGATGGCTTTTCTTTTATGCTTAATAACATGAACCTAATGTGCGCCACCTTGGCAGGGCACTCGAGCCTGGGTTTGATCTTCAGCCAGGGCAGGCAGGAAAAATGGTTTCCAGAGGTGAAGCAGGTGGCTGTGCAGCCAGCATATTTTCTAACAGATCAGCCATCAAGTATCTAATGGTAAAATGAGTTCAGGATGAAATTTGACCCGATAAAGCACTATATTAAATTTCCATCCATTTTTTCCTAGAGAGGCGAGGATTTGAAGCCATCATGTCTTTTTACTACAATGAAGCCTTTGAAAACCCGGACTATCACTCCTCTGAAACCCTGGTGGTTGACAGAACGTAAGTCTGAAACACAGCACACAAAGGCTTAGGCTGCTCCTGTTGGGAACTTAACCGAGTAACAGTGCATGTTCCTAGAAGAAACATAACCAGTCAATATCTTATTTCATGAGGGGCTGCAAAAATTTTGCATTGTCTCCTGAAGTCCGATCAGAAATCTCCTCTTTGGAACGCCAGCTCCCACTTTACCTGCTTGTAGCATCCCACTCTTCTGGTTACTAATTAGTCTCCATTGTGCTGAGGGTGATGCTGTTGCATCCTTAGCTTTAAAAGCATCTTATGTCATCACTTGTCTAACGGCAGAGGATGGTGCCAGGGACATAAAGAGCCAGAACTGATGTAAGAACAGGCTTGCACACACGGAGTCCTAAGTTCAGCCTAGGGCTGGGAAGGTCTCCTGTCTGAAATCCTGGAGAACAAGGAGTAAAGGTGAAACCAAGCCGAACTGAGTCTGACCACTTGTTATAGAATAGCTCTGTCTGTTTTTTAAGGTCCTCTGAAAAACATCTTGGGCATCTGGACAGGTTCATATTGGAGCAAGTGCTGCTGAAGTCGAGGATGTGCAAGAATTTCATTCACATTCAAAAAAGATGCCCAGCTTGCACCAAGACGGTGGTTTTCACAAAAGGCTCATACCTGTCTTAAGCTTAAATTTGCAGATGCATCCTTTTGGACTGGAGAACCACTCGCCCACAGGACTTCTATTTTTCCAAGATTTGTTTCAGTTTATTGGCCCTCATCCAGCCCATCCCTCAGTCCATACACTGATCTAGGACTTCCATGACCTCTCCAGATTCAGTTGTTGCAGGAAGCTAGAACTGTGTTATCGGTGTATTGATGGCACTTGCCTCACAATCCCCCAGTGACTGTTCCCAGTCGCTTCAGATGGATGTTAGATAACCCCACAGCTCAATGATTGGATACCTTTGAGTGCAGAATGGGGGGGTTTCAGGAGTTTTCACATCACTGTATCTTTGGGGGCAGTAGTGTTGACCAAATTGTCCATGTCCTGGTGTGCGTATGCCCAAAATACACAACAGGGGAAGGTTTTTTTTTCAAGGATTAATTCTCAAGAATAACCAGCTAACAATGAATCGTTCCAGGTGGCACAACTGAGCAGTCCTTGGTCAGTCCTTTTATACAGGGATCCATAAAGGGTTACACGTAACACAGTTAACACTCTCCAATAGGTTACAGAAGTAAAAAAGTTACACTGGCATGATCTTTCCCGCTTGCATACCGAAGAAGATGCCCCGAAGGAGGGGGAAGATGGGGTGCTATTACCTAGAGGAGGAGGAGGATGGGGTGGCCTGGTGTGAATTGCCCTTTGTGCTGCTGGTATCTGTCAAGGGCCAACTAGCTTTCTCTGGACGGTGCCTGGCCAGTGCCAGCTACATTTCAAGGACGCACACATGCTAATTTCTAGAAACGAAGGTTTTTCTCGGGCCTGGTTATATGTCAATGATGGCCTGATTTTACCTCTGAAAGTTCTACCTACTGATTTGTGCATCAGTTGGAAACTACTCCTTCACACAAAGATGCATTTACCACTCCCTGGACCCACTCATTTAGATCCCCTTAGCTAGCTTTTATCAGCCAGGAGGGGCAGGGATCAGGAGGGTACCCGATCAGTCACACTGCCGCAAGCCCCTTCCCCGCATCATCAGGCCGTAATAACTGCAGTTGTTCCTTCAAACCCATGTCAGACACCTCGACTGGAGCTGCTCTAGCAACACGGTCAAATACACTGTAGAAACCAGCAATTTTGTCCTCAGCGCGCCATGATAAAAGGTCACAGCAGATCTAATCACACAGAAGGCACATTCCAGGACATCAGCATCTATAGATGTTACACTTATTCAAAATAAGTTTAAAACCGCTTTTGATTTCTTTTAGCTCATGCATTTGAAATGTTTATTGAAATGGGGTTTTTTGGTTGTTTTCTTCCCAACTGCCTTATTTGTCACATAGACGACCTTCTCTGAGCAGCACTTTCCCCCAACATAACCCTTACGATTCCTATGAAGAATATGGCGTGGAAGGAAGACAAGGGCAGATTCCACCAGGGGAAATCCCTATGCAGTCAATGTGGACTCAGTCTGATGCTGAATACAGTCCAAGGGATTTGGCATTCAGGATTCCCCATTCAAATCCATATGGAAATGCACAGAGTACGTAATCGTATGCATTTAAACAGTAACAAAGGAGATTTGTTGTCCCTGCGCGATTGTTTATATTTTACTTATGTATTGTTTTAATTATTGTATTATTATATTGCTATTTTAATTGTTGTAAGCTGTTCTGAGACGTTTTATCAGGAAGGATGGGAGAGAAATGTTTTAAATAAATAAGGCCAGCATCCAGTGGTGTCCTTCCGCAAGCTCAAATAGCAGTGATAGAGCTCTGCTGAATCTTTCTATTACACAAGCACTTGGCCATTGCAGGTGCAATCACAGCTACATGGACATAACTTGAATTGGATTCTCCATTTGTGAAGAGCTTGGAGCATAGTTTCTGCTCGCACAGTGCCGTTTGTATTACCAAAGTGACACAGCTGGTTGCTGCTCTATATAATACCCCCTGGAAAGCCTTCCTCCCCTTAATCTGGGAGACAGAACAAATAGTACATTTCAAATTTATTTATTTATTTATTTATTTTTCGATTTATATCCTGCCTTTTTCCTACAAAGGGCTCAAGGCAGCTTACATCTCCTCCTCCATCTTATCCCCACAACAACCACCCTGTGAGGTAGGTTGGGCTGAGAGTCTGTGACTGGCCCAAAGTCACCCAGTTGGCTCCATGGCTGAGCGGGGACTAGAACCCAGATCCTCTGAGTCCCAGTCCCGTGCTCTTCACCACTACACCACACTGGCTCTCTCTTTTTTTTTTTTTTTTTTGAAAGTCAAATGACTTTCAAAAATTAACTTGTTATAGAGGCCTTGTCTGATTTGTAAATAATTGCGATTGATCAAATGCTGCTACATCTAACAACTTTTTGTATCGTTTTGAAATATTTCAATTTTTAAAAAAAATGCTGCTTCCAATAGTACTACTTTGCTATTTTAGATGAAATAGCTTTTCATAGTATTCTGATATTGTATTTTAAAGTGCTAACGTGTAAAATTAATATAAAATGCAGCGTACAGTGGTATTTTATGTGCACAGTGCATGTGTGTGCAGAAATAACAGTATTGAAATATGGGATGGATCCATCCTGAGGAACATGCAAATAGGCTGGTGGAAGTGGAGTGTCCCGCCCTCTCCTCCCCATGGCAACTCCTAAAGAACATTACACAGAAGGCCAGGGGTTGTGATGCATGGGGTGAGCTGAAGAAGCCCCTGTGATCAGGCAGGGGCCCCTTCTGTGAGCAGAGCCCTTCCATCCATGAAAGGCTGATCCTGTTTCAATCTTTATTTACATCTGGAACCCAGGAAGTTAAGAATCTGCATGGATACAAGTTTTACCATGAAGTGTTTGCTCCTGCAGAAATCTAGGTTTCTTTTGATTAAAAAAGACAGATTTCTAGCCCTCTTGAGAGAAGGACTGTCACAAAATATCTGTGAATATGGAATATTAATTGTTTGGAAACAACAGATTGTGTGTATGTGTGCATGCACATGGAGGACTTCTGAACTTGGCTCTCCCCTGGTTCTCACTAGGATGATAAACTTGTGTTTGACTTAATGCTACTGGAGCCACTTCATACTGCAGGAGAAAGCTCATGCAGCAAAATCTTCCTTTGTGCAAAATAAATGTAGAACTCCCTCAAAGCACGAGTTAAGTCTTGTACTCTTCTCTTATTTTTAACAGTCAATCCTTCATTTGAATATGAACCGGAATTTGCACAGACGCTGCCCACTGCCAGGAGTGCTTTGAATGATGATTACGCACACAGACCTTTTGATGCAGATGATGGAGGTAAGGTTGTTGGAGATCAAGTGTTGAAATGCAAGTTTCAGTCCAAAAAAGTATTAAATTGAATAGGCTTCTTAGTGACCCAGATGTTAACATTTTTGGGAAAGCTACTGGATAGCTAAATAACTTTTGATTATCAATAGACTTGTGAAGACCATGTATAATAAAGATCATGAGGGTGTCACAGTGTTTCTTTCTGACATCAGTGGTGCATCTAGTTAATTTTAGTCCCTGGATTCACTAGGCTTTTAGGAGCACCCTCTTTAGACGATAATTATCTGTCCTCACTTCAAAATGTGGCAAACTAGCTCTGCTGTGTTTGAGGGAACTTGTCAATCTTCCAAGAGGGGCCTGGAACATCTACCCCAACGTCCTACCCTAAGTTTATAATTTCTGACATTTGATTTGAAGAATTTTATTGTGGTGATTAGGGATTGCAGCTGACGCAGTGGTTCAAACCGCTGTGCTGCTGTGCTGGTAGATCGAAAGGTCGCCGGTTCAAATCTGCACAACGGGGTGAGTTCCCGTTGCTCCGTCACAGCTCCTGCCAACGTTGCAGTTTGAAAGCATGCAAAGGCAAGTAGATGAAAAGGTACCACTTCGGTGGGCAGGTAACAGCATTCTCTGCACTTCATTGTTTAGTCATGCCAGCCACATGACCACAGAGACTGTGGACAAACGCTGGCTCCCTTGGCTAGGAAACAGAGATGAGCACCGCCCCCTGGAGCCAGGCATGACTGGACTTAATGTCAAGGGGAAACCTTTACCTTTTTATTGTGGTGATTGCCCCACTTCATCACTAATACATGTGATTAGGGGCAGTATTTTGAACTCCTTTAGACTTAAATGGTATCAGCCTGCTGGCCCAAAGAAATAGAGAATCACGAAGGTTGTAGATGTTGTACAGGACAGAAAAGTCATGCAATCCATTTTTATAGTTAAACATCTGGATATAGAGAATGCAATGCGGCATTCTGGAGATTAAGCCTTCTGTTCATTTTAAGGAGTTCCATAGGATACTCATTTAGGGTGAAAATCCTTCAACTACTACCGTGTTCTCACATCAAAATACAGAAACTGCCAGGAATCAGGAAAAAGTTAACATTATTCGAATCTCTTAGCTCTTGCAAGACCAACGAAGGATGCAGTAATGAGCAGCAGACCTTCAGCGGCTACTTAAATGCATAATTTGGCTTGGAACTGGAAAGTATTATGATGAAAGAAAGAGAGAGCTGCAGCTCTTCTGTTGCAGGGTGCATACACCTATGGTAGGATAGAGAATTTACATATTTGCTTTGTCTAGCGTAGTGTCTTAACTGTCTAACTAAGCATAATGCCATTTACACAAGTAGCAATTCCATGGATTTGTAGAAGTAATTTGCAGATTAGAAATGTGATTTGGATTGGTATTCTAAGCATGGGGGCTGCGATCTTTTTACTCTTGCTGTGGCCCCCAGTTGCAGTTCCTGCAACTACTGTTGCACCTGTTTGAGCCAAGGGAAGGTTTTCTTCCCGTGTAAATAGTTGCCATCCCCATCCCCAGTTTGTGGATTGACATTACAAACCTGTGCATCCTTCCCCCTTTTTGGAAAGCACACAATCCTGAACGTGTGAACTACTACCCTGGGGGTCAGTTTGCACAAATGTTGCAGCTGACAGCCACTTTTGAAACTCTGTCTATTTGAGCTACTGGTATACCATTTGATATTATTAGATCTTCAAGCAGTTTACATTTAAAACACAGAATAGTGCAATATAAAATAATGGCTACATTTAAAGCATTTCAGGAACAGTAGAACAGAGCACTGTGACTGCGAGAGGGGATGCCTGAGTCTATAGGTGCATCTTCAAGAGACAGCTAAAGCTTGCTGGAGTCTCCACCTCTCAGTTCATGGAGAAGGCTGGCTTATTTGCTGTCACGTTGCTGATCCGTCAAACAGTTTTCAGTAGGGCTGCTCAAAGAAAAACAAATAAGAAGTCTCACAGGCCCTATGCCAGGTTTTTTTTTTTTTTTTTTGGATCTTGGTTGTAGAGTTTTGGGAGTAATTTATTGCGTGGTCATGAGACATGGAGACTGATGAAACTTAAATGCAAAATCTAATTCAGGCTTTTGCTTGTAAAAAAAAAAAAACTCCTTTATGTAATGATATTTATCAATCACTTACATTAAAAGATAATTTCTAAGTGATGTACAAAAATACAATATTAGATCATAATTAGATCACATATTGTTCTGTATAAATGACAAAATTATCTTCCTGGTACATTTTGTAGTTCAGGCTTCAAAAATTCTTGGGACATGATGTTAGACCACTCGGATGTGGTTCATTCACCTGGCTTGTTCATTATTGTTTCACTTATCAGTAAAATCTATTTTCCTCTGTCAAATGTTGGACCATATATTGTATAAGCAGCAATAGTTGAGTTAGGCTCAGTGTACTATTGTGGAAGCCTGCATTGGCGCTGTCAGATGTACTTCAATTAAGGGTGCAATCCTGTGCATATTTAGATAGAAAACTTTCAGCATGCCACAACCTAGAGTTGTGCCTTGAGTGGCTGGTTGAGAATAAGCAGACCTATTTAGCTCATTTGTACATTTATTTAGCTTTCACGGTTACAATCATATCCGCATTTACCTGGGAGCGAGTCTCACTGAAATCAGTGGGACTGATGCCTGGGTAAACATGCATGGGATTGTGCTGTAAGATAATTAAAAGGTGTGTGCATTTAATCTTCAGCTAATTTCATTCAGAGAGAAAACAGGCAAGATACTGATACGGTTTTCATGACAGATTCCAGTCAACCTCAGTTGCACCCAGGATATAATGAAGACAGGAAAAAAGGTATTTTATTATGGTTTATTGTTTTGTGCTATGCTGATTATTTTGCTTATGGTTATTAAGATATTATTGATTGTTCTTGTTTTTTAAATCTTACCTGCCATGTCTTTATAAACAGCTTCTGCTATCCGGTGGCATAAAATTATAATAAATGAAGTAAAACTTCTCTTAGAATAAATTGTAGTGCATTATTTTTATGTTATGATTTAAGCATGGGATAAAGCTTAGATTGAGATTAGTTGTACTTAAAATGCTTTAATGGCCCTACCTCGAGACGTTAAAATCATTTGGGCATATGTTTGTCATAACTAACATATACCCCATTGCTTTCAATGGGTGTTCTCACTCTTGTTGCCGGTGCTGTCTGCCCCTGTTTATGAAAAGAACCTTGCCTGGAATCTGTGTGGTTGACCTTTCAGAGATGAGCTGAAACTTTTTTGTCCTCCTTGCATTTTTAGAACCCCCTGATACTGAAGGTGCCTCCAGCTCTTATGCCAGCTGGTTCTAGGTTTTCTAGGTTCTGCAATTTGCATTGTTTATTTTACTGTGGGCTGTTGTTGTTGTTACTGGTTTTTTTTCCTGTTACATGGTTAGTCTTGTGTATGGTGCTTGTTTACAAGGGATTGAAACCAGACTTAGAGTAGCAGACCCACTGAAATAATAATTTTTCTTGCCATTGTGTATTATCCTCATTAGACACTTCGTGGGCTAGAGCCAGATTTAGTCACGCTTAGGACAAAACTAGTGAAATCAATGGTACTTAAACTAGCCAGGCTTAACTTAAATCCCATTTATTTCAGGGAGTGTGACCATGTCTGAGTCTCCCCTAAAACCTCCTTTCAGCTTCCTGTTCCTGTTGTGTTCCTTTCTCTACTGCTCCTGCTGCCTATTTCTTGCAGTTTCATTCTTTACTTGGAAATGCTTGATAATTATGCCACTACTGGTGTGTTTTCAATTTCTTTACTGTAGATGAAAAATTAATCAATGATCTTGCTGTCATGTCCACCCGTGAAAGGATTAAAACTATCAAGAAGATTCCAAAGCCCATGAGAGAAAAAAGAGAGATCAGGTAATAGGAAAATACGTGTGGATGGATGGCGTTAAATGCCTTTCCCACACCTGCTGCATTGTGGAGGGAAGTGGTTGTAGGGGAGGATTAGTGATGGTAAGATGAATTTTAGCGAAAGGCAACGGGTTCCATTGCAGTGAGACAGTGTAGCCACTCTGGGTTTCATTCTGACCCATGGGGAATCCTTTTCCCAAAATAGGTTCCATACCATGGATAGCTTCTTTAAATTGCAGACTGAAACCCAGAATTGATACACTGCCCGTCTGATATTGGAGCCTCCAGCCAGTGCTGGTAGCTTGAGCATCCTGTTCCTTCAAATCGACCTTAAAGTTGTCCCATTTTAGTGTTTACATTGTACATCTCATTTACATTTGCTTTAGGTATCTTGAAAAATACCATGGGACTCTTTTGTCTATGGGTGTCAAGCTTTTCTTTTTCATTTATACTGTTACGTATATTAATTTCTTCTAAAATTGCCTGGAATTATTTTGTGGAAGCCAGTCTAAAATGTTTTAATTAATAAATAAATAAAGATTTTAAAAATGAGCAAACATATTTGCTTGTTTAATATGCTATTTTGCCTTGAATTTATTTATCGCATTTGTATACCACCCCATAGCTGAAAGCTCTCTAGGTGGCTCACAATGCAATCTGAATATATATAAAATACAGATAAAAATAGATAACAATAACAAACAAACCATAAAACCAAACCAACAGAGACCTGGGTGAGAGAGGGGGTGGGATGTCTCCCTCTCTCAACTGTACCTGCCCGGGTACCTGGTCCAGCACCGACCATGCCTGGAGGGGAGGGGGGGGGTCACTTTGGTTTACCGAGCCTCTATTTCCCTCATGGGGCTTCCTGTCCTCTCAAGGCCAGAAGCTCAATCCAGACAAGACGGAGGTCCTGTTGGTGGGTGGTTCGGGCTTCGGGGTGGGGGACTTGGACCTTGTCCTGAATGGGGTTGCACTCCCTCTTAGGGACAAGGTTTGCAGCTTGGGAGTGCTCCTCGACCCTGAGCTGTTATTAGAAGCTCAGGTGACGGTGGTGGCGAGGAGTGCTTTCCTCCAGCTCCGACTGATCCATCAGCTGCGTCCCTACCAGGAGAACGATTGCCTGTCAACAGTGACACATGCGCTGGTAACTTCCTGATTAGACTTCTGTAATGCGCTCTACGTGGGGCTGCCCTTGAAGACGGTCTGGATACTTCAATTGGTGCAAAATAGAGCTGCCAGGTTGCTGACAGGGACTGGGCGTTGTTCTCATATAACCCCAGTCCTCCGTCAGCTTCACTGGCTTCCCATTGAAGTCTGGGCCCAATTCAAGGTGTTGGTTATCACCTGTAAAGCCCTCAACGGCTTGGGACCTGGTTATCTAAAGGAGCGCTTGTGTCCATATATGCCCGCCCGCCACCTGATATTGGCAGCAGAGGCCCTCCTCCAGGAACCCTCCCTGAAAGATATTAGGAGGGTGAGTACCCAGAGGAGGGCCTTCTCTGAGTTGCCGCCCCATCTATGGAATGCGCTCCCCAGAGAGGTCCACCTGGAGCCGTCGTTATTTGTTTTTCAGCGCCAGGCCAAGACCTTTTTATTTAAAAGTTATTTGAATTGTTAATTTATTGACTGTATTTATTGGGTTTTTATGTATGTGCTGAGATGTGTCCGGTTTTTTTTTAAGTCTAATTATTGTTGTTGTAAGCTGCCTTGAGGCTTTTTGCAAATGGGGCGGCATAGAAATGGTTTAAATAAATAAATAAAATAGAGTAAAATTAAATTACAGTATAAATAAATGAATGAGAGAGTATGAAATGGGGAAAAGGCTAGAACTTGACGCAAGTACTGGATATTATAAAGTTCTAGGAATATAATGGAAACCCTCAAAAAAGCCATTTAGGATCTGCAATATCTTTGTTTAAAACAAACCGAACAAGGGTTCATTTACTTTTTTCATCCACTAATCAACAGGAATAATGCTATTAAGGAAAGAACAAGAAAGTCCCGCAGACACGACGCTCAAATGAACAGTTGCGCTCAGTGCTTCTACAACACTGCTTTGGTAAGTGTGCCTTGCCTTCATTGAGAAAGACGAGTTCAGTGGGAATGAACCCGGGTTCTAGCATTATGGGAGAGGAAGAAAAGGCTCTCCCTGTCCACTTTCTTCACACCACATACAATTCCGTACAGCTCTGTCCAGTCTCCCCTGACTTGCCTTCTTGCAAGCAGAGCAATCCCAGCTGCTGGAATCTTTCTTCAAAAGAGCTGCTCAAGCACTTGCTCATTCTAGTTGCCCTTTTCTGCACTTTTTCAGCTCTACCATATCCCTTTTTCGCTGCAGTGACTAGACCGGCACACAATCTGCTAAGTGTGTTCACACCACAGGTTTGTAAAAGGACAGTGTGACATCGGTAGTTATATTTCAGTGCCTTTCCTAATTGTGCTTACCCCAGAGTTTGCCCTTTTCAAAGCAGCCGCGGACCGGTTTGACATTTTCATCAAGCTTTCTACCACCCGCTGACGAGCCCTTTCTTGGTCAGTTCCTGCCAGCTCAGATCACATCAGCTTGTGCTTGAACATGAGATTTTCTGCTGCAACATGCATTACTGTCCTCTTGCATTACCTGGCTGCTAGCCTTGGTGCCTGCATGCTGCCTCCATGTCAGAGGCATATGCCTGCGTGCACCAGTCGCTGGGGAACTCGGGAGGAAGGGAGCTGTTGCAGTTGTATCCTGGCTTACGTTTCCTGTGGGCAGCTGGTTTGCTGCAGTATGAACAGATCGCTGATCCAGGGGGCCCTTTGGTCTGATCCTGCATCTATTTTATTATGTTCACTTCAATTGGTGCAAAATAGAGCTGCCAGGTTGCTGACGGGGACGGGGCGTTATGCTCACATGACTCCAGTCCTCCATCAGCTTCATTGGCTTCCCATTGAAGCCCGGGCCCAATTCAAGGTGTTGATTATGACCTACAAAGCCCTAAACGGCTTGGGTCCTGGCTACCTGAACGAGCGCTTACGTCCGTATATGCCCGACCGCCCTTTGAGATCTGCGGGAGAGTCCCTTCTCCGGGAACCCTCCATGAAAGAAATTAGGAGAGTAAGTACTCGGAGGAGGGCTTTCTCTGTGGTGGCGCCCAACCTATGGAATTCACTCCCCAAAGAGGTCCGCCTGGCACCGTCGTTACTGGTTTTTCGGCGCCAGGTAAAGACCTTTTTATTTAAACATCATTTCAATTGTTAAAACATATGATCTGGCCTGGGCAACTTCTTCTTCCTTCTCTTTCTCCTCCTATATTTTTATTTTATACTGATAATTTTAATTTGTAAATCAATGTATTTTTTGTATTTTTATATTTAATGGTAATTTATTATGTACTATTGTATTTCAATGTATTTTATCATGTTGTAAGCCGCCCCGAGGTTTCGGCAAGGGGCGGCATAGAAATGTTATAATAATAATAATAATAATAATTAACAATATAAATAAATAAATGAAATTAACTGTAATGTTTCACTGAGGAAGGGGGGTATTGGGAAACTAACAGCTGGATGTCCCCTTAGGATAAACAAACTGGTTCCCTCCAGATAATTAGACTACCCCTCCCAAAATTCCTGAGTATTGGTTTATGGAAACTTATGTCCAAACATACAGAGATATTGTGCAAACACAGAGCACCAAAGCATCTTAGATGCAGCTCTCAAAAATCTTTGGAATAATTAATTGTTTTGTGGTGTATGTGCGCATGCATGTGCATCCTTGTGTTTTATTATGAAGTATAACTTCTCTTAATCTTGAAAGAAATGACTCTGTGTAACTTTAGACAGTCAGTAGGCAACATACATGTCTTTGCTTGAATGTAACACTTAAGAATGTCCCAAGCATATTGGCACAGAAGGTTTACATGGGCAGTTTGCCATATGGCTAAGAGCTATGCCAAGCTTCTGCTGAAAGGCTATATAAACAGATATGAGACCTGAAAAGCCCTTTCCAAATGAATGGCTGCATTCATGCCACTATCTTTTCAGAGAACTGACATGAAGAATCAGACATTTTCCAGCCATGTATAGCGTAATATAGTTTGCTGGATACCTGCTAAGTCATATGAATGAGAAGCTGCTTTCTGCTCCAAAATAACATAAACCTCTCAGACAAAAACTGGGGTAGCACTGAAAGTTGTTATTGGAGAAAAATATAGGATTTTTTTTCAAAAATACATTTAAAGGATAAATAATGCCAGCATTTATAAGATTTATATCATCAACTCTTAAAACAGTGGGTAAATAAAAAGGTTTTCACCTGGCACTGGAAAGAATAAAGTGTCTGTGCCAGACACACCACTCTGGGGAGCATATTCCAAATCTGAGGAGCATATTCCAAAGCCAGGTCGCTACCACAGAAAAGGCCCTTCCCTGGGTGGCCGCTCTTCTAACCTCCTTCAGAGAGGGCTTCCAAAGAAAGACCTTAGTGAAAGATCTTACATTTGGGCAGGTGGATATGGAAAGAGACATTCCTTCAACCATCCAGGCCCTAAACTATTTAGGGGTTTATAAATCAAAGTTAACACCTTAATTTGGGACTAGACTTCAATTGTTATCAGGGTACTGGTGACACCTCAGCCCAAACCTCTTCCAGCAGTTTCATGAAGATGCTGAACAGCATGGGGGATAAAATGGAACCCTGTGGAAGCCTGTGGCATAATGCCATGGCACAGAGCCATAATGTCCCAACATCACATTCTGGAATCAGCCAGCCAAGTAGGAGCGGAACCACTGCAAAGCAGTGCCTCCAACCTCCAATTCGGCCAGCCTACCCAGAAGGATACATGGTTGATGGTATTAAAAGCTGCTGAGCTGCCCAGAAGAACCAACAGGCATGCTCTCCCCCTGTTCTTCTCCTGGCAAAGGTCATCCCACAGGGTGACCAAGGCAGGCTCAGTCCCAAAACCAGGCTCAAAACCAAACTGAAATGGATCCAGATGGTCAGTGCCTGGAGTTGTCCTGCCACCACCTGCTCAAGCACCTTGCCCAAGAACAGGCTAGTAGCCCAGGTCTATAACTGGTGGCTACTTCTCGATTCAGGTTTGCCTTCTTTAGGAGAGATTTGAGAACTACCTCCTTCAAGGGGGCAGGGAACAGCCCCTCCCTCGGAGGCATTTATGACTGACTTCCTGGACCCAGGTGTGCATCACATCCTTGGCTTTGATGATCAGCCATGAAGGGCAAGGGTTGAGTATACAGGTGGTGGCCCAGACTTGTCCAAGCACCTTGTTCGCATGCTCAGGCCACAATAATTTAAACTTATCCAACAGTGGTGTACTAGATGGTACTCTGGACACCTCTGCTACAGGAATGCTACTAACTGTGGAGTCCAACTTGTGGAGAATCCGAGTGACTTTATTCTTAAAGTGCGATGCAAATTTGTCGCAGCAGGTCATTGAAGGTTCAGTAAGAATCATCTTGGACTCAAGAGTGTAAAAGGCCCTGAAACACTTTGGAGAGCTCTGCTGGATGGTACTGTGTGGATGCAATGGAGGCAGAGAAGAATGTTTTCTTTGCTGCCCTCACCATCACAGCATAGGCTTGATAATGAGCTCCGAGTAGTGTTTGGTCAGATTCAGCACGAGTTTTTCCTCGACCTGAGCTCTGGCAGTCTGCCAGCCGGCTTTATTACCGACAAATCAGATGTGTACCATGGTGCAGAACTGGCTCTGTTCGGAGGGAGAGATCATTAAAGTGCAATCATTGTATCTACCACCTGGGTCATTTCTGCATTCCACAGAGTAAACTGGGCACTAGCCGTATCAACTGGAAAATCCCTCAGAACCCTCTGGAATCTGACAGGATCCATCAGACTCTGGGGCTGGACTATTTTAATAGATCCCACACCCTTGCAGAGGAAGGGAAAGAAATCAAAAGTTTAAATCTCAAAAGAAAGTGATCTGACTGTGGCAAATGGCGCAATATCAGTTCCCTCACCGTCAGTCGAATGTTATAAAATGTTTCCTAGCTTTTTAGTTCCTGAGCTTCATTGTTTAGCACTGAATCAGGTTATCATCTTTTAATGATGTCTATATAACTGTAATTCCTAAACCCTACAGGGATACTACAGCACTAATTACTGACCTATATCACTGATTAATGTTGACATTAAAATACGAACTTCAATTCTGGCTGACAGACTACAACAATTTATCAACAAACTGGTTCAGACAGATTGGATGGGACTTATTAAAGATAGGCAGGGGGTTGATAATATCAGATTGGTTGTGGATCCAATTGCATTAAATCAGAACTTTACAGCCACCATTCTTTCCTTGGTTGTAGAAAAGGGTTCTGATAACATTTATTGGAAATGTATTTTTGCTACATTGACATTTTGGTCTTCTTCCATAATTTCAGAAATGGGTTGATTTTTTAAAAATTAAACCTGACAAATCACAGTTAGGACCAACTGTTTTTGTCTAATTTCTTCTTAATTGAGAGGAACTACAAAGGGATGTCTTCTTTCTTCACTTGTATTTGACGGAAGGACTCCCTGGAGAAGAGCCTAATGCTGGGAACAATTGACGGCAAAAGAAGAAGGGGACGGCAGAGGATGAGGTGGCTGGATGGAGTCACAGAAGCAGTCGGCATGAGCTTAGGTGGACTCTGGGGATGGTGGAGGACAGGAAGGCCTGGAGGAGTGTTGTCCATGGGGTCGCGATGGGTCGGACACAACTTCGCGACTAACTACAACAACAATTTGACTTAAGTTTGAAATTCCAGGCATGTCCAACTAAACCCCAATGTTCATAGGCTTGTGCATAATGGTTCAGAATAAAAACTAATCCTTTACGCTGAAGATCTTACATTGTTTATTTTGGAACTCCAGTGATCTGTTCCACCTTTGATGCACATGATAATTCTGGATATTTATCAGGCTATTCTATTAACTGGCCAAAGGCTGAACTTATGCTCATAGAACTGGCAATTTAGCCTTTAGGTTGAGTTTATTACTTACTTTGGAATGATTGTTCCTAGAAATATATGTCAAATGATTAAAGTAAACATCAGTAAGTTGATTAATGAGATCTCATGGGACATTATAGATGGGCATCCTTAAGGCTAACTATACGGAGGATGGCAAATATTATTGAAATTAAGGTTATAAATAAAAATGTTTGTGTTTTACATGGCATTCTTTTATTCCCTGGCAAGTACTTTCAGAACTTTAATGCTTTGTTTCATAAATTTTTATGGAGTTCCACTCCACCAAGAATATCCTAGAACAAGATGCAACTTTTAATCAAGAAGATGGATTTGGCTTTCCTAATTTTTACTTATATCACATGGCCTACCTGTTGACTTGTATAAGAATGTGGTTTTTCTTCATTCAGAATATTTTTTTCTCCTTGCTCATTTCTGGAATCTTTATGCTTGGATCCTCTTCCAAAAGGGATTACATTGGGTTCTTGGCATACCAAAACAGTTGGGCTGCCTCTTAGTTTCTAGAAAGGTAGAAGGTGTAATGCATATTTTCACATCAATTGCAATTTATTTTCTCATGCAAAATTAATTCCATGGGGAAATCTGGACTTAAAGATTGGCAAGAACACTTTTGTTTGTGAACTTTGGCAGGAAGGCTGACAACTTTCAGCCATTTTCAGTTCTGCATGCTAATTATAAACTTCCAAGCTACGGTTGACTGGCAGCATATGCATTTGAAAGATGTTAGAAGGTAGTTTCACATGCTTGCTTTTACAGCTTCTAGGCAGCTTGTGTTATTGGAAGTACTGAGGCTGAGCAGCTACCTTCGCCTATAATCTATGTACATAAATATGTATTAATTGTTGAATAAATATGATTGACAGGACTTTGGATGAGAATGGAGTAATGAATTGGAGCAGCCCATCTTGCCCTCATTTTCTTCACTGTTGTCTGTTTGGGAAGGGGTAATGGGGAGGTGATTGCCACCATTACCATTAATTTGGACCTTCAAAAGGATTATGACTGAGGTTATAAAACCTAAGAAAGGCAGATAATTTTGTGGTATGGAAAAGGCGAACAGATACATTTGTTCACTGCTTGCACAGCAACCCACGTGAGAACATGAGGTAAAAATAAAACCTCCGAACTGAAAGAGAAAGATGAACATCTTTATTGTTGTTATCGTGATTATTCATTTCCTGCTTCGAAATGAATGTAGGGTGGAGGCTATGAAAACCTAAGCCTGGTAGCGCGTTTTGTAGAATTGATATGTAAAAAAGTGGTGAAGCTACACTGCTTCATCCCTAGCATTGTAAGCCAGGAGGTAAAATAGAAATTAAAAAGGCCGCTGAACCCCCTTCTTCTTCGCGCCAGCAGCGTGGCGAGTGAGGGAAAAACGAGGCAAAAGGTCTCCAGGGTCTCCTCCATGAAAAAAGCGTTTTTCCCCTCGATGAACTCCGGTCGAGACAATGCGGTTGTGTTGCGGGCGCTGTTTTGTGCCGGCCATCATCTTTGGCCCAGGGCGCCTCGGTGCGTGAAGGCCCTCCCCACGGCAGCCCTGCTCAGGGGGCCGCTGGACGGCGTCCCTCCATCTCCCCCTCGGGCTTCCTTCTCGGCTTCTCCCTTCGACTTTCCTCAGCATGGCGGTTGGGCCTGGCTGGCAACGTGGTGCTTCTTCACGCCACGTTCCCCCCCCCCCCCGCGCCCACAGCCGCAAGGGGCAGGCGGCGCCGCCGCCGAGGCGAGCTCCCCGCGGCTCCCGGCCTCCCCCACAGGCGGCCCAGGCGGGGCGTCAAGGCCGTCCGCCGGCCTCCATTGGCTCGGGAAGCCTGGGCAGGGCAGGGCAGGGCCGGGCCGCGCGCGGCGCTCCTCCTCCCGCCTCGCCGGGGAAGGTGAGGCGCAGGACGGAGGCCCGGCCGGGCGGGAAGCGGGCGAGGCGAGGGGCCGCTTCGCCGGGAGCCATGAGCGCCCCGCGGGTCGCGCCAGCGCTGGAGAGCCCCGGCGGCGGCAGCAGCGGTGCGTGCGGGGCGGGCGGCCGGGCGGCTGCGGGCGGCCGGGCGCGGCTCCTTCACCTGGGAGCCGGCGCCGTGGGACTCGGCGGGCCCTGCTCCTGAGGCTCTGGCCCGCGCGGTCCGCGTCAGAAGCTGTCCTGCCTCGCTGCTTTCAAAGGGGAGAGAGTGTGTGTGAATTATTACTGTTAATACCATTATTTATGCACGGAATGGAAGATTTAGTTTCCCTCTGTTTTCTGACTGTTTACTCGGGGGTAATACGTCCCTGCTCGGTTCATAGGGCTGCAGCATGTTAAAGCTCCGAAGATGACCCGGCCTGGCTGAAGCAGCTTTCCCCAGTCTGGAGCCCTCCAGGTCGTGTGGACAACAACTCCTATCCGCCTCAGGCAACTAGCCTGGGGCTATGGAAGTTGCAGCCCAAAATAGCCGGAGTGCATCAGGCTGGTCAAGTTCCTTTGAATGCCATTGACTTCAAGTCTGTGTGTGTTTAGTGTGTATGTGTCATATATCCTTTTCTGCCATTTCCTCAAAAGTAAGCTCAGTGAGTTTAAAGGCACTTACCTGTGAGGTGTGTATCAGAGCTCCTTTTAGAGCTGGTGTTCCACAGGTGTGATCGTGAACAAGCTGTCCTTATTAATCAGGCTTCATTCAAAGGAATTCCCTTTAGGATTGCCCTGCAGCTCTCCTCTTAAAATCCAGTTTTGCCAGATTTGTGGTCTTAAGTTTTAATATCTTCAGCCAAATATTGAGTCCGTGCTGTTTGTCATTGCAAAACATTTGGTACTTAATCGTATAAACCTTGATTTATTGTGACACATAATTTGAGGAACTAGTGCTCACATCTTTGTTCGCTTTTATAAGGTTTTAAAAAAATTATCCAGACTTTTAACCTCTGGTTATTTTTTAAACTTCTGCTGTGCTGTTTCTGTTGTTTTTATTTGTTGTTGTAAATGCTCCTAGAAATTTTGAGTTGTGGGGCAATAAAAAGCCCACTGAGAACTTTTTTGTTGATTTTCTAAGTGTGTGACAAGACTGGGGTCACACAACATAGCATATGTGGTTTGTGTGTTGCCTGAACCCTATCACAATAACAATCCGTGTTGAGCAGTTTATGAATAATCATGATCTGAACCCATGGTTTGTTGGCTTGTAACTATGGGTTGTTTGTGGCTAACAGATGATGGTTTGTTGTCATAGCTGGGTTCAGGCATTGTGTTAGCCTGTGTCTCAGAAAAAAAAAAAACACAATCCAGCAACAACTTCTCTCACCAAACCCTTACTCAGCTGTTGAGTAGAAGTTATCATGTACTTTGGCCCTTTTACTTTCCAGTAGTTTGTTGCTGTTCCCATTTTACAGTGGCAGGAGTTGAGGCAGAGAATGCGCATGTGGCAGCATAGTATTTTAAGGGCTCAGAAGGGCTGGACCTGATATCTGTCATTGCCCATAAAACAAAGGCTTTCCCTATTCCGCTCATGTGAGAAGCACCAAATCAGAACTATTTTGCACACTGAGCAACTACTGTCACCTACAAACCTTTGAATTGTTGCGCCTATTTATTAACTGTTTTCTTTTTCTTTTTTAACAGATGTTTTTCTCCTTGACTACAATAATGCATCGGCAACGGTTGCCTTCCTACAAGAACTACCCAGTTACCAGTCTATGTTGAGGGGGAGAGGAACAGCTGGCAGATCACAGGACTGTCACAGTCTGGCACGTTCAGCTTCTAGAGAGACTCAGAATCTCTTGGATGGCGCCCGATCAGGAAGTCCAGGCTCTGCACAGCCGCTGCGAGAATATGCATTACCTCTTGCAGAGAAGAGACATTTAAGGTTTGAAGAAAACGCTATAAAGTTGCAGTATTGGGGTCTGTTTGTAGGTAAAATGATTTTTGGCGTTTTCAGACAGTGTTTTCATTTCCCAATGGTGGTAGGTTCTTTTTGAACCCACCTGCAGCCAGTCAATGAATTCTTCCATGTAAAAAAAAAGTTAAAATCAAATAAGTAAAAAAGGTAGTTCTTTAATTTCAAATAAATTATGAACCCTCGCTTTCAGTTTAATATGAGAATGAAGCAATTTCCAGAAGACAAGGCCATTTTAAGTTAAGGGATACACTAATTTCTGTTTCATGTAAACGTAACAACCTTGCATAGTCTTGTATATGACGTTTGTTTACAAATTCTGGTCTAGACATCCACCTTTTGCCTTGGTCTTTCCGCACGATGTTGGGTGGGAGAATCATCCAGTCAGAATTAGAATTCTTTAAATCACTTGTTACAGCTACACCTGATGAATGGCTACTTGACACTTCCGTACAAGGCATAGTGCTCTCTTCCGTAACAGTGAGTGGATTGGATGTCTGGGCACATTTACATCACAGATATGAATTAGTAGCTATTCAGCCTCATTTGAGAAAATAAAATACTTTTTTGTTTCATTCTGTGTAACACTAAATTATTCTCTGGAATTTGCTGACACCAGTTGTGGTAATGACACATTTTTTGAGTACAGTACGTTAAAGAACAAGGCAAACTGTTGGTGTTTGCTTAAATTAATCTCTGCTTGAGATAGATGATAAGCAAATGACTGCTGTCAGTTAATTGACAGAAGAAAATCCTAGAATTTCAAGCGTGAGAGGCATATCAGATAACTTCAGACGTGCAATGGAGGAATCTCTAGGCTTCTTAATATGGCCCCAAATCAATTGGAAAGTTCAGGTTGTACTAGGATTCCAGATCTGACTTGGAGATAACTTACTGTTTGTGGTAACCATAGTTTGCCTCATTCGGACTTAACAACCACCTAGTTTGCTCAGGCTAAAAGATGAGAGAGGAATGGAAGTATGTGAAGGAAGCAGGGAAGGAAGAGAGAACTTGTAGGACTGAGTCTTAGAACTCTACTTTAAAATGGTATTTTTGGAAAACAAGTTCACCTTTGCCAAATTCTATACTGAATTCCAGGCTGGAAGATGCATCCCATGCTAGAGACAGCATGAAACAATCACAGCCATGTTTGCAGACACTGGAAGCATAATCTGATCAAACCTTTAAAAAGGCACTGTGTTTTTAGTGATTCCAAAATGGAACCCCGGATACTATGTAATTTTTCATTTATTGTATCTTATCAGGGATGTTCAGAAGGCCAACATAAAATACCTGTCACGGTGGCATCAGTGGAAACAGGCAAGCAGAAAATCCTTAAGGAAACTTTTACAGGACACCAAGGAGCTGTTGTCTTATCTGCAGCTTTGGAGGCATGCTATTCACAGCATTGAGGGTATGCTTCTTTTTACCTTATTTTTTCACATTGCTTTATGATTGCTCTTTGTCTGGGAAGTCTGTCCAAACGTTGTCCGTCCTGCAAATGTATAGATTAGGAGCACAGTTGTGGATATCTTAAGAGGAGCATTTGCTCTTTTACCATGGCATTGGATCAGAAGCCTGGTCATACGAAGTTTACTTATTTAACACAAAATTAAAATGGGGCATGATACCTGCCTTCACGTGTCTGAAGGACTGTCTGGCAAAAGGTGGATGGATTTTTTCTCTGTTGCCCCAGAAGACAGGATTGAAATCAGTGAGTGGAAATTGCAGAGAAGCAGGCTTTGGAGAATTATTACAGCAAAACCTCCTAATAGGAAGACATGTTTGACAGAGGAAATAACTACCTCCAGAAGTTGGCAGGCTCTACTTTGCTGGAGGTATAGGAGTAGACGGAACATAGCTCTCTCTCGGGAATGCCATCTTGCATTGCAGGATCTGTGCTGAGCTGAGCAAGTGGTTGGAGTAATGACTGCGGAGGTCCCTTCCACTGGTGCCATAATTGCCCACTTGCCTGAAGGTGCCTCACAGTGTGATGGGTCAGATGAACCGAGAGTCCATTATGTTTGTGGATGAATAAGTCACTTCCCAGTGTTTTTCTATGCAGGCATTTTTGAGTAGCCACCAGAGAGAGTGGCCTGTCAAGCTGATCTAGTGTTGGGAATGAAAGAGGCAGTTATTCTTGGTGCGCTTTTCAGGGTCAGGGTTGCACTGATTCTTTGGATGAGGACTTTGGCTGTTGAGAAATGGGGAGTTTGGGAATCGACATGGCTGAGGAGGGAGAAATTATCTTCTTCAGGTGCTCAGGCAGACTATGGGAACAAACAGGGCATGGAAGTAAAGGGAAGGGATGAGGGGGATGGGGAGGATGAGCCTAGTCTGTTCTCTGTTCCCATGATGCAGTGTTGGGTAGAAGGGCTACCCAATTAGAGGGCCTGCCTAGATCTTGGGGGCTAAACCTTATTCAGAGAGGCACACCCAGAGGGGTAGAGCCCCGGGTTACTGCAAAGGAGGGTTTTTTGGAAGTAGTTTCTAGTTTGTGGTCAACAGCTCACTTTGTTCATGTACAGAGATTCATCTTCTTGTGGCTGTAGTTCGTTAGTTCTTTATTTCCAGTTCACAGCTATGTTGCAAAGAGACTGCTGCTTGAAATGAATAAGGTGCAACTAGGACATTAGTTACACAGGAGAGGTCAGAAAGTAGATCTGGATTTAGTGGTAGTTATTTGGGGGATTTGCAACATACTGATATGGATTTCTAATTCTCAGTTTAACAATAACAGGCTAGCAGTTGTTATTGCCTTGCTGATAAACAAAATCTGTGGTAAACAAAAATAGATTTTTGTTTTTCTAAATTGATTTGTTTGTTCTATTTCTAGCCTGCCTTTTTTCCTTTTCAGGAACTCAAGGTGGCTTACATAATTCTCCTCCTTTCAATTTTTATCCTTGCAACAATCCTGTGAGGGTAGGTTGGGCTAAGAGCCATGACTGACCCAAAGTCACCCAGTTGGCTCCATGGTGGAGTGGGGACTAGAACCCAGATACTTTTGAGTCCCAGTCCTGCACTCTTTACCATGACACCATGTTAGCTTGCTTTTTTCTAAGGCTGCAATTACACTTACCTGGAAGTAAGTCCCTATGATGTCCTTGGAGCCTACTTCCTGCAGATATGCATACAATAGCACTGTACATGTATTGTCTTCTGTATAGAACTCTAGTTGGTAGAATTCAGGTTTCAAGTAGAAAAACAAAGTAACTCTGCAAGACTGAAGTTTGTCACAATTGATCTAGTAGGCCTTTTTTCTTCCTCTTCTCAGCACTTTTTATAATGTATATTATATGCATTGATTTTTAAATATTTCTAGCCTGCTTTCCATGTAAGTGCTTAAGGCAGCTTACTGAAAACATTGATACAACAGTGTTAAAAAGCCAGTAAGCAATGGAGAAACCAGCAGCAGTAATGATTCAAAACACAACATTCAAGAAAAGAATGTTGGAATAAAATAGCTGTTACTCAGTATGTAAAGGATAAAAGTTATGGTGTCCATCAAACTTTTCTGTGGGGAGCACAGTGCCTCCACTTAATTCTATTTATTTATTTTACCTTATTTGCCTCCTGATTTTCAAGGAGGTTTTCCAGAACCTTCTTAAACATGCTTTTGTACTAACAGTTATTGTGTTTTGTTTATAAATGAAATCTCTCTCCCATTTTTTCCTGTTCCTTAGGGAAATTTGGCACTGGGATCCAGTCTTATTTCTCCTTCTTGCGGTTCCTAGTGATCCTCAACTTTGTGATATTTCTTCTTGTGTTCAGCTTTATTACGCTTCCCACTGCTCTTTCCAAACACGGAATTGTCAATGGCAGCCACGTTGAAGTTCCTCTGAAGAGTGCAGGTAACTTACTTTTCCTAGTATCCTGCTTCTTGTAGCAGGGGAAGGGAACTTCTTGTGGTAGTACAAACTCCACTTAACATAGCTGATGAGCAATTTACCTTTTCACTCCCTCTTGTCTAGTGATTTATTTATTTATTCTATTCTACAGATCCGCTTTGCACAGTTTATGTAGTTAGTGGTACCAAGGGACTCATTTACTTCTACAGTTACATTATAGATCTGCTGACTGGCACAGTAAGTAATTGAGCATACATTTCTAAATCTATGAAGCACATTTAAAAAATAAAAGAGAAGAGTTTTGTCAGGAGGAAGTTGGTCTGCCCCTGCCCCATATACTTCCTGGGAAAAGTGGTGAAGCTGTATTGATTAGATCAATTTTTCAAGCTAAGCTCTTCACAACAGAAACTCTTAAAGCCATTGTTGGGGCTGTGTTTATTTTAAAATGGCATGTAAGCACCATGCACATGTAACATATGCTACTGGATACAGAATTCAGCATCCCCAGAAACTCTGCTTTGGTTTCTTTCTGTAAGACCTCTCCTGTTTCTCGAAAATATATTATGTTTTATTTCTTTAAAATCAGCTTTCATAATAGTTTAGGACAGCATATCTATTTCCTTCCCGTATGCAACACAGCTGTACTGTGATAGAGAGGAAACCCTAAATAGTGGCCCTAGTGCCAAAGCTACGGAATGGGTTTTGCCCTCATCCGCATGGGTTCTAGTACCAGTGCTAGCTCCCTTGTCAGCAATCAGTGAAGCATCCTTTGGGACCCTTCCAGTTTGCTTTCACCACACAAAAGGTACATTGTATAAAAGGCTAAAGGCAAAGGCTTTGTTTGGGCCACAGCATCATTGGGTGAGTCAGGCTGGCTCTTTTCAGGCAGCGTTGTTGGGTATAGAGCAAAATCCCAAAGGCATGACTATTAGTCCATTGTGCGCGCATATGTAGTCACTTGGCCTTTCTTTCCTTGCAGGGTTTTCTTGAAATGACAAGTCTTTTTTATGGCGATTACACAGTGGATACAATCTATTTTGGCCTCCTGAAATACCAAGTGCCACTTGCATATCTTCTGACCATGATGGCTTGCCTTTCATTAAGCTTCCTTTGGATTGTCAAAAGGTAAAGCTGGCTTGAACTGTGAGCTGTAAAAGACCCATCTGTGTCCTGGCATTTTGTCATCCTGCTGTCAATGGACATGACCTTAGAAATGACCAGAACAAAAAGTGCTTTAAGGATACAGACTACTGAAGGCTTTTTATATTTTTCACAGAACTGTAAAAATGAATAATAGGATTCATAACAATATCTAATAGTTATCATGAGTTTTTTAATTACTTACAGTTTTCTGAACTGAAGTATAGCCTAACGAGCTTAAAAGCAATATTGCCATTGTGCCTTGTATTGACTTTTCCTCTACACATCTGGCACATTGTAGATACTCTGAGAGCCAAACAGTGGTTCATAACATGAGAAACCTGCTCCATAGTCCTGTATTCAAGTGATCAGCACGTTTTTGCTTGATGTATTCATGTGATTTGGGTTCTTGGGCTTGAACTTGGACAAAGAGAAGTGGTTTGTAGAGATCCCACATCTGCTTGATTGTGGATGTCTTTGGCCCCATAACATAAAACACAGTATAAGCTTAAAAAAACCCACACATACACACACCTGCTGCCTCCATAGCTTGGTAAAATAAAAACAAACCATGAGCAACCTGTGGTGCAGGGTTCAGATGTAACAGCAATCCATGATTTAAATGTACATGGTCTCAAAATTACAGAGTTCTATCTGAAGTTGTTGCTATTATTAATATTTCTTTACTGTCCAATAGCAGCAGCTTTCTGGGTGGTTTACAATACAATACAGTAAACTACAATAAAATACCATAAAACCTTATCAAAAGAAATGAAAAGTACATTCACTGCATGCAAGCAAGGTTATGTAAGAATGTTGTGGGGTTCAGAGATATTGGTAAGCCTCTTCATCTAATTGAATTCATTCTCTTAATTCTTAGAAATTAGCACGCAACTAGACTGTGTGTGAGATACAGTAAAGTAACATTCATCATGAGATGCCAATCATATACTTTGGCTCTAACATGATCATCAGTATGATCCTTCAGCAAAAGTTCTATCAAATTCACTAGAACTTAATTCTGACTGGTTTGTATGCACTGGATCTAGATGGTAAAGGAGTGTGAAGTTCCATGCACTTGTATAATACAAAAAAAATAATTAAATTTCTGGTAGACCATTTCATTTTTTCTAAAATCATGGCGATATTTTTACTAGATCTGTTGCAGGATTTAAACAAAGCTTGGTGTACAATGATGATAAGTTTCAGAGCTATTGCAACAAAATATTTGCTGGCTGGGACTTCTGTATTACGGATGTAAATGCTGCACGGCTGAAACACAGTAGCTTACAGTATGAACTTAAAGTGAGTATATCCCTTTCCCCACTTGCAGTGTCATGTTAAACTGAGCTCTGTGTCAAATATCCAAGAAAGAGAAAACTTGAAATAGTGATAAGGACAAATTTCAGCAGTACAAGCAAGCTAGAAGGAAAATTGAGACGCTATCTTTATTGTCTAATTCTGCCTGTGTTAACCAGAAGTAAGTTCCACTGTGTTCATTCAGTTCTGTGATGCTTAGCCTCAGGAAGTAAGTTTATGATTGAAATTTGAAGCAGAACTTTCAATGGACTTCTTTTTGTCTTCTCACTGCAATTGGATTAGCAATCATGTGAAGTATGCTGTAGAAATCTTACTATAATTATGGCTCCCTGTAGTACTGGTGTTCACTTAGCAATTTGTCTGGTGGGCTTTTTTATTGTTCTTAATTTTTTCCCTGTGCTTTTCTAATCCTTTCATTCTATTATGTGACTGGGAGCTCAAATTAGTTTGGGTAAAGAGAAGTTCCAGTGCCTGGGCATCTGAGCAACTTCCTGCTTTTATATAGAACTGTGTTCATCACATGCACCAGTCTTGATGCCCCACCATTGGAAATGAGGTGAATGGCCTCCAGAAACTGGGCCTTGGTGGCGGTAGCAACTTGACTAGGAACTCCCCATTATCCATTGGGAAAAGTATTGACTTTCTTACAGTCTTTTTATCTAGCTGTTCTGTGATCTGTTTTATGCTCTTGTCATGGATAGTGACTCTATTTTGTTCTAGGGGTTTATAAACTTTATTATGTTCTTAAGAATGTTGGAAGCCACCTTGTGAATCTTTGGGTTAAAGAACAGTGTAGGAATAGGTTGGGATTATTTAGTTTGGCCAGAGAACTCATTTCTTTGATCCTGTAGGAATTGTGCCAGCCAGAACACCTGATCACTGGGTACTTGTTAATATTATGCTCCCTTAGTGTCTTCATTAGCCCATAGTAAGATACAAGCCCGATGCCATATTCCCTTTGGCTTGCATGAGGAGATACTCTACCTCCTAGTGTTAGTTATATCCTTTCTTGCCAGGAACTTCAATTCTGGGCGGAGGTGTGCTATTTATCATGGGTTTGCTGCAGGCACTGTACAAATAGCATCAGGGAAAGCTGAGAAGTGACTTTAACATAACAACTCATCATTTCTGTTGGCTTCCCCAGGAGATACTTTTTTTTTGTATTGTTCTACATCTGTTATAAGCCTCCTACAGGATCACTAGATCAAATGGTGTGGTGTGACTTGTTAAAAAATCAAATGAAAATATTTCTCTTTTACAGACTGACTTGGAGGAAGAGAGGCTAAGGCAGAAGATAGCAGAGAGAACCACCAAAGAGAAAATGCGCATCTATTGCTTGAGAATATTCTTAAACTGCATAGTTCTTGGGTTTTTGTCAGTTTGCTTTTATTCTATCTATAGAGCCACTGTCTACTCACAAGAAAATATTTCCAATGTAAGTGGCAAGCAAATTGTATCTGTTACGTTTAAAACCCACCATCCCTTTGAGAAGCAAGGCAATACACGTCTTGCCTTTTGCCCAATCTTATTCCCAGGACAACGACAAGTAGGATAGGCTGAAGTTAGTGACTAGCTCTCCTGGTGAGTTTTATGGCAAAATAGAAAGTTGATCCAGGATTTCCCCAGCCTTAAGTCCAACACTCCAGTCACTACACCAGACCATTCCAGTGGTTAAATTTACCCATTTTAAAGGTAATCATCCTTTAAAATGGGTATTCGTGGGCAACTAATACCCTGGTAAGCTGCAGAATCTGCAACATGTTAACAAACGTCCTTGTGCTCCTCTTTCACACATGTTTGTTTATTGCAGGACAGCAAAAGCAGATTTGAGGACAACCTTTTAGTGCAATATTTACCTTCTGCGGTGATCACAATGGCCAATTTTATTGCTACTTTGTTTTTTTCATTTCTCATCAAATTTGAAGACTATTCACCAGCCTTTGAAATCCGATTAACCCTGATGAGGTAGGTGTGGGTAGTGATACCTTTCTCAGTAGCTAGTGTGATTCTGTGACATGATATCGGAATGGCACCTTCATGCACTATTATTCCTCCCATCTCTTTGGTCCTTTTGGGCTTGGTAGCCACTTGTGTCTTGTCAACCTATAAGAAGGCCCTTCTCATCCTGTGTCCTCACAGTTTGCCAGGCAGGGTCACCTTTGCTGTGCTTTCTAGTTTATAGGTAGCAGCTTTAAGGCCAGGGGTTGAAGGGGAAGAGAGGTGAGTGGAAGGCACAGCAAAGGAGATTTGAGAAGATTCTGTCATGCAAAGAATGAACTCTTGACTAATATGTAAAAAAATTCTTATGTTTTGTGTCTTAATGTACATTTAACAGAAAGGCAAAAAGTGACATAGTTGACCAATGTAATAGATGCCCCCCTGCAGTTATCTAGTATTTTACAGATTGGATTGTTCATTGTTTGTGTGTCCCTTTTTTCCATTTTTGAAGGTGTGTCTTTGTGAGACTGGCTAACATTGGTGTTCTTCTGTTCTCACTGTGGACTCAAATCACATCCTGTGCCAATGAAAAGTGCATACCCTGTGGATACAACTATCAGCTCTATCCTGTAAGTTGATTTTATACATGATCTGAAATAGTGTAAGTCATGTGGGGACAAAATTCTTCCATCCCTTTAAAGTCTTCCAGAGGCAAAGGAGCCCTTTGCAGGGACTCCTGGGCAGCAGAATGACATACTTTTTGACTAAATGCCATGATGCATGTGGCGCAGATTCGCCAGTGAGACTGCACTAGCTGTTGTGAATTCTGTTACTTGTTTTTGTGGAGTGGAGACAGAACTGCCTTTGCTATTAACTAAATTTGCTTCCACCAGTGGCTAGATTTGTTCTTAAAATCTCTCTTATCTCTTTCAGTGTTGGGAATCTCGAGTTGGCCAGGAAATGTATAAGCTAATGATCTTTGACTTCCTCATAATTTTTGCTATTACAGTCTTCATTGACTTTCCTAGAAAGTGAGTATGAAATTCCCTGATTCTGCCTTCAGTGTTCTTTGTAGTTAATACAGATTTTGAGGCTGTTTTATACTAAGCATGCTTCCCCAACACTTCAAACTTGAGGACCTGTGGTTAGGGGAAACAAGCCAGGATCAAGCTGTGGTTTTGGATACTGGCTTGTTAAACAGTGGTTCAAACAGACGATTTCCTGAGTTTGATCATAATAGGGAGCTGTGGTTAGTTTAAAACCAGTTGCGTATGCTTCCGTTCTCCTTGCAAGCATGAAAGAAAGAGAGGGAAGTGTGTGAGCATAGTACTAACTGCCACTCATTTAGATTCCAAGAAACCAAGGTTAATTTCAGGGCAGGCCTAGATAGGCCAAGCTTATTCATCACTTGTTCAAAGTAGGCTGCACCTGTGTATCCATTTCATCAGTACTTTCCCTTCCCACTGACCAATAAAAAGATACAGTTAGGATCAATATAGGAAACTAATGCTTTTCTCCTTTCCTTCCTCTGTGCTTTCTCTTTTTTTCTTGTGGTGATCGTCCTCACTTCTTCAGACAGCTTCAACCCCCCACCCTACCACCTTGCCGGGGGGTATGTGTATTTCATGCTTCCTGGCAGGGGAAGAGAGTTTATGCTTCCACCCCTATCCCTCCCTCAAGAAAGTTTGTTTCTTGCCTGGCACAAATTTCTAGGTTCTGGAACTTAAGATGTTCTTGTACTCCTAAGAGTTTGTCTATGTAACCAACCCTTATCCTTTTCATATGAAAGGTTCACTTAGTTTTGTTGCTGGACTTTAAAGCAGGGCTTTTTTATTTTTAGGTTGATGGTTACCCATTGTTCATTTAAGGCCTTTCGCTGGTGCGGACTGCAGAAATTTGACATCCCTGATAATGTGCTGGAAATAGTCTACGGACAAACCATTTGCTGGATTGGAACTTTCTATTGTCCACTTCTTCCTGCAATTGCTACAATAAAGTATTTCCTCGTGTTTTACATTAAAAAGGTAGTTGGTCTTTGTGTGACTTATGTAGTCTAGGTGTGTCCATAATCAGAGTTTTAATAATAGCCCAGGTTTTCCCTCCTAGACCCAATTTATGAACACTTAAATGCCTATGGAATTAAATATCTGAAGAGGAGTTACACAAACAGCTATTTTAGTCTTGTACATACCAAGTGGTTTTTTTCCCCTCTTTAATCACCTTCTGGTGTGTTTAGTCTTAGAAATTCAGTGACCATGTTTGCACATACTGGAAAGCTAACATACTGGTTTAATTAGCCAGCAGATGCCCTTGCAGTGTGCAGGAGTCCTCAGCCTGTTTGCTCCTTCTTGGTGTAAGTGGGAAAACAAGGATTCAGCATTTAGACGTTACTTTCCATTGCATGCAGTCAAGGAACTATGATTAAATGTTCCCACCTAAATGAGGATTCAAAATGTCTTTAAACTAGGATTTGAAGTTGGCTTACAGGTCTTTGCATGTTTGGAAGCACTTAATCATGTAATGGGAAACGATGGCATTGAGCCCTGGCTTGTTTTGCTTCTTTTGCAAAAGAGGAGCATGGTGGCAGGAAAGTGATTGTGAGCAGATGCGCACTGCTCGTGAGTAATCCTAGTTTATTATTAAGTGAGGCTTGAAGGTTTAGTGTGACAGACTGAATGAATGTTGTATAGAAGCCAAGCATGCATTCAGCTCATACCTGTCATATAAGCAGTAAAGCTTGCCAGATGTGGAATGGCTACAGTGCAGACTGCATGCAGGATCTTGACCTAAGCTGAGGATTCTTTGTTCATTTCATGAGGTGATATCATGGGGAAAAACTCGTAGAGATGCAAGGAGGAGTGGAGGGGGGGAAGCATTTTTGAGAATCTGCTTTTTGGAAAATTTTTAATTGGTAAAAGAGATATGATACTTTATCGGAACACTGAAGCTTCTTGAAATTCATTTTAGACCATCTTCTCAAGTTGGAATAGGTACCTCAAAATCTTTAACTCCATATGCAGCTGTTTACATGGTGGAAACAGGGTGCTTTTGAGTTCATGAACAACTTGTACAGAAGGAAGGAAAAGGAAGTGGTGCACCAGAATGTGATGTGCATGTCTGTGTGGGACAGCAGAGGTTAGAACAGGAATTCATGCTTAGAGGCTACAAGACAAACCCAGCTTTAAAGCTTAGGCCTGGCTCAGCAGTGGACCCCCTACCCACACACAACTTGTTGACCAAGGGTGGACAGTGAGCAGAGAAGGTAGGAAGGGGACACTATTTTGCCTTCTGTCCAAAAATATATCTTTTGACAGCAGAGCTGAGATCTCTTCTTCTTTCCAGATAAGTCTGATACATACATGTAAGCCTTCAACAAGGCCCTTCAGAGCATCCAGCTCCAACTTTTTCTTCCTGGTGGTGCTTTTGATTGGCCTCATCTTAGCTTTCATTCCAGTGGGGCTCAGCATGACACAGTAAGTCAGGTTTTATTTATTTGCAATGTTTTCATTCACTTATTCAAGTGCATTACTTGCTATTACTGTTAAACGGTGACTGGAGCAACACGAGTTCTGTGTCAATCAATGACTGTTAAACTCAGTGCAAATGTCTAATGTCATGAATAGTCATGACGAAGTTAATACTGGAGGTGGGGGTGTGCTTTCAGCTCTGTATAGCTCGTGCTTTGCCTTGCTTGTTTTTACAAGGAGTGGCATGCAACAGATATGTTCCCAAAATGCTGCTGTCCAAAATTGAGAAATAAGATGTTGTCTTTGGCAGAAGCCTGGTTCAAATGTAAGTATAGTCCAGAGTGTCAGTTGTTGAATCCTGGATTATCACTACATATGAACGCAAAGGATTAACTATGGTTCCTTAACCATTAGCAACCCAGGAAGAGAACTATGGTTTATTCTAGAAGTGTGAATTCTGGGTTGTTTTAATTACTATGTTAAAACTCTGCACTCAGTATGTGCACACCTCAAACCATGGGATAGTTATGAGTAGGGATGTGTGAGGAATCTTTGGGGTGGGACATCTGTTGGATACCTCTGTTTCAGCTTCCTAGACTCTGCTCTGGAGGGGGCAGTTATGAGTCTGAATTCCTGGCAAGTTGCTACAGTGTTCATGGAACATTCGCCAGTAATGGAGCTGCATTACATATGACTTCCTGTGCACCCACTGTGCAAATGGGGTCTTTCTTCCACACGTGACTTTGCCTGTGTGCTGTATGTGATGTAGAAGCTTGCCAGTTTTGCACAGAATGCCTCTTTCAGCAATGGAGGAAGGTTTTCCAAAAGGAGACAAGCATGTGCAAAAACAGACACACAACCCCCGCTACTCTTCCAGTGCGTGCATGGACTGCGATTGGAATGGATGGGCTGGGTGTCTGTCTGTGCCTGTGCTATGTCACCGCTGCATGCCTGTTTTTAGAAAACCCCCTTCCTTCAGTGCAGCAAGAGACATTCTGCACAAACCTGGTGAGCTTCTGCTAATTACAATCTGTCCATGTACTGTCTCGGGAAGAGCTATTGCAGGGTAAGGGGGCTGCAAGTGAGCATCTGGCCATGCCTGCACCTGCACAGGTTACACTTCCACATTGTTTTTGGTGGCACCCATGAATGCTCGCAGACTTCCTGTGTACTTAGCTTGCTTCCTCAGCGAGGGATGAGCATTAGAAGAGGTCCGACAGCCAGGCATGGACCAGGTTCTGGGGAGACTCAGCACATCTCTAGTTATGTGTTTTGTCAGACTACAGAGGCATCAGGTTATAATAGTTTAAGACAGACAGACAGACAGACCCATCAGCCACTGTACATAACATATGACAGTGCTGCAAAGACATATGAAACGTGGGAGAGTAAGAGGTAAAGGAGGAAATCAAATAATCTAGCAGTTGAACAGAACTACCTGCACTCTGTGGAGACAAAAATCATGGGTAAACCCTAGGCTGTCATTATGCATAGTCCAGATAATCTTATGTGACAATTTCATGGGGGGATGGAGGGGAAGAAATTGGTTCTCTGGTTTTTTAAAGCACGCTGTTAACTGTTTTATAGATAACTTGCAAGCTACTAAAAGCACCTTTTGTGGAAATACAGATATGTATGCACATATGTTTATTCAGAAGAGTTTTGCCTGGTCCCTAAAATATATTAACAAAGATGCCTAAGGGCAGGGAGATGCAACAGGAAAGGCCCTCTCCCTATTGCTACCCACCTCGCTTTAGGCTGATGGGACTTATAGTCCAACACACCAGGAGGATATATGAGCAAGTTGATATGGGGGGAAACATTAGGATTCAAATATAGTAACATTTATGTTGTGTTCTGTCTCCCCACACCTCACCAGCATTCCCTCTTCTAAAGCCTGTGGACCTTTTGTGAATTTTAATCATTCATGGGATATCACTCAACATACAATCCATCACGTCTTGCAGAAGGTTCTGGTTGGCATTTCATCGGATGCATTAGCAGTATCTTTCTTTATGATTATCTGGTGAGCATTATGAGTATCTGGTGGGCAACCACAGAACTACTAGAATTCTGTCCCTACTACTACTACCAGCTTGTGCTCTTTGTGTAGTGCAATTAATAGACCAGTTTGCACCTGTATAGAGCGGAGTCTGGAGTGTTCCAGAACTCTAGCCATGAACCTCTAGCACTCAGTCCCACTCCTCTGGATAGGATGTCTTCAGCATTTGTGCATGAGATGTGACCTTCCAGCTTGGTCATGTTCATCCTTCTTGTTGTTGTTACATTTATTTATATCCTGCCTATTCCCAGTGATTGGGACTCAAGGGAGTTCATAACACTGGATTCATCCAGTGAAAACATTCAAAAATATACAAAAGTGGTATCCTATAAAATTTCTAGAAAAGCTGATTTTCCCCCTAGCCCTAGGCAAGTTTTAAAATATGCACCAACCCTCACGCGAGCAACGTCTGGAAGTCAGATTTCCACAAATCTTACTGAGGGCATCTTGAATGTGCTAAGAAAATTCAACAATGGCAAAAAAGTGGTGATTTTACTTTTAAAATCTTTTAAAGTAAGCTTTCCTTTTTTCAAGCAAATTTTACTTCTGGGAACCATTGCAAATAAAGAATAGACATCATTGGTCTAGCTGGATGCATATTCTGACTTGCTATTGAGCAGTGTCTTATAGAAGTGCAAAAAAAGATAAATGGCAATTTTTATTTTGCCTCTAAACATCATGATACGATCATATGAGCGGAAAAGGAACATATGTAGCCATTTATTTGATTATTAACAGCCTCTGAAGAGGGAAATCTATATCTCTGAAAAGTGTAGGGTGATAATAAAACATTTTATTATTTTTGCGGATTTTCTCACTTTGGTTGCCCCATAACATCAACAAGAAACATTGAATTAACAGAAATTGCCAGAACAGTTTATTAGTGATTCTTCTTTGCATGCCCCTTTCTTGAACAGGAACCCAGGCTACTACTGGTGACAGTATATTGGGCTTTGTGAGCTCTTGGGCAGCCTGATAAAAATCTTCTGTTTAATACTTCAGCTTATCCCTTTCATCTTAGGAATTTTATGTGAGTGCATCTTTGGGTAACATTTGACAGACTTAGGCTAGCATCCATCTTAACGTGTCCTCTTGTGTGTGTTTCTTCCTTGTCTTACAGCCTTATTATGTTCTACGTTATTGCCTTGGCTGGAGCACATAAACGAGTCATTAATCAACTCAGGGAACAGCTAGCTATGGTAAGTTCTAATTCAGTGGCAGAGTTCCTTCATTCTTCCCATGCCACCACCTTGAATACACAGCTGTCCCCGCCACGCAAATACTTGAAGCATTAATACGCTTTTGCTTGTTGAACGTTTGTTAAAGGCACAGGTGTGATTGCAGGAGCAGCCGTCAAATAAATACTTGGACTTGGTACAAAATCTGCTGGGGAATGAACAAACAGCATTGTTCGTGGAATAGCGTTCATTGGATTATTGCAGCCTTCCTCAGCCTGGTGCCCTCTGGCTGGCTACTCAGCTCCCAGCATTCCTGACCACTGATTCTGCTGGCTGGGGCTAATGGGGATTGAAGTCCAAAAGAAGTAGAAGGTGCCTGACTGGGGGAAGACTGGATTTGTGTGTTGTAACTGATCACCTTTGTATGCTCTGTGCAAAAAAGTTGGAATGATCAGACCTTTCTAAGTTCTAAAATGGGAAAGCAGAGTGCATCAGCAGGTCTGTTTTCATATTTTAAATGTTGCACTATGTTCTGCTTAGGATTTCTCTTCAAACTACAGTGGTACCTTGGCTCACAAACTTAATCTGTTCCAGGACTCTGGTCGCGGCCCAATTTGGTTGTGAGCCAAGTCAAATTTCCCCATAAGGGTCAATGTAAATAAGGGTAATCTGTTCTGCAACTATTTTTTTTACTCACAAAAATTTGAAGCAAAGTGACAAAGAACAACAAAGATCACAGCCACCCCACCCCCAGCGATTGTGTGGGGAGGTGGGAGGAGACAGGCACGATTGCGGGTGAACGGGGGGAGGCGGGTGCGGGCACACTCAGGCAGGAAACATGGGTGCAATTGCGGCCATCCCCCTCCCCCCCAGCACGACTGTGATCACGCCCGTGCAGGGAAGGCAGGCGCACTCGTGATTGTCACCTGATGCAGAGTTTGCGACCTGTGGCAAAATTTTTATGAAATTTCTGTTCGCAACCCGATTTGGTTGTGAACCGAGGCGTTCATGAGCCGAATTACCACTGTAATTCCTAGAAATAAGAGTTTGTGGACTATAAGACAGTTGCATTATGGGCTGAGCTCCTTATGAAGTATTTTCTTGGATCCAGTAATGCAGACCTAGTTGTAATTAATTGAGCAAAAGCTGCATGGAGGAGGCCTGGTATTCATGCAGGCAGCTTTCCTTAGCCTGACACCAGGCTGGAGAAGGTGTCGCTGTCTGAAGAATTGCATCCTGGATTTTTAGAGGCAGAAATAGGGCTTTTTTGTTGCTCTTGTGCTGACTCCTTGGCTGGGAGGATAATGCCTAGAGGTTTTGCCAGTTTGCTTGAAGGACATTTCTAAAAATGTGTTTGTACACATTGCTATTTTCTGAAATGACTGCTCTTGGTTTATCATGCACTATCCACACATCATATATCATGGGAGATTTGTATTTTATCTTGTATCAACAGCATATGAATATAGATACAAATTAATTGCATATACCCTGCTTAATGTATTTGCTTATTTTTCTGTCTTCTTAGGAGAGCCGTGACAAGCTGTTCCTTATCAGGAAACTGACAGAAGCTCAGAGATGTACCTGAGATGCCTTTCAGCGCCTGCTGCATTTTTGGAGCTGCTACATAAGGGACACCAAGACTTGCAGTGGTTAGAACTACTTAATTGTCTTGGCTGACATGCATGAATGAGTTGTTGATCAACTAGGAAGCATTTATTATGTTAAGCATGGGTCCAGTTTGCAGGACTTCTAATTTTTTCCGTTGCTACAGAAGTAAGTGACTCTTGTACAGTATCTCTACCATTGTAGGGGTCTTTGAGGTTTGTGGTTTTCATTGTTTACATTTTAAGCCTCTATTTTACAGGGGTCTTGTAGGGAAAAAACCCTTATAACTGAGAAGGTTATACACTGTCTTACGAGAATTTTATACATAACTTGTTTGGACCAGGAAGCTCTTTAGAAAAGATTTTCCCCCAGTGTTTATCTGCAGTATTCCTAATGGCCGTGGCTGGGCTGGACTGCCACATGGGAAAGCACGGGCACAAAGTTCTTCTAATTCTGTATATGTGTGTAACTCCACACATGCAGGAAGGGAAGCTGTAGCACTTTTCAGTATCTCTGCAGTGGGAATCAAACAGGGTAATTATCTCCACTACTCCAAATCCTTCTGAAGACATGTTGTGTACAAACTGCATATGGATTCCCCTTAGACTTTGGCTCGACTTCTGTGGATCAGTGAGGTTTGTTGCTAAGATTTTACACAGAAGATTATTTGTATGCAGGTAGAAGGGCTTTATACTGAAAGGGATGTTTATATACATAAACATGCTTATTATATGCTTATTATTCTAATAGTTGGCAAGCCGTGACAAATTCTTCCCAGCTAGAAAGCTGATGGAAGTTCAGGGAGTACCTGAGAAGTTATGCCAGCTGAAGTCCATGGGTGCTCTTACGGGTCAGATGCTCAGCATCACAAACCTTGTATAGAAATCGTTTGATTCTGTTTTTATTGGGCATGATTGTAAGTTACAAGAGCTAAGAAGGTGCTTCTGCCATTATGCTTTGAACTGAACATTTGTAGATGATTAAATCATTGAATTTGGTAAACAGGGATAGATGGGCTTCCCAGCTTGCATAATTTGATGAATTTTAGAAATTCTGTACTCGTATAATTGGTGTAGCCAGTATTGCTTAGAATAAGGGGAAACATGGAAAGTTTGTTTGCTAAAGCAAACTGCAACAGGAGTAGGTCAGCAAGATCCTTGAGTGTTCCTCTGATCCTTGAGTCAGAGCTTTGCTAATTTTGGGACCTTATAGGTAGGTGTATTTTCAGTGCCTTTTTGAACAAGCATTAAATGATGCAGTGTCTTCCGCATTAATTCTAAGTGGCCTTTTAATTTAACAAAATAGATACAATCCTTTTAAATTCGAACAGTTTTTCTGTCCATAATTGTTTCTGGACAAGCACTACCTCTGTTTTGTCTAACTTGAAACCTTGGAGAAGTGCTTGTCATGTCATGCAGCAGTAACTTAATATGCACATACCTGTAGCTGCAATTTAAAAGTCATAATTTACCACAAGGTATGAAATCATACTTTTCCCTTGTTAGATTTTAGAAAATGTTTATAAAGTTGAGCAAAGGTATAATATACATTTTAATATTAATAAACAGAGCCCAAATACTTTATGGAAAAAGTTTCTTTTTTATCTTTTGGTTCCTTCTTCAGTTCTGCTGAATCATGTCACCAAAGGGCAAAGCTACAGCATACCATTAAAAATAGCTAGATACACCTTTTCATGATTTTGAAGTATTCTCATAGAGCATAATCCAAAGAAAGTAAACAGTTTTGAGTCTGATTTCATTGGCAGAGTGTTGAAGGTGGGATTTGTCTCCATTTCTGAGCCCGGTGAGAGTTACAGGACATACAAAAGAAAGTACTTCTTCATGCAGAATTTGCTTCCATATAATGCATTGATAGCTACCAACTTAGATCAGTTTGGAAGGCTATTTGCCTTGTCCTCCATTAATTTATCTATCACTGTCTGGTAGTCACGATGACTGTATACTATTTTTAAGATCAGCAGTGGTAGATTTCTGAATCAGTTGCCAGAAGAATAGCAGGCGAGGGGATATTACTCTCATTTCCTGCTTGTGAACATTTTTACTGGCCAGTGGGGAAACTGAACAGGCATTTGGCCTAATCCAGCAGAGTTCTTAAGTTCTTATGAACATAATGCTGTTAGCTTTTGCAACAGAGCTTAGTCACACAGATTTCAAAGAAAACTTACAGGCATTATAAACATACTTCACTGGTTTATGTTAGTTCTGCCCTGCCTTTCAGTCTTACAAGGAGAGACTTTGAACAGTTTCCATATCAAAATAAAGTCATAAAATATATCAGTAATTGAATTTACCAAAATAAAGTACAGCATATATGCTATTTGTATCTGAAACAAGTGTAAGCCTGTAGCACTAGGAAGATTGCACTAAAATTTGTGAGAAAGGCCAGGGTAAAACATTTTTGATGTCTTAATGCTGATTATATGATTTCTGTGAAGTTGGCAAATACTGCATTAAGCTAAATGGTAAGTAAAGCAATAATTACGACAACAGGGAAGAACTGCCCAAGAGGGAAGAAATGACCCAGTGCTTGCATGTGGTGACCCTGTTTTTAAGTCTTCTGCGTATTTCAGATGTTGGAATCTGATCTAAAATGACTTGGGGAAATGAGAAAAATAAACTCTTTGACCGGTACACATAGCCTCAGTTCCATGATCCATTTCTGCTCTCTTATCAGGGCACCTGTAGAAAAACACTGTATGTCATAAATTAGGGATTGCAAGGGGAAAAGGGCCGAACAGGCTTCAATGTGGTACAGACAACAAAACTGGTTCCAAAAGAAATAATCAAGGAAGTGCACCTTTGCAGTACAAGTAAGTTTGAAGAGGTGAAGCAGCATCCTAGGCTTAAGATGCTTCCAAATGGCTTCTAGTACTACCCATCAAAAAACATGGCAGAACCAATCAGGGACTATTCTAGCTCTGGCTAGCATAGCCAATTTTGAGGAATGATGGGTGTTGTAAGCCAAAGCAGTTGGAAAGCACAGCCTGTTCACCTCTAAGTTATTCCATCTTTTCTGCCACAAAACAAAAGGATTACAAATGGAAGATGTTGTTCTCGGGACCCCCAGGTCAAATTCCATGAATGAAGCAGGGCCAGTGAACAACACAAGCCTGATCTGGAAGCCTCTTTTGCCTCCAGCAGTGAAACACACATAACAAAGGTTTCTTCATTACCTTCAAGCAAGAAATACTCCCTAACCCTCTTCCTTCCCTATGATCTCTGCTCATGTATGTGGAGAAAAAGCAGGAAGGCCCTTAATGAAATCTCCTTAATTTCAGCCAAATAATGGCTGTACTGCAGCCCTGAAAAACAGTGATGGGACGGGTGGCAACACAAACAGTAGGAAGGCTGCCCCCCTATAGTCTGAGCAAAGAAGTGAGCAGAGGATAGGAGAAACCATTGGGCATCATTACTATGTCTGAACTACCCTGTATTCATATATTACACACATGAAAACACCTGATATATCAGATTAAAAAACTGAAGCAGTTACTTGCCAGCCGAATTGAAGCCATTTTTTTTACCTTTGCTTCTCATTGTACTGACAGAACATTTCCTTTTGTGCGGTGCTATTTTCTGGCGGTGCCTTCAGAACTTTCTGGAGAACCAGTTCCGTGCTTCTCCTAGTGCTGTCTTCCTCCTTGGAGTTTCCAGCCTAGGGTAGAAATAATTTTAAGATGTGTTATTTTACTTTATAAACCACCTTTCATCCAATGGCAAGGTATGCAACATTTTAAAAGTAGCTATGAACAACATGGATTTGCAAGTTAAGAGACTTAACTCTGTGGGAGCAAATCTTACATTGAGCTACTTTGGCAATGGCAATAGAGATCTAACGGTTAACAGCTTTAGTTATAAGGAACAGGCATGGGGAGAACTTTGCCAAATAAATAATAATTAGGGATACATATTCTAACAGTGAATTCATTGCTAAAGGGTGTGAACTGGGGCCAGCAATGTGTAGACTCCAGGTGCTGTGGCCTGCAGCTCCCATCATCCCTCACCATTGGCTAAAAGAATAGGTAAGAGCCATCCTGGTGCAGACCTTGGGCCCATGTGGTCTAGCATCTTTTCACATCATGGACAACCCAATACATGGGTTCCCCACAAGCAGGACAGGAATGCAACTGCTCCTCCTGTCCATATTCCTCAGCAACAGTGCCTCGGATAATGCATAGCCACCAGAATTATTAGCCATGGATAACCTCCCCCCCCATGAATATGCCCAATCCTCTTTTACAATGAGCCAGCTGGGTGGCCATCACATCATCTTGTGGAAATGGATTTCACTGCTTACCTGTGCACTCTATAAAGAAGTACTTCCTTCTGTGTATCCTCAATCTCTCACCAGTAAGCATCATGGGATGACCTCAGGTTCTAATACCATGAGACAGAAAATGTCTCCCCATCCACTTCTTCTATCACATGTGGAACTTTTTAAATCCCATGCCTCCCCTTACTCATTTTACTTCTCAGTCTCAGATATTGTAACCTTTGTTCATAGGGGTGTTACTTCATTCCCTTGATCATTTTAGTTGCCTTTTCTGCAATTTTTCTAACTCTACAAGAGGCTGTTTAGGTGCAGTGACCAAAACTGAACATCATATTCAAAGTGTGGTTGCACCATAGATTTGTATAATGGCAGTATGATTGCACCAGTTTTATTTTCAGTTCCTTTCCTAATTATGCTTGACATGGAATTAGCCTTTGCACTGCCGCCACATGCTAGGCCAACATTTTCATTGCACTCTCCACCACAAATCCAAGATCTCTTTTCTTGGTCAGTCAGTGGGCTAGCACAGAGCCCATCAACTTATATGTGAAGTTGGGATTTTGTGCAAAAAAACCCCTAGCAAGAGCATCCCCCTCGTGTTTCCTAGCAACTCATACAGATAAGCATACCGCCTCTTGTCCTTCCAGCAACATACAGGCAATCAGGACCAGCAGCCACTAGTAGCCTCCTTATCCATGAATTCGTCTAATCCCATTTGAAAGCCAAGCAAATAGGTGGTCAGTCATGACATCTTCTGATAGCCAATTGCACTGCTTAACTATGCAGTGTGTAAAGTACTTTCCTCTATATGCCCTGAATCTTCCATCATTCACAGAATATTCACTGGCTCTAGTCTTAAAGGATTCTGTGAACTGGCAGTGGCTGATGCTGCACTGATGCCCTGGTCTTTCTTGCAGTGGATTGCTGGGAGCCGCCACTGAATTACCTATAATGCCCCAGTATAGCATCATGCTAGGGGCATTGTGGGAAATTTGAACAGTGGCTCTATGCTGCCTGATGCTCACCACAGTGTACTACCGCTGCCCATCATCCTCCAAGAAGCATGTGAGGGCTTCACGGACAGTCAGAAGGGGCTCACCAGAAGGCATTTTGCCAAGATACCTTTGGTAACCCTGGCCCTGGCTCTGATAGCAGCTTTTGCAGGGGTGGCTTAGCAAAATGAGGAGATTTGAGAGAGGAAACGTGTGTGTACTACGGTGGCTGGGGAGCCCAAGGTACTATTTCAATAAACCCTAAATGTGCTTCCCAACTTTAAAATCTAGTTTTGGCCCAGTCACGCAGCTTTCAGTTTTACTGAAAAGATTAGGTTTGGCATGGGAATATCGACGGATGCCTCACTGCAAAGAAGGCATTAAAGGCACTCTTTTTTGAACCCTTTACCATCCATTCATGTGGGCTGTCTAATGATCTGGCACTTGAGCTGCTAGAGGCAGATGAAATAGTGAATTCCTCTTCCGATTGTTCACGTTCTGAAATTGATGTGGTTACAATGGTGGATCCTGAATCTTGCTCTCCAGTGGCTCCACAAACACAATAACTCATTTGTTTTGAACATCTGCAACAACCTGGTAACTCTGGTGGGATACAGATCACTTGCTGATTGTAGGAATGTCTTGTAACCATGTCCTGCCTCTGAATGCTACTGGCAGGCTTCCTGGCTGCATGGCTTTCTCCTGGTTCATTCAAGCAGAATTTCTGGTTTAGAAAAGGATGTGTACTTTGATGGTCTCCATTGCCATCTAAAGTCGCAGTCCTATTCCTTATCAAACTGGCTGGTGCTTCCTGGTCCATTGCATGGCAAACATTGTACAAGAAAGACGATCCACTCTTGACAACAGGAATACAGTCATGGCTGTGAGGCTCTTCAGCAGATGCCACAAGGCCAGTGGGTTGATCAATGGTGGTAGTTGGCAGCGTTGCTTCTTTAGGGTCCCTTAAGTTATCCAGGCTGCAGCTGTCCCAGCAATGGCATCTCCTGTCATTAAATGCAGGAATGGAACCTTGTTGAAGTTCTTGACAATGGATCGGTTGGCATCCAGATGTTCTTTCCAACGATGAATCATACCTGTCTTGTTCATTTTTGGGAGGCCTGTGCCCTTCACTGTGTTCCACAGGTGTACTTTTCTGATCACCTTCATCATGCATTTGATTGCCTTGCTCTTTAACCATAGTACCTCCAGAAAGCTCTGTAGTATTGGATTGCTTCCAAGGCTTTTCTCCAGCAATTGAACACTGGGTGCTTACCACTTCCACTGTTGACTTTGCAGAATATTCGGTGTTCTTTCCTGGTACCTCTTGGTTATTCCTGGAGCTCAGGACTGGCCTTATATCCAGACACTTGTTTTTGCTTGAAACCATTATAACAGGTCTGTATGATAACTCTTGCCTTTTACAGGAAGGCTCACCAGAATTTTCTGTATTCGACTGACAGAGTGAAAAATCCTTCCATTTAATGTTGGCCAGCTTACCTTGGTGTCCAGGTATCACAGAAGAGGTACAGCAGGGAGAGGTTTTGTTTTTAAGTATACCTTTTCTAATCATCTCATTTGGGCAAGTTTGCAAATATGGAGATGTGGAGGTATTCACAGAGCTTCTACCAGTTGTTCTAGGGAAAAATTGAGCAAAAGGTTTCTTTGATTTAGTGCAGTTGCTGGAAAGATTTGACATTTGGCTTGATCTCCTTATGTATTTTATATCTTTTCTTTCTTGGTTTTGTTTGGCTCTGAAAGACACCAGAGTTTAAAGGCATTTTACAATCCAATCAGCTTTAACATTTTTATTTTAGAAAACAGTTCAATTTTGCACTGCAGGATATCCAGACAGCAGCAGGATCCAGACTAGTCTCATACTCATATTACAGCTCCCATATCTGATGTGTGTTCAGCCTAAAAGGGGAGGGGGAAATATGCAAGAACATACAGTGTAGATTCAACAGACATGTCCCAGCATCCTTGGAAACACTTCCACAGTCCATCAGTCAGAGACTAAACAAATAACAAGACTCACACACACAGAGGCAGCCTTCACAGGGGCACACCCCGATATATAGATACGTTCAGCACAACGCAAGCACAAGCAAGAGGACGGCCACATTATACCTGCTCCATCAATTCCAGTAGCAGAGCCAGCCACGACCGCACTGCTGCAATTCCTTGTGGGCTGAGGTTCGAATCCACTTGTGCTCCTCACAAGCACCATTTAATGAGCACAATTTACACAGTACGTTGGGATGGGGGAAAGAAGGCACACAGCACAGCATCTGTTTATCACTGCACGCAGGATGCCTACAGAAGTCATGCACAGTTCTGCTAGAGGGACTCGACTAAGGAGGAAAATATTATTTTGCCTAGCAAGCAAGCGAAGGGGCTGGAAAGCACAGTATGAGGACAGCCAGACACTCACTGGCAGCAGCAGTAGGGGGAACAGCTCGTCTTTTACATGAGGAAAGCCCCAGGCTCAATTCCAGGGTCTAACACCACACTGGAAGAGGTGGACAGAACCCACCCCCCATTCAGAAAACGAACGTAGTATGCAGCAGTGATGGGAATTACTGCATGGATACAGAATAAAAAGCAGGAGAAAAGAAGGTGAGATCCCGGAAGGACAGAAACTATTGTGGGACATGGAATTGTTTGGCCAGAAGAGATTTTAGGGCACAGTTTTTTGTTAAAAAGGCAATTGGACATAATATTCTCAAGCTCCCATACCTCCTTGCTTCATCCTTGTGGGATTGCGTGAAAGAAAGGCACTGCTTGTTGCCATTACCCAAACTCGGAAGATTTTTCTCCTCTCTTCTCTCTGGTGATGAACCACTTTCTTGAGTTGTTTCCAGTTCTTCTGGGGAGATTTCAGAAGTCTGCAGAGAGAATCAAGAGGGATTCTTGGGAAAGAAACCCTCTCTCTGGAGTTTGTGAGAGATGGGTTCCCAAAAGCTGTTCATATCTACTCCAAAACAAAAGCAACCATGAGGAAATTATTGTCAAAATATTTAGGGGAATCAAAACGGCAAAAAAGCCAATTTATGGGCACATTGCAAGCAGAAAAATAAGGAGCAATGACACATTTTACAGGCAAAGATCCAACCATCATCAGTGAATAGAAGGGTGGAACTTGATACATACAGCGGCCACAATCAGCTTGGAAGCAGATGAAACAAGTCTCCGTAAACTTTCTGGTGACATGGACGGGGTGGCAGTTGCATGCAGTTTTCTTTGCCTAATGAAAGATTGAAGGTGCCACTTAATTTATGCCAAGCAAAAGACTGATGGTTACAGCAAGAACCCCTCTCTAAATGATGAAATGCATGCACTACTCAAAACTGTATGCCTTTCTTCATCTCAGAATGGCAAACCTATGGGAACTAGGCACTGCCCTGCGCATGTCATGGCGGCATCAAGTGACCCAATTAGGCTCAGTCCCAGTGATGTTTCTGCACCCTGCAGCCCATCTGTGGCTTGAGTGGGATGGTCTAAGTGTTCAACACCTGCTCAGTCTGGATGAAACCTCATGGAACTTGAGTAGGACATCCTAGGTAAATATGTAGAGGATCGTGCTGAGTACAGAGAGCCATGTTGGCCCCAACAATCCACAGTAGGGCAATGCCGTTCTTAAGATCAACCAAATGTCACAAAATAGGGACTGAGTTTTTGAGTTCTCCAGCACTCTTCGTCAGGTTAGATGGTACACGTAACAGTATGAAGTCTGCTTGAGAACTTGAAAGCCTGTTCACCATTTTGGTTGACCAAGAGAAAAGTATATTGTGTATTACTGCCATGTTTACTGTAATTTGACTGCTACCATTAAAGATGGACATGCTTTTATGTCTGCCATAGATGTACATTTGGGGAGGCAAGGTTTTTTTGCTCAGTTGCATAAGCTCAGCAATATTGGTTACCTTTTTGCTTTTCCCTCCTCCTTTCTCTCCGGTACATAATCCTATAAAGAAAGAGGTAGACCATATTACTAGTTTGTCTAATAGAAGTCAGAGCACTAGTTTCTTTGCAAATCTAGGAAAGCATCAGACCGAACCATGTGGATTTCAACGATCGCTGCAGATTTTGTCAGGGCAGGCATCAAAGATGGCATAGACAAGTGCCCCCAGACCTGTTCCTCAGCCTCATCTTGCCACTGGCTTGTTCAAGAGCCCCTCTCTCTGGCCCAGACAATGGATGTTGTATACTGGCAAAAGAGAAGATGCCACTGCTCATTTTCTGAACGGTAAGCAAGTGGGGAGCAATAATGAGGAAAAGGAGAAGCAGGAACAGAGCAGCAGCTGGCAACAACGCTGATGAGAAGGTAGATTTCCTCAGGGATGTGGCTGTCTTGCCCAGGGGCCCTCAAAACCCAGAGCCAGCTCTGAAGTTTGCAAATACAGAAACAGCAAGGCATTGTCTGCAATGAATACGCTGGCCCTTGGGGAACAGGGACTGGTACGAGACTCTCCCAACTACCAGGCAGTAGAGTGGGCCTTGACTCTCATCGGTATGGGGTGTGCAGGGGCATTTTTTTCTTTCGTCGTTCCATTCATTGTCTTCAAACCTCATCAGGTACTGACTTGCCAAGGCAGGTAGGAGTGTGTTCTGCACAGAGGTTGAACGTTTCAATAGTGTGGACGTAATTTACAAAGATGAATGCTCCAAATGAACATATTTATGTATTCATTATTTTAATACTTTTGTAATGCGCCTAATAATTAATGTTCTCTGGGCAGCTCATAAACAGCACATGAATCTGATTGTGCGTTTGAATGGAAATATCTGATTGCATGTATAAATAAGGTGACATTCATAAAGGAAATGGCATAGAGATATGAAAGTGTGATTCTAAGCATTACTTGAGCCATCTTTTTAATCAGCTTTTCCAAATCTTTTTGCTTTTTGGGGCTTTTCTTGACTTTTCGGTTACATTCTTCAGCGCTCCCCACATAGGCACGCAAGGATGCTTCCAATTTGATCTTGGCAAAGTTATGTTCCTTCTTGTCCTCTTGCATCATCAGATATGCCACCTCCTGCAAAAGAAACAAAGTAAGTCCTCAGAAGCTACTCAGAATCAGGCATGGAAGACTTGAGATAATGACCAAGAAAGTTAAAGCTATGAACCACAAACTAGTGTGCTTTTGTTCTTCCACTGTCGAAAAACAGCCCACCTTTATTTATCAGTTTGCAGGGAACAGTTGTGGAAAGTTGCTATTGCCCATATGTCCCGCATGTGAATTTCCAGGGTATGCCGGTTGGCTACTGTCTGAAAATGGGGTACTGGACTAATAGGCCTTTAGTATGGTCCAGCAAGACTCTTCTTGATTTTTATGTCATGCTGCATCCAGATAACAGAAGAGAGTATTATCCGCAAATAGCTCTAATATGCCTGCATAATGTGAAAATACAGCATATACTGAACTATGCTTGGACAGTTTAAGAAACCTGCCTTAATAACCCACTGCCCAAAAGCAGTGATCTTGCAGCCCAAATGCCAGAAAATACTTACTGAATGCAGTAATTCATTTCCATCACTGATGACTCCGGATGAATCAAAGGACTCTTCTTTCCTTTGCACATCAATGTAATACTTTCTAAGCAGAGGGAAACCACATTTTATGATTAATCATCTTTATTGGATTATTTTTTAGGGAAGAAGGACACCTTTGTCCCTTTGCAGTCATAAGTGAGATAGCTTCAGCTGTTGAGCAGCATACTAAATAAAATAAGATTCATAACGAACAGTTCTATGCAGGCTTCTGTACAGAGATATTTCTCCTTTCTTTTCTAATTACAGTTCAAAAGTAGGATTCAAAGATCAATTCTCAGCCTCAGAACATGCCAAACCTGCCACCGTTGTCCTCTACTCCAGAAATTTTCCTCACTGTTGGTTTGAAAATGTAAATGTATTTAAGTGCCTGATCTCTAGAAGCTATGCCCTCTGACTGGGAATGGAAAGCAGTCTGTCCATGCTCAGAGGCATCTTTACCATCAGCTCACAAGTTTGGCATTGAAAGCTTGCCCCTGTGTGAAAATTAAGTCACCCACACAAACTTTTGCAGAAGGAGCACTTACTAATACGTCTCTCAGCACTTCTTGCCTGTATCTGGGAATTTATACACATTGCACGTGCATGTACGCATGATTATTGCTACACTCCTTTTTAAGTCACAGTTTTTGCTACAACTACTCCTCTGGAAACCGATGGATTAATATATCATTAACACTAATAGATGATAATATGATTAATGATTATATTTCGTTCTTCAGCCCCAGCTCCCAGCCCCGAAAGTCGCCTCCCCGGGTCTCACAGCCTGTGGGCCACGGAGCGGGCGAGGCTCCGCTCGGACAAGGGTCCCCGCATGGCTCCGGCCCCTCGAAGCGCGTCCATCCTCCCTTCCGCCCAGGCTTGAAGGCGTCCTGGGGTTGCCAGGGGCGGCCTCGGGTTGCCAGGGACGGGCGGCCATTTCCTCCAATAGGGAAAGGAGGTTTGTGTAGCGGGCGGTAGCCAAGGTAGGCCTTGAGAGCGTGAGGAACATAGAACTAGTATCCTTAGAGAAGGAGAGCTTGTGTAGGAGGCAACTTCGGGGTTTCTCAGTCCGCGGCAGGGGTGGAGACGGTTGGTTCCGTGCGCAATGCCGGGCGTATTCTCAGACACAAGACATAGGACGCAATCCGATGTGCATCTAGCGGTTAGAGTGTTGGAGTCAGGAGACCTGCTTTGGCCATGCAGGTCACTGGGAGACCGGTCACTGACTGACTCTCAGCCTCACTTACCTTGCAGGAATGTTTAGTTATGCACATATTTATATACTGCCTATAACTGCCAAAAGGGCTTCCCAGGCGACTGTAGTGATCATACGATGGAGGAAAGAAGGGTTATGTAAAACGGCTTAGGTTCTTTGCTGGAAAAAAGCAGAGACATTCAGACAGGGGAAAGTCCAGCAATTCCAGGCATGTCCCACCTGAATGGGGCATGCTGGGAGATCTATGCATTATGAAAGAAAGGGAGAAAAGTCCTACAATTCCTACTTTTCCCCAGTCAAGTCTTCTGTAGGCATTTTTTTCAGACTAAATGTGCAAAGCACCGAGCCTTTATTGTGACATAAAGAGTCTTTATAAACAGCTTTTGAAATCTAGCAGCCCACTGTCTCTGTAAAGCTGACTACTCAAAAGAGCACACAGCTGGCCCCTTCCTGGAAGGTCAGTGCCTTTTTATATATTAAATACATGGAAGCAGTTGGTGTGAGCTTAGGTGGACTTCGGGGGATGGTGGAGGACAGGAAGGCCTGAAGGAATGTTGTCCATGGGGTTGAGATGGGTTGTACACGACTTCACGACTAACAACAACAACAACCTGATTGAAGACAGCATTTCTGCAGAGTTACTGAGAGCGGCTAAACTTCTTCCTGTGCAGTGGGAACAAGAGAACAACCCATCACAGCTCAGCTCGCTGCCTGCAACTTGAATTCAGGCATTCTTGTTACTACCGGAAAGCTATATAATTGCGCTTGTGCTATACTTTCAGTCTGCTTGTTGTGAGATCCTGGTGTTTTGTATGGCTTCATTTATTTGTACTGGCATGTATAGGCCGCCTTATCTGCAAAAAGAGCCATCAAGGCGCGGCACGACAGTGTAGGACAAAGTATGGCAAGGCAATGGGACAACTCGATTCCATCGAATCGACCACACGACCGCAGGACACCTCTAGCACTTTGGCTCAGCTCATTCTCTAAGGGCAGCCGCGGCCTTCATATTGGGCGTCATCACGCCGCGACCATGGAACCCGCGCCGCGGCGGGCGGGAGGATGGCGGCGCGAGCGGTCGCGGCGGGGAAGGCGCTGCTGCGCGCTCAGTGCCGGCGCTCCCTCGGCGGGGCAGGTACAGCGTGGAATGCCCGGATGTGTGTCCGCACTCCTTCCCCGCGCCCTCCTCCCGTCGTGCCCTTCGCCCGCGTTTGCCCTTCTTGGTCCCCTTGGGCGTCTTTCCTGCCCCTCCGTCCTGCTTGGCTGCCGCCGCCTTTGGCGGGTGTCGGGGCTTGCTGTCTCTAAGCCCGCGGAGGAAGAGCCTGAAATCCCAGATGAAGTAGAGCGGGGTAGAGCGGTGTAGAAATAGCTGAGACCACGCTTTGTGCATGCTCAGAGGCACAGTTGCCTTTATTAATTTTGCATTCTAACATTGTTCCCCGAGAGCTTCCTTCCCCAGGCGCTACATACGCACATTCTCCTTCCCGTTTAATTTCCAGAGCAACCCTGCAAGGTTGATTAGGCTGAGAGGTGGTGACTAACCCAAGGTCATTCTGCAAGCTCCACCTGCCTGAGAGAAGATTGGAACTTGGGTATCCCTACTCTAACCTTTTTAACCCAGTCTTCCCCTCCTGGTATGCTCCAGTTGTGTTGGATTACAGTGCCCAGCATTCTTCTAACTGAGAAATGCTAGGAGTTGTAGGGCAACACATCTGCGGGGAGCCAGTTTGGGAAAAGCTGATCTAAGCTCTGCACTGCACTATTTAATATCTGCTCAGTTTTGTCCTAGGCCCTCAAAATTAAACTGTTTCATCAGCAGAGCTCTGCTTTGTTTCATGGCTGCATGAAAGAAGGGATTTTTCTGTTACAAGCTTCTTTCTGCACAATACCAGGGAACATGGAAACATGCCATGCACTAGGTCAGACGACTGGCAACTATGACTGGCCTCACCTGTTGACCAAATGGCCTTTGCCATCACTCCTTACCTGCCTCTTTTGAATGGCAACAGCTGGGGAAGAATTGGACTTTGGTATGCTCTAGGGTCCTAGAGGAGATCAACCCTGACTGCTCTTTAGAAGGCCAGATCCTGAAGATGAAACTCAAATACTTTGGCCACCTACTGAGAAGGAAGAACTCCCTGAAGAAGAGTCTAAAAGGAGAAGGGGACGGCAGAGGATGAGGTGGCTGGATGGAGTCACTGGGGCAGTCAGTGTGAGCTTGGGTGGACTCCGGGGGATGGTGGAGGGCAGGAAGGCCTGGAGGAGTGTTGTCCATGGGGTCACGATGGGTCGGACTCGACTTCGTGACTAACAACAAAATTCTCTAAGGACTGAGCTATATAGCCCCTTCTCTTTATTATTGGTACAGGAGCTCTGTTCCCCTTTCTCCATCCATTACTGTCATGTCCCAGGGTCCCTTGTAGTTCTGTTTTAATCATTATTATTACTATTATGAATGTGGCCTCCAGTAAATAAGTCTTAATGAATCATAGGACTTGATTCATGTGTTAATTAAACATATATACTACTCTTCATAACAAAGAACAACTCAACAAATAACGAAACAGTGCTATTTCAACTATACAACAACATTTCTTGATTTCCATAAGGATGCATGTGAGAAGGAACAATAATTTTAAACCAAAAAATGTACCAAATGGTAGAGGATGCTTCTTTCAAGAAGCCTCTTTTAAAATGATATTTGAGTGGAATAATTCACATTTTTAAAAAGCAGCCCAGTGAAAATGGAAGATGACTGAATTCTTGTTGCTTCTTTGATAATTAAAATACTGTCTCTTCAACAGGTGGAAGAAAAAGATGGGGTTCGCAATTCATAAACTCCCCATACAGGTTTTATTGTACTGGGATGACCTTAGGTAACATCAATAAAGCACTTATTGATCGCATAATCAGAGTGGATCATGCAGGGGAATTTGGGGCGAACCGCATTTATGCCGGGCAAATGGCAGTGCTGGGCAGATCTTCAATAGGACCACTTATTCGGGTGAGTATCTCCAGTCCAAGCACCTTAGTCTGCCCTGTCTGGCCTTCTTGCATATTTTAAAGTCAGTTTTCACTTTCTCCATTTGTGAGACTTGACTCCTTTCTGACATTTTTAAATATATGTGTATATATGTAATATATTTCAATATAATATATTAATTTTTAATGTTAAACTATTTTATTTTTTAATTTTAATTGGCTCATTATTTTCGGATGTCAATATTTTCCCTCTCCAAGGTGCCCAAGATAGTTTATGCGGTCTCTCTCTCCATCATGTCCCTGCCAACAGCCCTGCAAGGTAGTTCGGCCGAGAGACTGATTGTCCAGAGGCACCCAGTGAACTTCATTGCTCAGTGAGAACTAGAACTTGGGTCTTCTCAGTCCAGCATTCTAACCATTTTACTGCACTGGCTCCCAAAGCACTCCTGATTCTCCAAACCATAATTTGACAAATTGAAAGGAGAGCCTATCTTTATGCATTCTCCACTCTTCCCTCCCTGAGCTCCAGAAGGAACATTTATTTTTGTTGATCCAGATTGCACTCGGCAGCTATGCCTGAAGTGGCAAAGCTGGGTTTGAGGGAGTCTTCCAAAGCAGCACTGAAAACCACTGTTTGCTCCTGGTTTGCAGTCCACCTTCAGAGGACTGGCTCAGCCCATGCTTCAGACCCAACTGCAGGCACACCAGGTAGTTCTTTGTCAAGGCAAGAAGACCATGGGAAGAGGGGATGTAGGCAGGCCTGGCCCTTCCGTGAGGCAAAGTGAGGCAGCAGGCTCAGGTGGCACAGGCGGAGGGGTGGGGAACCACTTTATTTATTTATTTTTTATTTATATTGTGATTTATATCCTGCCTTTTTCCTACAAAGGGCTCAAGGCAGCTTACATCATTCTCCTCCTCCATCTTATCCCCACAACAACAACCCTGTGAGGTAGGTTGGGCTGAGAGTCTGTGACTGGCCCAAAGCCACCCAATTGGCTCCATGGCTGAGCGGGGACTAGAACCCAGATCGTCAGAGTCCCAGTCCCATGCTCTTAACCACTACGCCACACTGGCTCTCAATTTTACTTTGAGGTGTGCCGGGCACCTCGCTGTATGCCTTCTAAGTGAGACGGCTGCCCTTGGGTGCAGTAAAGGATGCTGCCCCACTGCCAGAGTTAAAGTAAAATTCAGCTGTCATTCTGGTTGACTCCTCTGTGGAGAAGCAGAAGCATAATTTTGTCATTTGCCTCAAGCAGCAAAATATTATGGGCCAGATTTAAGCATACGCCTTTTTCCCAACCCTCCGAACCAGGGCTATGAAACCTCAAAAGCCTGGAGATAAAATTTGTCCTGCCCTGTTGTCCCAATAAAGCCCTGTCAGGTTTTCTGGGTGGCCAGACAATCTTTCCTCCAACCGTGATCCATTGGATTGTTTCCAGGCTTTTGGTCCATTTTTTCCATAGTCAGAAAGGATGAAATACCTCTTTAAGTAATAGAGCTGTAAGCTAGAATATGCCTAACATTTTGGAACACACCATTTCCATGTATGTGTCTGCCAAGAATTTGTCCAAAATGGAATTTAGTATTTGATCTGAGAGAGGTTCAAAGCCCTCCTCCAGAATGTACTGTGATCAGTAAATAGATGGCAATGTTCTTGTGGTTTAGTTTCTCAAGTCACAAACCAGTGGAAGGTTGACATGGTTTGTCCTAATAAGCTGGACATATTTTTCCTCTTAGGCCACCATAACTGTGCGGCAAAATTTCATTGTTTTAAAACTGTTTGTGGTGGTGTTGTTTGTTTTCCAATGCAGCAAATGTGGGATCAGGAAAAGGACCATTTGAAAAAATTCAATGAGTTAATGATCTTGTATCGAGTCCGTCCATCTGCTCTCTTGCCTTTTTGGAATCTTACAGGTTTCCTGTTAGGTGAGGCTCAAAAAGGTTTTCATTTTCAATTAGACTCCATGTAGGAGACTTGTGGTAGATTTTAAAAGCGGATGTGTTACAGGTGCAGGCACTGCCTTACTTGGAAAAGAAGGTGCCATGGCCTGCACTGTGGCCGTGGAAGACAGCATCTCTCACCACTATAACAACCAAATCAGGACACTCATGGAAGAAGATCCAGAAAAATATAAAGAATTATTAGAGGTAACGTCTAACATGTCCAAGAATCAGTGGCGTTTCTGACCCTGGACTTAATGGGAGTTCCATTAATAGAAGCACACGACTATTATTTTAATGCCCCATTCTGTAATTTACAGTGGCTTCTATATTCCTGATATGTTAAAGGGAAAAAGAGTTTGCCAGCCCTGTTCCCTGACCCCTGTTAAATTCACTGACTCCTGCAGCGCCATTGTGACTAAAGGAAACAATGGGAATTTTCTGCTACTGCCCAGATGCAAAACCAAAAGTAGCAGACACTTAAAGAACTCCCCGTGATAGGCAAATATTTATAAATACAATAATTCCATGGAATATATTTTCAAAAATGGAAGCTCTACAATTATTGGAAGCTTTTTTCTGCCCAGTGGTTCTAGGGGCACTGAAACCTGAAATTACTACATCGCCCAGGAGAAACCTCAATACCATGGCAAGACCTTGCATATATCCTGCCTGTAACATTCAGTCCTTCTTCACCACCCCCTGTACCAATCTGCACTTTGGAACAGCTTGCCTGCTAAAGAGATTTGGTGATCTTGAAAACCTGCATATTTTTGGTGCTCTTCAGTCTTTAGTGTTTGAGCGTCTTGAGTCATTTTGGAAGCTTTCGGATGATAAACTAAGTTAAATTTGTTCCTACTGCGGGAGATCTGGGCTCACGTCACTGCCTATTTTATGGGCAGGCATCTTGTAGGTGTTGTAGCCCTTGCCTTTGGTTCTGCTGGATCAGGCTGATGGGACTTGCAGTCCAAGAGCAGCCAGCAGGCATCCTTGCTTTATGGCCACATCTTAAAGCACATTCTAAAAGGTGCAGGTGTAGCCGGTACCTTGTAATCGATCCCGTATCTCAGGGCATCTCTACAAGGGAGGATTTTTGTGCACGCATGTTGCTTTTGTGGGTGCTTCGCACAACCTCCTCCTCCATTTCTGCAGCTTTTGGTTTAGACTGAGTGAAGTCTGCCAAGAGAAGTTTGTGTGTGTTTGTGATTCGGCTATACTGCAGCAGCACCCTGTGGTCGTGTGGTGGAACATATAGCTAGGGAGAGAAAGAAAAAACCTGCAGGACACACACACAGACACACACAATATTAATCCCACAAAGATTGTGCAAGCAGAAAAGTCTTGGTAAAATGGTGAGTTAAAAGCTTCATGTAGAGAAACTCCCAGATAACTTGCATAAACAATAACACAGGTATTCCTCTTTGTTTTTTGACAAGACAATAAAAAAATTCCGGGATGAGGAGATAGAACATCACGACATCGGGCTTGACCATGATGCAGAACTGGTAGGTGTGCAGCAGGAATCTTTCTAGCGGACGTCTAATCTTCCCAGCTCATCTTTTCCAGGGTGGAGGCCTGATTATTTGAAGGGCTGCCTTTTCCCATATATACTTACCTGCCCATTGATACCCGGGAATGAGGTCCTTCTGATAAAGGCATCCCGAAGGGAAGTAAAAGGAATGAGGGTTAGAAGAAGGGCCTTCTCAGTGGCTGCCCCCAGCCTTTGGAATGGGCTTCCTAGAGAGGCCTGCCAGGTGCTGTCACCACCTTCATTCCAGTGCCAGGCAAAAACTGTCCTCTTCCGCAGGTATTTAGAGACCCAATTTTCCCAATGGATTGTCTATAAGAGCTCATTCTCCTACCAGCAAGTTCCGCCCCTCGTAACTAGGAATTGTAATGTTGGTCCATATTTTATTCTTGTTTGCCGTTTAGAGAGCCACGTCCGGTTATTCAGCAGCCTATAAAATTAAAAATAAGCAAATTCTCAGGGCCTGTGTTGACAGCTGGCATCCTTGCACAGCAGGGGCCACCTCAGCCCCTGACAGGACCCAGCATCCTCCTGGGCCCCCTGCCGGTTGCTGGGTAAACTATCCCCCAATAATTACCCCCAAGGTAACCTCACTCCAGATCATTATGGAGAGCTTAAACCATGGGGCCACCACCCTGAGTCCCCGCACTGCTTCTGAACAGTGCTGTATTGGGGGATTGTTGGTAATCATAATGGTGGGCAGCTCCCAACGGTGCTACTACCTGGTGCTGACGAGCCTGACCAGAGGAGACCACTAATTTTGGAGTGGGGACAAAGAGGGTCTCTTCTGTAATGCATTGGGTGGGGTGGGGGCTTCAGACTTTGATCTAGCCCTGTTCCTTTTTGACCCTCTTACTGACAGTAATCGATTTGGTCCAAAGCATACCTGTAGCCCAAAAGGCGGGGTGTTTGCAGTGAACAGAGATGACTCTTGCCACCGCCTTCGCACGAGAATGCCGTATTCATCGGTTCCTTTTCGCATTCCGGCCACTGAGATGTGTTCCTTGTTAGAGGACTCCTATGTTAAGGGCGCGGCCATAGGCCCCTTTAGACTTAGGAAGTGCTAGAACTCCAAGCGTCCCCAAGCCACATGTACGCATCTGTGTGTGCCCCTCCGTTCACTTCTCCCATTGATAACACACACTTCACGGGACTGTGGATTGCACAGGCAAGATTCAGGGAACTTGTGCTGGCTCGAGGGCTCTGGCGTCGGCAGTGGCATTTCTCCCCTTCGATCAGCCAGCGCACAAGGCCCTTCGAGCTGCACGGCAATCCCTTCGGCGACAGAAGGCGTGGGAAGGGGTTCTTCACAGCTCCCTGCCGCAAGGCAGCCTCCCCAGGCCTGCTGCCCCCCAGGTGTTTTGGACAACTCCCTGATAGTAGCCATGCTGGCTGGGCTGATGGGAGCTGTAGTCCAAACCATCCAGAGAGCTCCGCGTTGGGGAAGGCTGCTCTGCACCCAGCATGGTGGCGGGGCATGTCTGGAGTAACTCTGCACACCCTCGTGTTCTGCCAGGTCACAGCTTTCACATGCGGTCCCTGCCATCCCCAATTAAAATTCAGCAGAGCTGAGGAAACACGCCACCCCATAATTTTCGGCACTTGGTATGGGGGCCAGTGTCTGATTTAACTTTGTGTACTCCCGGTATGCTTCAGCTCTGTCCTTACAAGTCTGCAGCCCTCTCTGAATTACTGCCACCTGTTTTAAAGCAAGGCTTAAAGTGTACTAAATATCCCTTTCTGTTGTGTAGGCTCCAGCATATTCTATTTTGAAGAATGCTATACAGATCGGATGTAAAGCTGCGATATTTTTGTCAGAAAGAATATAGTGATTTTTGGGAGTGACGAGATAATCCTTGTGATTTAAGAGACTGACATGGCATTGTTCAAATGATGCCAAAGTGATACAGTGATAAGACTCTTGTTTTGGTCTGCCTGTTAAAATTTGGTTATTCTCTTGTATCTGAAGCAGCATGGAGGTATCCAAGACTGATCAGATGACATGCTAGTTTTTAGTACATAATGGTATCTCAATAAACTGTATTGTTTCTGAAACTTCCTCAGTGCCAAATATATTTGCATATGTATCAATGAGTCTGCCCATTGTGTTTTTTGAGGCTTGATTGTTGGTGGCATGGATGGGGCAGAATAGCCAATGTGCATCTGTAATTGTGACCTTTATCCCAGTTGTGGTTGGACGTTGTTCGTATGCTGATTCTAAACCATTCCTGGAGATCTCCAATCATTATGTAAGCCGTACATCTTGAAATGCTGTTGCTGGCTGGGCAACAAGCTAGTGAAATGTTGAAGAGAAGGAGATTGTCTCCATCACTCTTCCCACCATGCCATGTTGGCTTATGATCATCAAAGTAAGATTGTGCCCTTAAGAGTGCAACCGTGTGTGTATTTAGATGGAAAAGAGGTTCTCCCTTTCCCAGCATTCCCCAGCTCCAAGAATTATGGCTAGGGAAGCCTGGAAATTGCATGAGTTTTTTCTGTCTAAGCATGTATAAGGAAACAGCAGTCATGACTACGGAAGAAGTATACAACTTCACAGTCAACAACGAAGAAATGGTGAAAGATTTTGCAAACCTTTGCTCAGTCATCAATTCAAAGCAGCTAAGAAATCTGAGGACTGACTTGGAAGGACAGCAATGAAAGAACTAGAAAAGAGGGTCAAATGTAAGGACATTCCACTGAAGACCAAGGCCAAAATCATTCACAGCAAGGTATTCCTTATCATTAGGCATAGGTGTGAAAACTGGGCAGTGAAGAAAGCTGACATGTTTGAAACATGGTCCTGGAAGAGAGCTGTGTGAATACCTTGGGCTGACAGAAAGACAAGCAAATGGGCCCAAGATCAAGTCTAGCCAGATCAGCTTGCCCCGAAATCAAAACTGAAGCTGTTGTGCTTTGGAAACACCATGAGAAGGAGAGAGTCCCTGGAGAAGATGGTCATGCTAGGAAGGTTGCAGGCAGAAGATGAGGAAGGGCAACTCTGAGATGGATCGACTCCATAAAGGAGCCCCAACTCTCCTTCAGAGAGTTGATGTAAGTCAGAGAAGACTTGCCGGCACATGGCAACAGCAAGCCAGCCTAGGATCGTGCCTTTAAACACTCACAACCAGGAGTGGGGAAAATGGCCAAGAGCAGCTTCATTGAGTCCAGGCCTCCACTATTGAAAATACCGAGCGATATTTAACACAGTTTTTCTCTAGCATGCGCAGAGTGCACAGTTCTCACAGCCTACCCTCAGACCTCCAATACTTCCCGGTAGATTTGCAGGCAGACGTGAAAGTAGGTAGTTTTCCATCGAGAAATTGCCCCCCACCCGCTAGTAAACACTGGGATGATCAAATGGAGTCCTGTTCCCACTTCCTCTTTTCTTGCCAAAAGTGAAAAAGGCGTAACATGGCGGGATATTTACCTGCCTGGGCTGAAATATCACCAAACTCTGCTGATTGCAGTCTTTTTATGTCTTTCCAACACTGTGTCTGCCTGCAGGTCTGTGTATCGTATCTTTTCCCCAATTGCCACTTGGAAGTATTTTTGGATGGCTTTTCGAACAGGCTGAAGACAAGAGCCAGCAGAGCTGTGTGCACATGCTGGGGGTGGGGGGGGGGGGGGGGGGTTCTTTCTGTGAGGCTGGAGCTTTGAAGCATCTTGCACATTCTCCTCTCAACATTGCTAGTGCCCTTCTCCTCAACACCGTTGTTGTGGGGGGGATTTGGTGCGAAGTCCTTCTCCTGTGTGTCTCTTTTCAGATGTTGGAAATAAGGAATTGACTCAGGCTCTGTACATCATGTGTGTACATCAACCCACCTAGAACGCTTCTAATTATATGGCAGTTGGGTGCACAGAGAACAGCCTACCGTTCTCCATCAGCTTTCCTGCTACTTACACTCTGGCCTAGCAGAAAAATCGATCTAAGCCTTCTGCCTGATCTAAGTAGAAGATTAAGGGATTAAGCATTTCTGTGAAACATTAGGAAGGAATTCTTGATGGTACAAGTGACTTGATTGTGACCCAGAGTGCTTTGGAAGGCTGTGGACTCCCTTTGTGGAGGTTATGGGGCAGTCTAGATGGTCTCTTACAAGAAAATTTCTTACATGGGCAGGAGGTTAGATGACAATGGAGATCCCAGCTCAATGAGTCAATGATTGTGTATGCTTTGATCATCAAAAGTATGCATTTTAAAAAACACATTGATAAAGGTGTATGTTGACAATGGAGAAGGGTCATTCTAGCCATGAAACAAGTGTCCAAGCAATAGAAGTACAACAGGGCAGTGCGATGGGAGAACCAATGAACTAGGGAGGACGCGGCTCTCCCATGCTGGAGGTATTCAGGATGCAACCGTGGGTAGTAGATCCAAACAGAATAGGCTCCTGCATGAATATCTCTAGGGGAAAACCGTCTGAAGAGTCTTCGTGGCCACCGAGACAAATCACAGGAGCGAGGCTGGCTAGACCACAAGTGTGGTGTCGCCAGAGTGTGTAGCTCCCTGGAGATATGTGCAGTTTTTCCACTTTTAGGGGGGTCCCGTGCCCCTCATCCCCAAATATGAGGGGCTGATGGTCAGCCTTGGGTGAGTGACACAGGAGATAGGCTGTATTTGTTTCGCTGTAGGGAAATCTGCCCCGATTCCTTCTTGTTTTTTACGTTATTTGCAGCCATCAGTGTTTATTAAGGCCGGCCTCAAATAAGTTTGTGACAGTGTTCTTCCCCTGCTGGGTCACACCCTTTTAACTCCACAACAACCTTGTGAGGTTGGTTAAGCTGATAAAAATTAGTCCTGTCTGGTCCTGTCTTTGTGAGCAACAGAAACGCGTCTTGCAGAGACTTTGCTCCACTCCTGTCCCATCCCCACCCCAACCAGAAGGTGCTTCAGTGGCCAGATTGAAATTGAGATTTTTTCTTTGAAATGGCTTTTAACCCCACTTTTCACCAGAGAAAAACCTCTCAGAGTGGCTTACCCAGATCAGGGATAGGACAGTGTGTGTCTGTAGGCGGTCTGTCTGACAGGCATGACATAAAAGGAAAAGGGATTTGGAGGGAGGAGGAAAGGAAAAGCTGCAAAAGAAAGGTTACTTACCTCTTTCGACAGCTTACATTATACTCCGTGCTGGCTGTGAATTGGCAATGGGGCCTCTCCAGGTATGTTGTGGGCGCAGCTGTTCCGGGGAATTCATGTACTGCTGCTGAAGACATTTACCATGTTTGCAGAGATCAAATACACCTGGAATTCTTTCCGTGTAAATAAAAGGGGGAAAGTTAATCTAAGGAGGTTTCTTTACATTAAACAGTTGCATTAACTGTTGCACATTCCATACCAGTTCTGTCAGCCAAGTGGAATGCAGAGGAGGAACGTGAAAGGGGGAAAGAGAAACTGCATAGAACAGCGCTGCTGGATCGGGCCAAAGTCCGTCTGGCTCAGGTACGGGGAATATTTTTCTGTCCAAGGCTATGTCCCCTTGAGGGCAAGCCGTGTGTGCTGGGGACAAGGGGCATGCCCGCTTGTGAGTGGAGATGATGGTGAGCAGTCCTGGAACAAAAATGGGGGCAGTTACCCCCTCTCCCTGCTCTTCTACCTTGCTCACCCTCCACGTGCATTGGACTATGAGTCCTATCGCCCCCAGCCTGCAGGATGGGGCTGTAGTCCATCCCCCACGGAGGGCATCACGTTAGGGAACTCTGCACATTCCTGAGCCGCCTTTTCTGTATCTTTCCCCCAATCCCACGCAATTCTTCCCTCAACCAGGGGGTGCCAGGACTGCAGTGGTCCCACACCCTGGATTTATAGGAAGGCTTTAAGGCACGGCCTGTCTTTCTGCTTTGTCTTTTCCCAGAGCTGTTCGGGGTTTGAAGCCTGTGCAAACTTTGCTCTGGAAATGATCGTGGTTGCCAAGAAGGTTGCCTCTCTCTCTCCACTGGAGACGAGCGTCATTTGACTTTCAGCAACGATGCCTGAAATCCCCAGGGCTCTGTGCCAAGAGCAACTGGTCCCGTAATGGTGGCACTGAAGCAAGACGATAAATCAACCAAGGCTCATCCTGCCCACGTATGTATCTAGGGGCACCTTCATTATACAAAAAAAGGAAGTCGAGGGAGGGAACTCCATTTCATTATCCAGACGAGAAATGCTGCAGAACAAGTCTGCTGAAAGAAGGAGGCTGCTATTAAATCCGTGATAATTCTTATGGTCCTCGAGAAACAGGTCTAGGGCAATCGCAGCCGTACAAGACTTGAATTATCTCTGATGAAAAATGCACCGTCAATTTTGCAATTAAAAGGTTGTGGCAGGGGAGTTAGCAAACCGCAGTTTTTATCCTGATGTAAGAATGCACAGAACTACACCCTGAGTGGGTTAAATTTAGCTTTAAGTCATATCTGGAGGAGACCTATTGAAATCAACTGGACTAGAGTTAGTCATGACTAACTTAAGCCCATTGTTTTGAATGGGTCTACTCTCATATATAAAGCTGGAGCCAACCCAGTCTGTCTTGTGAAGTGGGGCGTTCTTTCCTTTTGCAGTTACATGTCTGGATGCTTTCACGGACCGTAAAAGGGACTGAACGCCACCTTCTGCTCCCTGCAGGGCCAACCAGATCCTTGCAGTGAAATACACAAACAGGCCTAGAAGCCCTTCTTTCTCTGTTTGGCTCTCATCCCCAGGCATTCAAGGCATTGGTGCAGCTCAGACTCCATGAATCTGTCCCCATGAACCTGCTTAAGCTTAATTCAGGGCCATCTAAGCCAGTGTTGCACCGAAACTAGATATGAATCTACTGGTAGATCTTGAGTTGATCCAGGTTAGGTCAGCAAAGATTTGCGACTTGCATTAACAGCAACAGAACACGTGCCACCCAAAAGATACTCCCGAAATTAAGAAAACTGGGGGCCAGTGCATGGTTTGTATGGGAAACCTGCAACCTCAGTTTTGGCATGCAAAATGATTTCCAGACTCCTTTAATTCTAATCTTGTTTCCGACCCCATTTGCCAGAGCATACGGTCCCGAGATCTTGTTTTGCTCAAAAAGGAAAACAGCAGAGCAGATCTTGCAAATGCGAAGGCTGCCCTCGTGAGTTAAGTGACTGGTTCTCACCACATCCTGAGAGAGGAAGTTCCACGGGGGGGCACTATGCCAGGCAAGGCCATCCCTTCTGTTGTTTTGTACTCGCATGTTCCAAAGAAGCAGGGATCTACTTTCTAGTTTAATTTAAGGGTTTGTGGGAAAGCAGATTTCTATTTACAACCCAGCCCTGCCACGGTTTTGCCATCTCCTGTGCAATCACAAGTGTCCTACGGCTTCATTTAAATTGCAAGAAAGGCAAGCATGGGTGAGCGAAGGGTGAGCATATCCTTTCCCACAGTGGAAGCTAAAACAACAGCAAGCACATCTTTTGCAGGAAAAATCCCTCATCCCTTCTTCCCTATACACATGCCTGGATCCCAAACTTGTCCTCAGTAGCTCTCCTGGAGCTTCTGCCAAAGGAAACAAGGCGAATGGCAGGGCTTTTCTGCTGTAGCACCCCATTTGTAGATCGAACTTCCCACACAGGCTTTCCAGCACCAGGTAAAGGCTTTATTTTTCCAGGAATTTTCATCTTTCAGTGTCTGTCATTTTAAACCTGTCTCTGTATTTGCACTGCTGCAGGCGTTTCTCTTTTACACTGTCCTTTTAAATGTTTGCATTTTTTCCATAGGGTATCTTATGATGCAAATTATAGTTTTAATTCGTGTGAACTGCCCAGGGAGATTTGGCAATTGGGTGGTACAGAAATATAGCAAGTAAATAAAAACTTACCAACTACAGAAATAAATGCAGGCATGCTAGAACAGCAGTAATAGGACTTAAGGTGATAATTAAAGTGGATTTTCAAGGCATGTGTGAAAATTCCCTTATGTTGCTTGCAGCTGAAGGATGCCAGTTTAATCATTACTTTGACAACTTTCAGTTTCATTTATGAGCCTTAATCCTAGCAAATTTTCATGCAGATTGCTTACTGCCAGTTACCAAGCCTTTGTGGTGGTTAGGTGCTGCCAAGTCATCTCCAATTTATGCTTGATCTTACAAATGCACCCCCCCCCCCAAAAAAAAGGCCCTTTCCTTGACAATCCTGCTCAGCTCTTGTAAACTCAAGACTGTGGCCTCCTTTATGGAGCGGACCCATCTCAAAGTTGGTCTCCCTTGCCTTATTCTGTCCTGGACACACACCTTAATGTGGTGAGGTTTCAGGAGGTCTGGAAAGCCAACAGCACTACAACCAGAAGGCCAGAAGCTCTCCCTGAACTGGTCTCCTAGCAGGGTCACCCATGGTGGAATGGTCCACACTGGGCCCCCAACCTAAGATGCATCGACCTTCTTCAGGAGGAACTGCCACATCAGCAGGAGAACGGACCTCTCTGATGGGGATGGGGGAGAGGCTTTCGAAGAGCTGCTACAGGGCAGCGGCTGCTGGAAGACCTTTCACAAGCAGTTGCAGTGACTCTCAAGCTAACTCAGGCTAGTGTTGTGCAGGAGGCAACAGTAAACCACACGTGGTTTCCTAGCTGGAAAACCCTGCAATGAAACAGTCAGGAAATCAAACAGGAAGGAGTTGTGCCACCCCTGCCTGGAGAAGCTGTGGAGTAAACCAGCGATTTTGAGTCATGGGCCCATGGACTGGGGGCGGGGGGTGCGTATCCTGCCCCCCCGCAGATCAGCACAGGGGCTGGCTGTGTTCCGCCACCTCTTCCGCGGTTGGCATCGCATTTCTAAGGGCTGCGCCAGTGCCACCAGGAGGGCAGAGAGATGGCACGGTGGGAGCCTGCTGTGCCAATTTTGGTATTTTGCTCTTTTGTTGGCATTTTTTGTTACTCGGTTTCTGGTTGTTTTGGAAAATTTTCTTTCCTTTTTGTTGGTATTTTGTTTGGAGACTCATACACAGAGTATTGTGTGTGTGGTGCTTTTCGTTTCTGCCTCAGTGGTCTCTGAGGTGGCTTTCCTGTTTTTGCCGGTCCCCAGCTGTGGAAAGGCTGAAAACCACTGGATTGAACTGGGACTAAAAAGCCTGGTGCTTCCACTCTGTATGTTTCGGCTCCACGACGCCACTGTTTCCATGAAACCTTTGGTGCAAACCGCTGCATCTCCCCTGCTCCAACTTTCCAGAATCTGGCACCCTCCAGATGTTCTGAACTTCAGTTCCCATCAGCTCCAGCCAGCACGGCCAATGGTTATGGGAGGTGCGGTCCAACGCAGCTGGAGGGCATGAGCTTGGGGGTGGGCTGTGCTGCTTAACCCAGCCTAAGAAACGCAACACTCCAGCTTGTACTTTTCTCTCCTTCCATCAGGTCCTCTCTTGTTTTCGTGGCTGAGCTTAGATTGTAAGCTCCTAAGGGCAGGGGCCTCCTGTCCTCTTTTCTTCAGAAATATGCCATCTGTGCCAAGGGTCCGCTATTGGATTTTATCAGGGCAAGGGCCCTCTGTGTCTCCTTGGCATCCATCCCTCATCAGCTCAAGCCAGGCCGGTCAATGATCAAGGGTGATGGGAGTTGTAGTCCAACAGTAAGTGGAGGGCTGTGAGTTCCTTGACCCTAAGAGCCACATAAATAAGTAAACTCTACCAATCAACTCTTGCTTTTAAGGGTTTGGACCACTGTTGCGAATCATCCCAAATGTTTGTGATGGGACAGTATACAAAAGTTTTAGAGAGAGACAGACAATACAGGCAGGCCCTGAAGATCTATGCTGCATTGGATCCCCTGAAGGAGCTGGCTTTTGGCCGACATGGGCTTTATCTCCTGCTGCCCCCCCCCACCGCTGAACTCAAAGACCGTCCTCTCTCCTGTCCATGCATCCCTTTTCTCTAACAGAGGTGTCCCCAGGAGCCCTTTGAACGAACACACAAACTGCAGAGTGTGTGTAAATTCGCCTTATGCTCCTCATCCTCTGGGCCCAGTCCCGCGCCCTCCAACCGGGGAGGCGGCCTCTGCGCCGGCCGCGTGTGGGTTTCCCGGCCCCGCGCCTCCCCTCCCCTCCCCTCCCTCCCCCGACCCACCCGCCTCCTCGCTCCATTCCAGACTTTGGTATTTCCTCTTTCTCACTCACTCGCTGAGCTCACAAATTAAGTGACGCGAAAACGTTCCTCTCTCCGCCGCGAAAAGGAGGCATCGGAGGAACTTTTACAGCAACTGTCCCGCGTCAGGGGCCGCGCTGGAGGGCAGGGAGCAGAGGAATTGAGGCTGGCCCTAAATCCCGGGACGGTCAAACTGGGACGGGGTGGAGGAGGAGTTGGAGGAGACGGCGACTAGACAGGAAGCCGCGGCAGCAACCGAAAGGTCGTCCTTCCTCCAAGCCTTGGGAGCCGGAGACGCCTCGGCCAGGGAGCCTCGACGGGCGGCGCGGAAAGGGGATCCTGGCGCACGGACGGGCGCGCTTGCCACAGAGCAACGCCACGCGGTGTCCCGCCGGCGGGCGCAGCGCCGCCGAGCCCCTTGGCCCCAGCAGGTGGTCGGGCAGGCCGCGCCCGGGGAGCTGTGGCCAGCCGTCGGGGTGAGGAGACGACCTCGAGGGCCGGGAGCATCGGGCGGGTCGCCGGCGGTGACCCGAGCGGCTGCTTGGCCAGGGCGCCGCACAGGTGCCCCAGGTGACTCTCAGCGCCCTGCAGAGCCGATGCCGCGGCGATGGGCTGAAGGACTCTGCCGCGACCCCGCTGCGAAGACGGCCGCGCCGCACGACCGCCACAGCAACGCTTTCCTCGCGAACCGCGGACGCTGAGGCGCGGCCCCCTCGCGCTGGAGCGCCATGCACTCTGGGCGCGCTCGGGGGCACGCTCTCCACGCCGAGCTTCCCGACTAGGCCCGCGCCCCCCACCCACCGCTCGCGCTCCGCCGGCGCCCCCATGAAGGCCTTGCCCTCGGGCGCCATGACCGCCTACACCCTCAACGTGCGCGTCTTCTGGCCGCTGCTTTGCACGGCGCTGCTCTGCTTCTTGCAGGCGCTGAGGAGCACCGCCGGAGGCGCGGCGGCCTGGGACGGCGCGCTGCTGAAAGCCTCGCTGCTGCTGCTGCTGCTGGCCTTCCTGGCGCTGCGCTACCGCGACTGGCGCGCCAGGGGGCGGCCCGGCGGCGCGGCGAGCCCGCGGGGAGCCGCCCCGGGCCCGCCCGGGCGCCG